TACGTTTCCCTCCTCGAACTAGCGTACCTAGATACCGCGCTCTAAACGATATTCTACTACGAATCCTAAGAAAACTAAGAGTAGGAAGTAGAAAAAATCCTAGAGAAAAGAGGTTAGAAATACTTAGTTAAATAGAAAGGATACCCTAACGAAGATAATACGTAGGAACTAAGAACTTATCTTAAGAATTACTAGGACCTCCTACGACAATTTTACTAGTAAACTCGGGCTCGAAGTCCTATTCGAAGGGATCGGCTAGGCCGACGCCCTCGAGGGATCGACTAAGAGTAACCGCCTACGAGAAACTAAGGTTCTTATTAGAAGAAGGTATGTTCTTAACTATATACCTTAACTACTCGTTAAGACGACGGTTATTCTACTTCTAGACTACCTTATTCTAGGCTATACGATTCCGTACCTCTTAAAGCTTCTCTATTAGCTATAATATCTCCTCTATCTTCTCTATAACCTTCGCCTTATTAGTCGCTATCTTTAAAGTAAGGTCGTCTACGACTTTATCTAGCCTATCTACCGAGGACGTTATATAAGGACGACTAAGCTATATATAGTTTATATACGATATTAAGGAAAAGTCGGCGATAAAGACATACTCGGAACGATCGTGTTTAGTATAGCTATTATACCGTATTTCCGATACGAAGGGATTCCGGGTTATTCTTACGAAACGAACGAGTCGAGATTATTTGCTAGAGGAAGCTATCGAATAACGAAACGCATCTATAAGCGGGACCCCGCGACACTAAATACTAGGAGGCTCTAATATACGCTAGGCCTATATTAGACGCCTACGCCGGAACAACGACTAATACTCGGTTATAAGGACATAATAGCTATAGAGCGGGATAATATTACGGATATTAGGTCCGCAATAAGTAGACTAACTAATTAAGTTTAGGGAGCTAATAAGCTAGGTCTGTAGGGGCGGCTATAAGAGGGTTACGTAACACCGCTTACCTAGACCCTTAAGTAAGTAGCCTACTTACTCTTACTCTCGAGTAACCGTAAGGAAGAATACTTACGATTACCGCTAGGTAATCGTAATTATATACGAATCTCCTATATATATAGAATAGACATTTCTTATATAGGTAGTTCGTATTTAACCTAAGTTACTAACCCGCCAAAAGGTTAAACCTTAGAGTAGTTACTTACCTGACCTATCGCTTAGAACTTACTCGTCTAACGAGCTCTAACCCCCTTGTACCGCAGGTGTATAACACTATTCTTTACCTTTATAGTCTAAACTCTTACTACTTCTTTATTAATTAAAAAGTAGTTAGCCGCTATATTTATAGTATCAAACTAGTAGAACTAACTATAGTTTAAATAGCTCTTCTATAAGTAAGGCTAGCTAGCCTTCGTACTAAGGCTAATATTAGTAGCCTACTTAATAGCTTATATATTATTACTTAGATTAATTAATTATAAAGTAGTTATAGATCGACGACCTAGTAATAAAGGCCTATTACTTTAAGTACTAGACGTAAACTTAAAGTCGATATAGAGCTTCTACGCGCTTTTATTAAGCTAAGAAATAATAATTAACTAAACTATAGTAGTAAACTACTTAGTAGTATTAATATTAGTTCTATACCGGTATTCTTTATTAACCTCTTATACTATAGCGTAGCTACGATTCGAGTAGTTTAACCCTTCTTTAGATACCTCTTTAACTAGTCTAGCGCTTTATTAAAGGCCTCTATAGCTAATAGATTAGCGATATTAATAGCTAGCTTACTAGTCTTTAATTTAATACGCTATACTAAAGTAGTCCTCGCTATAGCGATATTAGTAACTAGTATTAAGAGCGGTCTTAGTTTAGCTATAGGTACTAATTAATAGCGAATAGCTAATTAATAGCGAATAGCTAGTTAATAGCGACTAGATAGCTCTACTAACTTAGTAGTCCTCTTAGCTACTACCTTTAGCTTTATCTTAGCCTTCTTTACTAGCTAGTTCTAGCTAATAGGCTCCTTATATAGAATAGCTAATTAACGTTTACGCGCGCTCTAGCGTACTAGATTAACGCCTAGTTCTATAGTAAAGAACTACTATACCTTAATATAGCCTAAATAGGAAAGAGTAAGGCTTTAAGAAGATAACTAGACGACGACTATAGTATTAGAGGCTATATAGCCTAAGTAGTATCTAGTTTAATATAGTAATTGCTAATAAAACTAGACGTTCGGCAGGTGCCGGCCCTGCGCGCGATAGCAATTCTATATATGATTATAACCCGATTTGGTTAGCTTATCCTCTAGCGACCCCGAGGGTTAAAGGAAGAATCGGCCACTCTCGCCAATAGACATAAGTGCGCGGTGGCGACAAGAAAACCGTCACTACCCAGCGCAATAGTTCTAAGCCACCGAATGCGTCTCTGATATCTCACCGTAAGCAGGACAGCGATAGATTATTCGCTACTTCGAAACAGGCTGCTCATGATGTTGCTCCATTACCGGTAAAAGTAGCTCGGAGTTCTACACCACCACTTATGGAGATATATATGGAGATTCGCTGGGCGTACTCGATGGGCTTTTGCTTGAAGAGTCGCTGGGCGGATCGATAATCTAGTCGTGAGGCTGCTACTGCCGTGAGTTGGCGCCGTGCTCTCATAACAGCCTGCTATACGTGGTCGTAACATTATTCGACCTACCGGTCAGTACCTCCAGATGAGCCTGCTAACTTACCCAATAGGAATAAAGAATTCTTCAAACCACATGGCTCTCCACTTCCTCTTCCTCTTGAGCCAATCACTTCTGGTGCTCCACTCAGGTCGACATAGTTGCAAGGCGCACTCTCTACATCTTTCTACGGGCGTTCGATAAGCCACTTTGTTCTCACAGAGTCGCTGGTAAGAAGTGCTCGTTCTGTCTTGCTGGAGCTATTGGCCCTACTCCTTTACTTCTTGAGGAGTCGCCGTGCGTACTCGATTGGCCTTGGTAGAGTCACTGGGTGAACTCATCCGATGCTCCAAAGTCGCTGGGCGTACGATCGGATCTGGACATGGATCTGAGACGCTGGACTGAAATACTGGTGTTCTGGATGTACACTTTTAGGGGATTGATTGGTGGAACTAGAAACTCACCGACAGTCTGGAGTGGGTCCCTGCGCACGCAAAATCCAAAGCAGGAAGGGACGACAGGCTTCGTTATACACACACACACACTTCAACATCCCACCCCTGGCCAAGGGGACATTACAATTTACGCAAAACTCGATACGAGGCCGATGGATGTGTCTTGTGCGAGCTATCGTAGTCGTAACTCGTAAGGTGCTATTATAATAATGGCAATAGCGGTCGACGTGCGCTCCTTCCTCATCCTGTCCCACGAGACGTCAGACCCACTCTGGTGGACTTCAACTTCATCTCCTGCGTCCTTTCTTCTCTTCTCTTCCCTCCTTAGCACACCTGGTCAGCGTATAAACCAGCGTGGACATCTGAAAAAGGTGTACAGGGTGTCGCTCATCGCGTAGTATAGACTGCCCTAGTGCAGCCTATACGAAACGATTATCTCGTTAGTCACCTCGGTGCAATCATCAGTCACTTTTAAGTGCACGTCCTCACCTTATCAGGTCAGGACATTCTTCCTCCTCATCATGACTCGTCAAAGTCGCTTCCATCCTATCCACAGGAATAGAAAAGCTGACCTGCTCGAGGGTCGAGCCCAGCCGGCAAGTGAGCTCGAGGCTGACTTTGTCCGGCAGCGTAACAATCCACGAGATCAATATGTGCCCACATACTCTGGACGAGATAGCAGACAGTCCAATACTGATGGTCACGGTCGACTTGCCTCACCCCGGCGAGATCAGGCCACCTATCGCGACCGTACTGACTATCCCAGGCGAGATGACTCCAGAGAACAAAGATCGGCTCATCGTGACAGGCGAAGATCACCAGAGCGCTCGCATCGTAGCCATCGAGATCGCCACTCCAGGTCACGATCTCTCCAGCGTTCCAGCCGTCACCATCATGACAGATACCGTTCTACGAGCCGTGATCGCTATCATAAGACTCGTCACGACGATCGAGCCAGAAGCGACAACGACTACAAGCGAGGTGGGAGACGCCCTGGAAGTCACAGGCGTGGTTCGAGATCGCCTTGCAGGTCGCCGGTAAGTCGAGGACGTGAACATCCTCGGAGAAGTCGGTCAAGATCACCTTCTCATGGACACCATGCTAACGGCTCGCGACGCTATCGAAGCAGGTCTCGGTCGAGCCATCGCCGTCCGCAGGATCCCACACAGGATGTCGTAAATTCCACCAGCATGGCACCTCTGACGATGGAATCAGTGGTGTTCGTTCCAAGGGATCCTACCCCTGAGAAATTGTCGGGGAAGTCCACGGACGGAGCCAAGCTTGTTTCGCCGCCAGCTACCGACAGACGGCCGACAGAGTTACAGCATACGCCCAGCCCAAGGATTCCATCACCGGCCAAGCAATCACTTCCTCCGACAGTACTAGAGACGCCAGCCAGCGGGACAGCACATCAGCAGCAAGAAGAGATCACCCCAACAATAGCAGGACCCGAGCTGGCTATGCTAGACCAGGATGATGAAGACGACGAGGACAATGCCGACGGCGGTGTCATGCTTAGCGACGACGGTTGGTTTCCTAGCTACGAAGATGACGGTGGACCGATAGCTCTGGAGACTGCTCAGCCTGATGACATTGGCGAGGTCAATAAGCAGATTGAAGATGCCGAGCGTCGTGAAAATCAACGTCAAAACGACTACCACGAATCACTTGATGACTTCGCCAGGCTAATCATAGTAGCAGAGGATATCGAAAGCGAAGGCCATAGATTCGGTGAGCCCATGGTGAAGATCCTGAGACATCTAGAGAACACCGCTCTGGCTGCCGAGTTCGAAACAGACTGTCAGATCAATCGCACGACGATGACGGCAGATCTAGGCGCCGATTTTCAGGAGTATCAAAAGAACCTCACGGCAGGCGACATCATGACCTTGCTATCGGAAGATACAGGCTACGATGCCTGGGCGACTGATAGTTTGGTTGGATTCATGGTGGCTATCGCTCAGGAGCAAGCTAGACTAGCAGATAGTACCCATTATGTTGCAGATCCATCCGTCATCCACAATACCGCTGCACGAAGTGGACCTGGTGAGGAACGAGGTACGGTCAGACAGCTCTCGACCGCAGAAAGCGTGAAACATCTGGAGAGGCTGATTGCGGATGCCCTACCGCAAGTCATGAACCCTCAGCTAGGTCATGACGTTGACTCCTTCCCGTTGCCCGATATGCCGGCTTGTACGAATAAGCTGTCGCTGATATATAACATAGGTGATCTACACTGGGTCCATGTGCTGCTGACTGTCAACGATGAAAGGACGGCAGGTACAATCACCCTCCACGACTCAATGGGCCGGAAGCCTGGTAACACGAAAGGACGTCGAAAGCTGAAGGGCATGGCCATGGATGTTGTCGGACAGGAGCTACCCAAGCTAGCTCATCTGATCTCAATGCGACCTTCCTTGGGCTGGCACAAGGTCGTCTGGGCTCCGGTTCAGAGGGCTGCCTCTCCACAACAGGTCAATACCTCAGATTGTGCCTTCTTCTCCTGGCTGTGCACTGTGCGAAGTATCCGTGGTGAGCCAGTAATGCAAGAAGAAGAACCGGTGTGGGCGGAGACGGAGCTTGGTGGCAAGAGTTTGCGCTGGATCATCATGCGGGAGTTGAGCGTGAGATTGATGGGTGAAGAGGCGAGAGCGTTGTTCGTGGAGGAGCATTCCTCGTCGTCTGGTGAGTCTCCTTCGCCACCACCTGAGCAGAACACGGGAGGTGGTGATAGCTCGCCGTTGTCGTGGGGCCCCACCCCTTCGCCGCAGCAGAATCGTCCGACGAGGAAGCCACGTTCAGCGGGAGCGAGGTCAGCGGGTAAGGCGTCCGTTCAGGATACGGGAAGAGTGACAAGGTCCCAGACTGCGGCTACTGGTGTGGAGAAGACGATGCGTCCGCCGGTACCAAAGTACATCCCACGCGTGCGCCCAGTTCAACCGAGTCAGAGACGTAAAGGAGTCGTCCGAGTCACTGACATATATCCGGTTGGTACTCAGCCAGAAGATGTCTGCGATCGCACAACGATCTATGAATACATGCAGTCGCAAGGGCAAGCATTGACGATCCAACAAATCTGTGAGGGCGTTAGCGACAAGCTCGGTGAGCTCAGTGACGCTATCCCGATACTCACTAGAGTGACAAGCATTGTTGAGAGTACACCAAGCTCTTTTGTAATGGCTGACGACGCTGAAGATGATGCTGCGACAACGTACAGTATACAGTCTGGGCCAGGCCGATCTTTGGACCGGGAGACGCAACAGTTCCTCCTCGAAGATCCCGTTATGTGTACATCTATCCCCGATGATATCGAGGCTCGGTATCACTTGCGAGTCAGTTGCGCTCGATACAGCGCTAATCAACGATGTGTGAAAGCCTTCGATGGTCTGGAAGAGGCTGCGGAAAAGCTGATGCAAGAGCACCATTATCGATTCCATTCGACATCCACCATGCCCACTCGTGTTTTCAATGCTGCAGGTCTAGCCGCTGGACTCCAAAACCCGGATGGTTGCTGGTATCGCTATGCAATGTCACCTCGATCGAGCATGTCGCTGCCGTTTCAAAGTTCGGATGACGAAGAAGTGGTAGAACTCTTGAATGAAGCCAACGACAGGGCAGTCGACGAGAAGAAGCTGGAGATTTTGCTCTTGATGTACGCCTGGAACGGCCTCACCACCAATAACGACGCTTGGGGCATGTTCCAAAGTCGATGGCCAAATCTGAACTTCAGTATCACCATGGTTGTACAAGCATCGTGCGTCGTCGATCCCAGCCACTTCCGTATCGACTGTGGAACCACCCCAGTCACAGCATGGGGATTCTACAGCGTCTCCACGCTCGCCTGGTTGTACGAGGCGGACGCCGTGTCTGTTGACGACATCCGATTCCTGGCCGATGATCCTGACGCCCTAGAGTGGACGGGAGACGACAACTTCCAGTGCATCCACGGTCATGCGCAGTTTCTGGAGAGTGTAGCCAGAGTACAACACCTTCGGCTCGATACCAGCAACTTCCACAACTTCGATCTGAGGAGGTTGAATAGCAGACACAATCGAGCCGCTCAACTCACCAGTTACAGGACAAGGAACTTCATCAATCTGGCACGCGATCCTGCACGTGCGTGTGAGCTGCTTGCTTGCCAGGAAGAACAAGCCACCGACTGGATTCGGGGTCAATCGTCAAGCGTGGCCGTGAGATGTGCGAGTCATCCACCCGACCTCGGGGTCGACGAGGCTGCTAATCATGAATCTCCCTTCCAAAGCCAAAGTTCCTCTTGGTGCTATAGATGTCGCTTGCTCCGCGCGATCGATCATTTCGACAGCATTGATGGTACGGTGAGCAAACTTTGTAGTGACTGTCAAGAGGAGCAGTCCAAGCAGCATGATTCTCGGCAGGTATGCTGCTCTTGTCGCAGACTGAAGAATCCTTGGGCATTCGTCTCCAACACTACATCTTCTTGCACAGACTGTCAACTAAGGAAAAAGCAGCGATATGTGAGGCGCAAGGAAGAGTTCATGATATCGGGCCAACAGTATTGCGGGCGGTGCGCCAAGCACAAAGCTCATTCTGCCTTCACGTCACACAGGAAGGGCATGTGTACAAACTGCCAAGAGCAGGCCGTTCGAGCGGGTCTACAGTTTTGTGGATCGTGCCGCCACGACCTAGCACAAGCTGAGTTCTCTTCTTCTACCATGCGGACCTGCAAGCGCTGCTTGAAGAAGGCTGCTGACCATTATCGAGCACGTAGAGCGCAGCAGGAGACAATCGCATTGCCACAAGGCCAACGTTACTGCAACAGTTGCAATAAGACGAAAGCCTCCTCGGAGTTCTCATCTTCGTCTGTGCGTCAATGTGAGCGTTGTACGCAGCTGAAACGCGATACTTATAAACGAAAGCAAGATGAAGTCAAGCCAGGCCTCCAATATTTCACTCAATGTAACAAGCACAGGGATCGGATTCAGATGGCCAAGCGGAGACAGAAGGGAGGGGATTGAAGGCCAACCTGTCAGATGTGAAACCTACAAGGTGAGTTTCTGCATCGTCATTTTTAATCGCCCTGGACATGGCGTTAAACTGTCCTTGGTGGGTGGCTAATGGCAAGAATTACTGAATCCTTTTTCTTCGTTCGGACGGCGCTTTGATATCTTGGACGCGACACGTGGATCAGATTGGGGCAGAGCAGGAGTGTAGGGTTGGGAACTCATGACCGTCGGCGGGTTCGTGAAGTGAGCTCATGACATACTAGACGCTCCTTTCAATGGAAAGTACTGACTCAAGTCAGATGATACAGTACTCGATTCCAGCAGGCGACTCATGGACCAAGAATTCGGCGAGGCGCCGACTTCGCAACTGTAGCACTTGATCGTTACCAGAAATGCATCTAGGTCAAATCCAACAGCACGAACGACTGAAAGCATGGCAACTAGCAATGAAGATCACTGGTCGGCAGCAAACTACCAAAACGCAGCCGGCTTCGTCCCTTGTTGCTGGCCACCGCAGCAGCAACGCATAACCCCGACCAGGCCATGATCAAAGGCAAGAACAAGATCGTGATCATGACCAAAGACCGACTAGCCTACAGAAGCTGGATACCATACGGCAGGCTAGTCAACGTGATCAAGATCACGGAAGAATCAGAATTGGCAGCATTACTGGAATTCGACTGGTGGCGGCCTGTCGACAACGAGGATCTCTTCGTCAGCTACGTAGAGAATCTGATACAACGGTTCGAGGATTTCAAAGAGCAGCAGGGTCATCATGAGCAGATCAATCAGCTTATAGCCAAGATCGAGAACGCATTGCCTAGCCATGCCGAAATGACCCAAAGGAGCGCGGGGACGGTATCAACTATCCACTCTGATGATACACCATCGGAACAATCTGTCGAGGTTCCGATGAGGTCAGGAGCACTGTTGCCAGCGGTACGGGAAAGCAGCACTCAATACGACTTTGCAGGTGGGGAAACGCTTTTCCATTGTGAAAGCGCTAAACAGGGCCGGACTGTTCCTACGAGTTCATCCGGACGGCCACAGTCAGCGTGAACGCTCACTACCGCTTGGAACCTGTCTCGTGTAACACCAGTCACCGGGCTCATTACTAAGCATGCTGTGCAATGTAGATACTAGCAATTACCGCAGCTAATTGTTCCGACAGTGTCGACGACGGTGAAGATGTAAGATATAGGCCTTGTGCAAGTTATAACGGCTTGGGATTACGGGCGATAAGTATATACTCTTTTAATATAGAGATGCTAGAGTCGTAAGTAGATTAAGAAGACTATATACTAAAGTCGTAACGCCTAAGCTTTAATAACTATACTAAATATAGTCTTACGACTAAGAAATTAGAAAATCCTCGTAATTATAATATAGGTATCGCAACTCCCAACCGACCACCCAAAATACGCTGTGAGTCATCCTAGTGATACGTCAGCCCGATCGACGAGGGGGGAGAAGGGGTGTACTTGGGCGGATCGATCAAGTGCTACCACCACCGCGAGATGCACGACCACCCCGGCCTTGCCACGGGCCACTAGGGGGTTGGCCGCCGCCTCGACTACCACGCCTACTACTATTCCTTCTTAACTACGCTATCGGCCCTTATAGCGCCTAGAGTATCGACGCCTAGGTATCGGCAGCTATACCTATAGAAAAGATACTCTTATTTACTATCGAAGGGCTACGCTTCTTCCTAGTACTACTCTTACTACCCTTTACCTCCTCCTCGTTATCTACTATATAGTAGTTCTTATAAGTATTAGAGGCTATAATAATAACTTAGGCCTATACTATTATAACCCTATCTAGAAGTTTAAAATATATTAATTTAATTCCTAGATCTATTATAGTCTTATTAGTAAGCTCTATCTAACCTTTATACTAGGCCTTACGTACAATCTTAGTAATAAGAATATTAAGACTAACTCTTATAAATTAAGTCTCTATTACTACTAATAGTTTAGCTAACTTACTAAGAACTAGGTCTAAAGTACTAGAACCTATTAATACGCTATCGCTATCTATAAAAGCTCTATTTAAGGTATTAAAGTAGTTTATTAAGAACTTAGTATTAAAGTTAATTTTACTAGCTTACTATACTATATACTTATTTTTCTTTTAACCTATAAAGAAGTTATAGTTATTAATCTACTTCTAAATAATATTATATAGAAGCTTAATAGTATTACTCTCTCTACGTATAATAGTAGCCTTACTAAAGAATAGTTTCTTACTATCTATTAGTAAGTTATAGCTCTTATTAATCCTCTTACCTAACTACTTAGAATAGTAAGCTAGCTAATTCTTATTAGTACTAAAGGAAGCTATTACTATTATAAAGTATAGATATATATATAAAGTATAAATATATACTTAATTAGAAGTATTATAGAAGATATTAGAAATTATTAAAATATTAAAATATCTATATATATAAATAGTACGTACTATAAAGTAAAGCTCCTAAGTAAAGCTAATTATAGATATATATAGTAATATTAAACGTTAGTAGTTAGTACCTATTATTCTAAGTAAACTATTAAATAAGTCTATTTAGAAGTACTACCTTATATATCTACTACTTAGAGACTATAGCTCTATCTTTCTAGTATATAAGATACTTATTAATATATTATTAAGACCTACCTACTAAGTATATATAGTAGTATAGTAATATATCTACTTTATCTCCTTATAGTAGCTAAGTACTTTCTACTTATAGTTATTTATATAGATTAACCTATTAATAAACTAGCTTAAGCTTTATAATAGATACTACTAGATAGATTTTCTAAAGTTTTAGTAGATCTAGGTAATAAGCTAGGTTAATAACTATCTATTAAACTATAAATAGTTCTATACATAGCTATAATAATCTCCTATTTATAGATTTAATAATCTAATAGGTAGATAGTTTTAAGTATATATTATCTTCTATATATAATTTCTATAGTCTATAGTTCCTATTATATCTCTACTTTATAATAGCCTAGTCGTAGGATATACTATTTACTACCTTCTTATATATAATTTTAAGTTTATATATAGTATATTTTAAAGGGTCTTTTACTTTATATAACTTAAACCTAAGTTAAATCTTATTTAGAGATTTATCTATACTTATATTAAAAGAGTTATTAAACTAAAACTATATCTATAGTAGGACGTACTTCTATTTTAAAGCGCTATCTAGATATTTAGCTATATGGTAATAAAGTATAATCTCTATAGTCTAGTTTATACGCTCTAACTAGCTATAAGTCTATAGATAGTAGGTAATTAAATAGAGTAGCTTAGTTCTAAGCTTAGTCCTACTAGCTAGAATACTAGCGGGACTATTCCTAAGAGCGCTAGAGCCTATATTAGTAATAGTAGTAGAGAAGGCGATAGTAGTAATAATAGTAGTAGTAATAATAATAATAACCTTAATAGCGCCCTAGCTAGGAAACGATTAATAGTACTCCCTCCCTATAAGAAGGCTAGTATTATAAATATTAAAGCTAAGACTCTAGGTAGCTAGAGCTATATTAGTAACTATAGTACTATTTATTATAATACCCGTTACCTAGATCTAGAAGTTTTCTCTAGTAAAGACTATACTAAGTATAAGCCTTAGAAGCTTCTTATATAGATAAAGCTAAGAGCGTCCTATTCTAAAGAGAGTATAGGTAATACGCCTACTAAGCGGCTCGACTATATCTAGTCGTATACGAGCAATACGGCTTTTAAGCTTATTACTACTATTAGTAGTATTTAGTACTAGAAATCTAAGAGTTTACTATAGTTAGAGATTTATAATAGCTTTAAAGACTATAAAGAAGAGTAGGACGCTTATAATAAGTACTATAATCTAAAGATAACTAATAGAGAGAGTTAGTCTATATTTAGCCTTAAGCTAAATAAACTCGCTAGCTATATAAAGAAGACTAGTACTAATAAGATAAGAGATTTAGCTCGTAAACTTAACTATAACTACTTAAATAAGACTATTAATATTCGCTATAAGGATATAATATAGGCTAAGATAAATAGTCTTATATATAATATTAAGTATAAGATTATATAGTTAAATAAGAAGAGTAATAAGAGTAGGAAGAGTAATAAGGATTTAATAGCTAGTAGTAAAAGCAAGAGTAAGTCGAGGAGTAGTAATACTAGTAGTAATAGTAGCTCTAGAACCGATACCTACTATATTATTTCTAATAAGTACTATAATAAGAACCTTTAATACTTACTAACACTTTTAAGGCTTACTTATATAAGAAGGGCTGCTACTAGCGTTACTATAAATAGAGCTACTATAGAACTAATAATACCTATATCTTCTCTTATAGTAAGGAAGCTCTCTATTTTAAAAACCTACTAGCTCTTTATACTATAGGTACTTCTACTAACGCTACTAAGGCTAACCTCTATACTAGTACGAAGGCTAACTTAGATCTTCTTACTTTACTACCTACTAAGTTAGGAAATAGTATATCTAGCGCTTAAGTCGTAGCGTTAGATTTTTATTATAGGATTAGAGAAAATAGATTACTAGTAAGTTAATAGAAGGCGAGTAAGTATATAAACTATAGCTATATCTATTAGAGATACTAAAAGCTAGTAGATATTTAGTTTAGAGGTATAAGGTATTAATAAATATAGGTAGCTCGAATAGTAAATCTCTTACTAACTATAGAGCTTTATCTCTATTTACCAACTCTTTCTCTATATATAGAATAATATTTCTATTATTAATCTAGTAGTACCTAAATTAGTAAGGTTAGCGGATAGTAGAGTTACTACTATATAGTAAGTAATAATTTTAACCTTAATAATTAGTAGCTATACTAATACTAGCGAGGCCTATATTACAAATCTTTATAGTAATAATATTATACTTAGTATATTATAGCTTAAAGAGTATAATATAAAACTTAGATTTCGAGATAGAACTATAACGTTTAACTATCTATACTATTTAAGTAGTAGCTATTAAAAGAATAATAAGACTTATATAGTACTACTACGGAGCTATAGTAGCTCGATAGTAATATCTATACTATTAGCGCCTTAGAGTTTTATACTATAGCTAAGAAGAGTAACTATAAACTATTCGCCTTATAGCTAGAGAACTTAAATAATAGATATAATTACTTAACAAACTTTATTATATTACTTAAAGACTATAATAAGTTTATAGATAGTAAAAAGAAAACAGATCCTTATATAGGATAGTAATATATACTAACGCTCTTAATAATTTAGGCCGCTATTAAGATTTTTACTATAAGGTAAATACGCTAATAGTCTACTTATATAAGCCTTATTAATCTTAATAAAAGTAGATAAACTAAACTTATAACTAGTATAAAGAGAAGATATAGTTATAGTACTTATAGTTATACTTATAGTAGTAGATAATATAGTTAGAAAGGAAGTAGTATAGTAGGGTAGATCTCGCTATATATATATAGAGTATTTTATATAGAAGTAAAGTATTCTATCTTAATAGGAGATTATAGTATTAATACAAAATAAATACTTACTTTTAATAGTAAAGTATAGTATAATAGTATTTTAGTAGTATAGAATAAGCTTTTATTATCTAGCGTACGTAAATACCGTTCTACGTACTACCTACTATTATTATATAATATATTTAATCTACTATATCCTCTACCGCCTATAGTGCGCCACCACCACCGCGAGCTCCACGACCACGACCACGGCCTTGAGTCCAAGCATTGCCGCGGCCGCGGTTGGCAGGCTCGGATGCAGGATCGTGGGACGTCTTTGGCTTCTTGGCGAAGGCGCCCAAGGTGGACTCCTCACGGATGTCGGCACGACCAGATGCCCCAGCGTGGCTGGTCGCGGCGCCAGGAACCGAAGTTGGAGCCTTGGGCTTGAGATAACCGCCTCGGTAGACGATGGAGCCGTCGTACATCACCTTGCCCGGGTTGGCAAGCACCTCGTCCCACTCGAGGCCACGGAAGACGTCCTTCTTCTCGAAAAGGTCGTGGATGAGACCCGCAAAATACTTGCGGTTATCACTCTTCAAAAGACCTTTCCTGTCCTTGACATTCAAGTGGCGCTTATAATGCACCAATTGACCCACGAGAAACAAGCAGTCTTGCGGCCGCGTGATGCCGACGTTGATGCACTCATCCGTCGTGGGGAATGCCGAACTGTCTGGGTTGCCCGGGACGTTCTTCACAAGGCTGAAGAACACAATCTTGCCCTCGTGACCCTGGGAAGAGTACGTTGACATGACCCGCACCTCGCGAGCACGCACTTCGGTATTCTGACCATGGAGCTCGCGGCGAAGGAAGCGGCGCTGACCGTCATACGGTGTGATGAGGAGGATGTCCGCAGGTGAGATACCGGCTTTCACCATTCCAGCGACCGTGTCAACGATCCACGCACCTTCACTCTGGTTGTACATGGAGGTCGAGGATTCCCACCTCTCCGACTTGTCGCCGTCTGCGCTGAAGTCGATGCCGACCCGGAAGCGACCATTCCACAAGCTCTGATCCTTGAAGGGCTTCATGCTCGCTGTGATCCGCTTCTGAAGGTCTGTGACAATGGCAGTGCTGGGAGCATCCACCATGTTCAGATTCTTGTACAGCGTCGCATTCGGATACGCGGACAGCTGAGGATCCAGGCGATACTGCACGTTCAAGAAGCCCCAGTCAATGCGTTTGGGCTCTGCCAGGATCTCGCGAGTGTAGATGGACTCGATCATCGACATCTCGGATTCGTTTGCGCCTTTGGAGGTCAGCGTCGGTTTGAACTGCTTGGGATCGCCTGTCATGATCCACAGCTTGATGTACTCCATGAAGAATGCCAAGGGGATTATGGCATCAGCAGGAGTGGATTGGCCGGCTTCATCCTGGATGATGACCTCGGGCCTCCAGCTATCGAGCAAGGACTCGTGGCACGAGGAGCTGTTGGTCACAAAGATGGCCTTCACCCAGCGAGAGACATAGACCGTGGTCCAATACTCATCTAGGCCACGGAACTCGGCGCGCAAGTCCTTGGACTCTTTCTTGCTGAGCGACTCGGTACCCTGGCGGAGCTTGTGTAGAGCCTCAAGGTACTTGCGTGCCGAGTCGTGGGTGGCCTTGGCCTCCTTGGCAGAGTTTTTGCCGGCTCGTACCACGCGCGTCTTCTGGATGTCGGCAGGAGTCGAGGCGGCAAGATGCTCGACGAACGCAAGCTTCATTTTACCGAACCCATGAGGATCGGCAATCTGCGAGCTGTTGCCCATCTTACCAGTACTGACAGCAGCCATCTCGAAGATCGAGGCCATTTGATTGTTCCGGGCTTCTTCGTCTTGCGCAGCCATACTGTCAGCCCAGGAACCAATGTACCGATCCGATGGCAGGTAGGAGTCCTCGGACTTGTCCTCGGCTGTGTCATCATGCGTTGAGATACGCCTGAGAGCACCGGTGAAGCGACAGAATGCAGTGGCTTCCAGACTCGGCGGCAAATCCTTGACAAAGACCTCCAGACACCGATTGACAGCCTCATTCTGGCTGGCACAGATCATAACCTTGGTATCTGTGGCAACCAAAGCTTTGGCGACGGCTGCAAGTGCCTTCGTCTTGCCAGTACCGTAGGGGCCCCAGAGACCAAACGCGCCGGTGGTTGTGGGACTGGCGAGATCGTTCGCTGCAGCACGCTGCTTGTCATTGAGCCCCTGACGATCGAGCTCAGCATGGTAGGCCGTGTGCTTTGCAGGATTTCCCCTGAAATGCTTGTGCAGCCATGCAGTCTGCTGGTCCCGTGGGCGTGGAGCTCCAAGCGCAATCTCTGGGATGAACACACCTACTCGCCTCTTCTGGCCCTTCTGCATGAGGGAGACAGCATTCAGGGAGCGATTGTTGGCCGTAGGATCATCCGGAAAGTCGAGGATGAGTTGGTACCCCTTCTCGGCGGAACTGTCCGGCACAGCGATCTTGTTGCCGGCCTTCGCTGTGACCAGTGCAGTCATCTGAGCGCCCGAATTCGTAATGTCATCGAGTATGCTGCCTGTGAAGAAGCAGTCGTAACCCCCGTAGTTGAGACCCAGCACAATCTTGCGATCGTAGCCTGGCATCTTCATCGATCCCGCTTCGTTGTGGCCGCCTTGCATGGAGATATTGACCAGAACGTCCTTATTCTGGGGATTGTTCATGAAGTGGCCGTATACGCGGATCTTCTTGGCGTTCCACTCGGCAACAGTCTCGCCATCATGCATAGGGATGTATTCCTGGCCGGCATCCTTCATGCCCGACCTGTCGAGGGTCTGGCTGAAGTCTCTGTCGCTCTTGTGTGCCTCGCGAGCAACTCCAAGGCGCAGCTCGAATGCGTACGTATCCAGATCTGGATATCGGCTCCCAGCAGGCTTGTTGAATGGTAGCCACTCGATGGGCTGGGCACTGACATTTGTGCCATTCACTTGCTTGATGCGCCATTGCTGAACGAGCCATCTTGGCGGGTCGACAGCCTTGAAGGGATACTTCTCGGTATGGATTCCTGCCTCGGGATTGACGAGGTGATAATACCAAAAGCTGCCGAGATGAGCGGTGGCGAAGAAGACTGCACGCGAGAATTCAACAAACTGGCGGTATTGTGGCGCCAATTCGTTCTTAAGCTCAGCAAACAGAACAATCTGCCGAGCATCGTCTAGGTCACGTACCAGCTTTTGACCGGGTGAGAGCACCGTTTGCTCCATCCACGCCTTGGACAATTCGTCGCGGTCCTCAGGCGAGATGTCTTTCCAGACAATACCCCTGTTTGAGGGGAGTATCAGCTGCGTGCATACCAAGTCCTTCTTTTCAAGAAGCTGAGAAAGCGCAAGATCGCCCTTGGGGACACTGTGCTGCAGAAGCTTGTCGTCACCAAGTTGGACGTGCAGGTTCAGATCTGGCGATCCATCTGGTTTCGTATGCTTAAAGGCCTCGGCGAAACAAAGCCAATGCACGGTCTTGGTCTTGACAGATTCCTTCTGCTCGCCAGGCTTGTCTGGATCATCGACCATGCTGCTTGTGCGCTCAACCACGATCTGCAGGTGAACGTACGGCCGCTGCGTGTCTGGCACGATACGATACCTGGCGTCTCTGAGATCGGTCGAGTCTGCCGTATTCTCATGGGCATATGCACTGTTTGTGGTGCCGTAGGTCTTGTTCTTGACATCATCTTGGACAACTTCAGGCAGGTAGACCGCGCAGTGACGCCACTCCGTAGCTTGCTTGGGTTTGCCGTTACCAATCTTCAGTGGGAACCTGGCGACGTCGTGCCCACGATACATCTGCTCGCCGAAGTGAACGGTGTTCATCGGGAAGCGCTTCTTCTCGTCAATGTCGAGGTATTCTGGGTACATAATCTCTGCATGAGGTTCTTGACCGCGCAACTCGGCTGGAAATTTGTCGATGCCTGCGTTCCAGTAGCTCACCTCTTCAGGCAAAGCACGCTTGAGCCAACCCATTCTGAAGCCTTGGATATTCTTGCGCTCACGGTTGACCGCTCCGAATAACGCAAATGCGTCCAGGGTGCCGATATCTACCGGGGGTGCATCGGTCATAACGACTTCCTTGCCATTGCCATTGCCTTTGGCGCCAGAAGGCTGACCAGAAGAAGGATTCGTCGGAGAAGACATGCTTAAAAAATGTCTGTATCGGGTGAGGGCGGATGGGGGTTCTTTTTGACCCTTGGTCGATGATCGAGTGCAAAGCTGCGGTCAACCACCTCGGGGAGAAGTGAGGAAGGGAGGCCCTCGACTACTGTGTAGTCGCGCTCAGCGCTGTGTTGCTTCACTTGCCCAGCCGAAATCGCGTTGTCCGTGTCACTGGAAACAATCTATGCATGCGTCAGCCTCACTCTCACTCATTGTCAACGCGCCGCCGCGCCGCCGCCTGATGGGGAGTACATACCTGATCCTCTCTCTCGCACTTGAAGAAAGAAAGGGGAAGGTGGCGGGGAATTTCGCGTTTGTGTACCCGCTCGTGGAGCTTTCAGCGGCCGATCCCGCTCTCCTGGCGGGCAGCGACCTTTTGCGAAGCCAGTGACGTATTTGAGAAGCCTGAGGTGCTCTAAGCAATCGGCTGCTTGATGACCCAATCGCGGGAATGTTCTCAATAGTTTGTTCTAGGTCAACGAGGCTGGAAGATTTTGGTACCAGCCGGGGTCTGGCGAGGTCGGTGGAAGCGATGAAGCTGAGGATTCTTGACGGACTACAGGACTCTCGGATAATTGATCATTATATTGCGGCACAAAGCTGGGAGGAGCATATCTCGAGGGGTGAGTATAGCGTAGTCAGCGACCTGGACCTTGGACATCACTTTCGACCTACCGTAGATAGCTGCCAGTATTATCCAGCTGCGCTATTACACTCCCTTGATCCATACTATTGCCAGCCAAGTCTTGACCGACCACGCGCACGAGGACGTATTCCATATGTGAGTTGTACTTTCCATGATTCCGTTGCTATATTCACATGCATGGCTGGCTTTTGTTGCTCGCCTTTTTCTCCTGCATTACGTACTGCTGCATTCTAGCCAGACTTCCATCTAGCCTTGTGAAGGCATCTGGTGTTCCTTGTCCAGCAACTCTTCGTCTAAACCGCCCACTGATCATCCCGTCGCTCCCACAGTTGGAGGAGATTGTCAACCGGTTTTTGAAGGCGTATGCGTGTTCAAGAACGTGCTATCTGCAGTCTAAACATCTTCTCGGATCATGTGCTTGTCATAGCCCACATCACGATCCATATAGTTCAATATGGGAGCATTGTAGAGCGAGGGGGGTCGGATGAAGCCGGGCATGTCCCGACTTTACCTTCGTCACCAAAATTGCTGGGCAAGCGTATTTCTTGGCATTGCCGAGTTTCGTGGCTTCGTGAACTGATACATGTTACGGATATGAAGGATGAGGCGACGCACAAAAACAGTCAATGAGGTTCTTCGGCGTCAACACAAATGAAAGAACGGGTAAAGCACGATGTTTCGATTGCAAGCTGACGACAACTCATTGGTTTTCACAATCGCTACTCTACATCGATCGACTAATGCTGCGTACACTTAGGCATCCCCAGCAGCTCTTGAACCAGTTGGTGGTGCAGTCATACCCATATTGAAATAAACCGTCTTGATCTCGGTGTAGTTCTCCAGAGCAGCATCACCACACTCACGACCAATGCCGGATTCCTTGTACCCGCCGAATGGCATGCTCCAATGCACGAAATTGAACAAATTCACCCACGTTGTCCCGGCTTTCAGCGCACCGGTCACACGTATGGCTCGCTCGTAGTCCTTGGTGAAGATGCCGGCGGCGAGGCCGTACGTAGTGTCGTTGGCTAGCTCGAGCACTTCTTCTTCGTCCTTGAATTTGGCGATGGCGACGACGGGACCGAAGATCTCCTCTCGCATGATCTTCATGTGAGGCTTCACGTCCGTGAAGATGGTTGGCTGTATTGTTGAAGTCAGCGGAGAGTCCTTCCTACTACTCTAACCAAATACACTTGCCTCGATGAAGTAGCTACCGTTCTCGCTTTGCACCCTGTTCCCACCCAAGTGCAGATTGGCACCCTCGATCTTAGTTATACTACTAGAAGTACGCTAGGTTAGGGTATATTAGATAATAGTTATACGTAGCGACTAAAATAACGTAGCGGGGACGTCTTTAGTCTAGCTACGTAGTATATTCTTCTATAAGAAGTTAGTATATAGCCCTTAAGGTAAAAGAATAGGTTACTTACTATAAAGGCGCCTTCTAACTAGTAGGTATTAGGTATCTACGCTAGATAGGTACTATTATATATAGCGTTACGATCGGCTATTAGAGATATATACTTCTATAATAAGTATAGTCGATAAGTAGGTAATCTAGTATTATTACTAGACTAGTTAGTATTAGTCTTAAATTTACGTAGCTTACGTATAAGCGTATACTAAGCTAAGCCTACGTCTAAGGTAGCCTAGAGAACTTCGTAGTCGTCTAGTACGCGTTCTATAGTAATATTAATAGAGCGGTACTAAGCCTAATATATTCTAATAAAAGTATTATATAGTTTAGATACTTCTATAATATAGCTATTAAACTATAGAGGAAGCTATTATAGTTAGATATCGAACTATATATAAGTTCTTAAGAAGAGCGACTTATAAGTTTATAGCTAGCTCTCTTACTACTAGAGTAGTACGCGTATACCTTATAGTCTAGTTGCTTATAATAATAGCTAATAGTAATACTTTTTATATACCTCTTATAGATAGAGAACTTAGCCTTAGCCTCTAGGTCGGTAGTAGTATAGAACTACTTCTATATAGCGCTATCTTTAAAAAGTACTACTATAATACCTAGTAAGTATATCCTCTTAGTATAAGTACTAGCTATATTAATTATTAATTATTAATTACTACTTATAATTAGGGTATATACTATAAGTATACTATATAAGATCTATACTATAAGGTTTCTAGCGTAGTTACGTAGAGAATATAGCTATAGCGAAGAGGTTATAGTAAGAAAGAGAGAAGGAATAAGTCGAAGAGCGTACTTACTATACGTACTCTAGCTACGCTAGCGGTACGTACGCGATATCTAGTATAATAGTAATAATAGTAAACTTAAAAAGTAGAAGAGAAGGAAGGCTCGCCTTTCTTCTTCTTCTATCTCCTCTTCTTAGCTCCCTTACTATATATAGAAGCTAATATATTCTATAAGGTATCTAGATTAGATACCCTATAAACCCCCTATAAGGAGCTAGAATATATCATATAACTATAGTAGACTATAGATAGCCTACGGTCCCTCTATAGTTACGTATAGGATACTATAGATATAATATAATATCTTATAGATACCTCCTCTTACGCCTAAGGTCCTTATTAGGCCTATAGTAGAGAATATAGGCTTTACTTCGCTTTGCCTTACTATAGGTATCTCCTATAGAGATCTCTAGCTTAACTATAAGAATACTTTATAGTATTTTATAGGTTTATAGTACTATAACTATAGTTAAACTTATATCTAAATTAGGAATTTATCTTATAAATATACCTTAGTTACTTTACGGATAGCTACTAAGAGTACTTAAGTACTTAGCGAGTTATATATACTTAGAGCTAGCTATTTACGTAAGTTAAGTAGATATCGAGGCTCCTACGTTATTATTTACTTATATATATATATTAAGAAATAAGTAGGTCTAATTCTACTCTTACTCTTACTCTAACTTTAAATCTTATATTAATAGTCTTTATAAGCTCCCTCTTATTATTAATATATCTCTTATAATATCTATACTAAGATTAGTAAGATATTATATATATATAGATATATTAAAGGGCTTACGGATCCTATATAGTATATTTATAGGATATAATCTAATTATAAGTAGTAATTATTAACTATAATTACTATACCTAGCGCGTATACTAAGGGATTATACCTACTAGGTTTACGTTATTAATATTTAAGAATAACTCTATCTAGGAATAGTCTATAGCTATAGCCGATCCTAATACTAAGGCTAAATACTCTACCTATAAGAGGTATACTAAGAGTATTACTATAGGCCGTCGTTACGAGCGACTAGACTATAAGGTATATAGGTACTATTCTAGTAGTAAGAGAGCTAGATATAAACTCGTAAGTTACCTTTAATAAAATCCTATATACGATTCGATAGCTAACTACGATAGCTCTCTCTAAGATTTAACGGTCGTATTACTAAAGTATTAGAGTTATATAATAGCTTCGTTAGGGCGTACTAGGCCTAGTACTATACTATTAACGTTACTACGTAGCGCGTACTAGCCGACGATAATATTCTTTAAGCCGCTATAGATATTAGTCTAGCCTTACGTATACTCGCCTATAAGCTACGTAAGTTTAAGATAAATACTAATCGCTCTAGTACGAATACTAGTATACCTACTCGCCGCTCTCGCTCCGTATAGGAGTATATATCTCTAGTAGTAGACCGTAAGGTAATACGCGATAGTACTTATCTAGCGTAAACCTCTAATACTCGTCGTACTAGTAGTACTTTTATAGTAAGTAACTTATCCTTCTACCTTACGAACTATATACTAACTTCCTATAGAAGAATATAACGCGTAGTCGTACTAAGGAAGTCCTAGCTACGTCGCTCCTAGTACTACGTACTATAATTAACTAGTATACTCCCTCTTAGCGTACCTCTAGTAGCGTATCTAAGATCGTTAGCTTAGGTAGTATAAGACCTAACTTACCTCTACGCGGCGATCCTATAACGCCTTTACGTTTAAGTAGAAGGTCCGTATATAATACTAAGGCTATAGTAGTAGAGGAGGTAGATAAGTCTAATTTAGACTTTATTAATATTAATAACCTAAGTATAGATAGTAAGTCTAATAACTCTATATCTAGCGATACGTTTATAGTAAGCTATATCTTCTTAGGCCTTCGCCCTCGTATTCTAGTAGGTTAGGACCGTATAAGCGGCGTACTTCTAGAGGGTACTCTTTAGCCTTAGATCTAGCCGCCCTCTCCTACTATTCTTACTAGTAGGGAGTTCGCTACCCTATATCGCCGCCGTACCTATATTATTATTACTCCCTCCCGCCTACCTACTACTCTAGCTATAATATCTAGTAATAAGCGTAAAAGTAGCGGTAGAGCTAAGGAGTCGTCTATAAAGCGTACGCGGTTCGTGGTTCGTAGACGAGGAGCCTAGAAGTAAGAAGTTAAATAAAAAGACCTTTACTTAGCTTATAGAAGGCGTACGCGTAATAGCGAAAGCTATAATAGTCTAGTAATTACTATCGCTACTACTATTTATAGGTAAGGAGGGTAGCCTAGTAAGCCTCTTCTATTATAACTTTATAGTATCTAACTTCGATACGATAACTCCGTATAACGCCTATAGGCTATTAGTAGTATTATCGGCCCTATTTACTAAGTAGTAGACCGAAGCTATATTAGCTACTAAGACCTATAAGAGGTTATATATATATTTTACGCCTAGGCGACGGAAGTAGTATATTAGAATAAGGAGGAGGCTAAGTAGGCTAGAGAGATATAGTAAGCTTATACTCGCTACGAGCGCTATATCTAGCTTACTAGTCTTATCTCTAGCGGTTATAAGGCTTTACCTTAGCCTAAGGATACTACTATCGCTAACCTCGTTAATACCTCTACTAGCGAGTAGTAGGAGGAAGCTACTAGTAATAAGTCTACTTTACTAGCTACGCTCTCTACCCCCTTCTCTTTTCTTACTTAGAAGGTTAGTACCTAGAAGCCTTCTACTATACCTAACAACTAGGTAGTAGCCTTACTATATAACGTCTACCTATATATAGTAGCGTACCTTATTAGCTTTAGCTATAATATAGTATATATACTTATTATATACTATACTTAGCGTTTACTAGAGTTCTTAGAGTTTTTATAGGGTTTTCTTAATTTAGTTTATTTCTTAAAGAGTTTTTAATAAAGTAAATTAGTTAAAGAAAGGTTAGATTATAAAGGGTAGTTATATTACTATATTTTTTAAGTCTTTCTAAAAGTATAAGTAGTTATTATATTTATAACTATATACTTACTATATCTACTTCTTACCTCTTCTACTTCCTTTATAGACTTCGCTACTTCTATAGTAACTCTTCTATAGAATTAAAGTTATCCTTTAGTATCTATTAATTCTATTTAGAATTATATTCTTTCTATAATAGTAAGTACTCTATCTTACCGCCTCTTCTCCTCTTACTAAGAAATTTTTTAACTTCGAAGACCTTATCTATAAGGTTTCCGGCGTAGTTACGTAGGGGATACGGCTACGGCGAAGGGGTTGTAGCAAGGAAGAGGGTAGGGATAAGTCGAAGAGCGTACTCGCCGTACATGCCCTAGCTACGCTAGCGGTACGTACGCGATATCTAGTACGATAGTAACGATAGTAAACTTAAGGAGTAGAAGAGAAGGAAGTCTCTACTTCCTCTTCCTCTATCTCTACTCCTTAAGCCCCTCGCTTAATGCGGGAGCTAATATGTTCTATTAGGTGTCCGGATTAGACACCCTGCGGACCCCCTACGGGGAGCAGGAACATATTACGTAACTATAGTAGACTGCAGACAGCCTGCGGTCCCCCTACGGTTACGTGCAGGATACTGTAGATATAGTACGACACCTTACATTATCGCTATTAGGCGCTAGCTTTAGAGCTTTAGTATTTACTATCTTACTCCCTATACGCTAATAGAAGGGTCTTAAGAGAGATATATAGAAGGAGTTATAGATCTTATACGAGGGTAGTAGCTCTAAGCGGTACGCTTAAGTACTAAGCCTCTCGACAATCCGGAAAGGACTAATAAACTTCGTAGCTAGCTTTCGACTCGGCACCTTTATCCTTAAGTTCTTCGCGTTTAGTAATACGTACTTATTTAGCTAGAATATATATAGAGTATATTTGCTATTATAGTAGCGCTATTACTAATCTTATACTAACCGTAGGTAGTCCGTAGCGCTTCTCCGAACTTCTTAGATATGTTATAATCTCTCGACGGCAGTAGGCGCCTCCCCTTTATAATAAACGCCCTCGTTTAGGCTAGACTAATTTAGATGTCTGCCTAATACTATTTCGAAAGGAGTCTTTAATATGCTAGTATACGTCGAGTTGTTATACGCAAATTTAGCGTATAGTAACATCGACGCCTATACGTCCTATTATTTACTAACGAATATCCGTAGGTACGCTTCTAAGGTTTAGTTCTACCTCTCTATTTAGCTATCTATCTACGGATAATATACGGTACTTAGTTAGCGTTTTATCCGGTATTAGAAACAGACTTCGGTCTAAAACGCTAAGGTAAATAGCGATCCTCTATCGCTTATAATACTAATAGGAAGGCTAAACTTAGAACCGACTTTATCGAAGAAGATTCTAGCGAAGTCGCTAGCCTTCTAGCGTTCGGTTACTAGTATATATAAGGCTATTTTTAATAGCCGGTCTATAACTACTAGGATTACGTCGAATACTTTACTACGAAGCTTTAAAGAAGGTAGACCTATAATAAGGTCTAGTAATATCTCCTCCTAGATATCCGAAGGGACTAGTAGCGAAGTAAGCTCTCCGAACGGTATAGTTCTTAGAGCCTTATTACGCTAGTATACTTAATAGCTCTTTATAAATACTACAACATCGGAGTCTATTTCTAGCTAGTATACCGTACGGTTCGTAAGCGCCTTAGTCTTATAAAATCCGAAGTATTCTACTAACTTCGAGTTATAGCTTTTAGTAAGGATTTCTTACCGAAGAGCGGGTTTATTAGGGATATATAGTCTTCCCTTAAACCGAAGTAAGCTATTCTAGTTAAGTTTCTAAACTTAAGTCCTCCTACTAGGAGTACGGGCTTACTTTTCCTTCTATTCCTATACGAAGCTATCTTTCGGCTATAATTCTACGACGGCTTAAAGGAAGCTAACTCCTATATCTATAGTTATAATTTCGCTCGTTACTAGTAATCTAGCTATAAAGCGTAGTACGTACTATATACATTTAGTAGTACTAGTATTAGGGGTAGATATATTATAATCTTCCGTAGGCGAAGTATGCCTTAGATCCGTATACGGCATACGTGCGGTTACGGTCCCTAGATATCCGCTAACCTTTCCTACTCGAGCGAGTACGATCCTCGTAGCTTTACGGATCGTCTCGCTATCTACTAGCTTAAGCTTATTCTAGAGAGTTAGAAGGAGTATATTAACTGCCTAGTTCTTAGTCTAGTAGTCCGGTCTTCTCGACGGCTAATCCGCTAGGTTAGTCTTTCCTAGTCGATAAGTAATATCGAAATTAAACTAGCCTAAGAAGATAGCCTAGCGCGCCTAGCGAGGGTTAAGCTTTTATATAGTGTTAATCCTACGAAGGTTGTTGTAGTTAGTTAATACTTTAGTAACGTACTTAGCTCCTTAATAGACTTGCCCTTATAAAGGGGTAGCTCCTTAATTAGCCGCTTGCTATACTATCGATAGCTATCCGGCGAACGGTTACGCTTCTAGCCGATAACCCTCTACGGTATAGATATAGCATATCTAGCGATATTACCCCCTAGGGTCTCGGAATTAGCGCTAGCGAGGATAGCGTTACGGGCTTAAGTAGCGTAGATCTTCTCTCGAATTAATCGACGCTACTCTTCCTATACTTAGGCTAGCTAAGCTTCTATCTCTTCGATAGTCTGTTCTTCCCTTAGAAGCGGCTATTCCGCTACGGGTATAGGATAGTACGAGGTTCCGCCCTACGGCTCGTCGCTATCTCTATCCTTAACGTCGCCTAGGTCTTTAATTCCTAAACGCACGTCTTCCGCTAGCGGCTCGATTCCTTATAAAGGTACTAAGCCTTACCGAAGAACTCTCTTCGGTCCTATCCTCCGAGTCGCTACCCCGAAGACGGGTATAAAGTTTACTCTATAAGGTTTCCGGCGTAGTTACGTAGAGGATACGGCTACGACGAAGGGGTTATAGTAAGGAAGAGGGTAGGGATAAATTAAAGAGCGTACTCGCCGTACGTACCCTAGCTACGCTAGCGGTACGTACGCGGTATCTAGTACGATAGTAACGATAGTAAACTTAAGGAGTAGAAGAGAAGGAAGTCTTTACTTCCTTTTCCTCTATCTCCTCTCCTTAGCCCCCTCGCTTAATGCGGGAGCTAATATATTCTATTAGGTGTCCGGATTAGACACCCTACGGACCCCCTACGGGGGGCCGGAACATATTACGTAACTATAGTAGACTACAGACAGCCTGCGGTCCCCCTGCGGTTACGTGCAGGATACTATAGATGTAGTACGACACCTTATACGTATCCCCTACGTAACTACGCCAGAAACCTTATACTATAGCCCCTTATTACAGGTATATCCCCTACGTATCTATAGCAGAACCTTATACTATTATTAAAAATAAGTTATAAAAGCTTTATAAAACATTTAATAGACTTTAGTAATAGTTCTTTATAGTTTGCTACGTGGATTTATAATAAGGTAGTAGTTTGTATTAAGATAACCTTCATTAGCTGCGCTAGTAGCTTAATTAAAGCATATTAGATAAAATTTAAGCTATAGCAGCTCGGTTCAAGTCCTTCACAATTAGATGGGACACTATAGCAGCCTGTCTGGATGGAAACAATCCTGGCGTAAATTCCTAGTCTGCTTCCTTCGAGCGTGGCCTGATCTCAATCGAACACTTCCTAAAGACGACTTCTTTGTTTGCACCTCGCACAAGCACGACTCCAAACCGATGTCTACACAGCTCTGGACCAAGCGTGTGTGCGCCACGCAGACGGTGGATGCCAAGAAAGAAGCAGTCTTTGAAACCATCCAAGGCCCGATTGACGACACGATAGATCCGGCCGAAGGCGCTCGTTCGATTGCTTCCAACTACGAGACGTATGTCAAGCACGAAATGCAGCAAGCATCGGATTACTATAAGTTAGGCAGCCTCTGGTGCAACATCTGCGAGGCCACCCGCCACTTTGGGAGCTCGAAAGCTGGGGCGTTGGCGGATCTCCTCATAGCTTTATACTCCCTGCCGCCAGTGCTTGACGATAGCGGTCAGCCGCTCAAGAATGTCGATGGGCAAGCGTATTGGACAGGTCTTCCTGAGTCTGGCGTAACGTTTGGAGAGTATGGCATTGGTCAGTACTGGACGCTCCAGGAACTCCTTGTCCAATCGCTGACTTGTCAACCTAGACATCGATCATGTTGAGGATTATAATGATGAAGAAGAGGCTGAGGACTGGCTGAAGCAAGCCCCGTCCTTTCATAATGCAACGGCGTTCGCTGCAACAATTTCCACGCGCTCTACTCCCGACTTCGGGATGGTATTTCATGCGTACGAAGCGTTTGATCTCGCCCTTGGTGACGCGGTGAAGCCACAGAAAACCGAAAGGACTGCTATGTATCTGCCCGCGGCAGCAATGTGGACAAGAACCGGCGGCGTAAAGCTCTATCGCTTCTGCGCTGGTCGTTCTGGAGTAGAAAGTGCTGCAGCAGATGTCTTGGCACAGGGCGGTCATGGTCTGTCCCTCGGACGTTGGTCACACTGGCGAGAACGATTCGAGGCTCTAGCACTGGCTGAGATTGGTGAAATATATCAGGAAATCGCGGCGAGCGCGGCCTCGCGCATGAAGGAGACTGAAATCGATGACCCAGCGTAGACGTCTGAATAAGCTCGGGCGTGCTTCAATCTGTATACACGTCAAATCACAGATCTGGCACCACTACTTTGCGTCAACTCAGGTCACCTATCTTGGCTGTGGAACCTATCCAGAGCTTCACCGTGGCCTCCTGCTGATGATCGGAGGGAGATCGTCCTCGCACCACATGTACACAGGTCTAACACCGCAATGCTGCATCGTGGGAAAGCAGTGACAAGCTCTTATACTGTCCTTGCAATCTGTACAAGACCAGGACGCAGACCTTCGCGTACTGCATGTCAGTCACTCACCGTGAACAAGTTGAAAACGCGGCCGTTCCTTGCACTTGATTGATGGCATCAAGCCATGAGGACTTTACCACCAGAGAGTTGATTATCACACTCGTTGTACCTATACAGATAGGGAAGCTGCTTCTGCAAATATTCTTATCTGCTTCCTCCAGAGCAAGCTTTTGCGTGTAGTCACAACTTATTGTCTGGTCTTCACAGAGGTTCGAGGTATGTCGTTGACAACATTACTCAGACGGGAATTGGCTAATATCTTTTCAATCGTGAGGTACGAGGACTTGTTAAATCATTGTAAATGGAGGAAGCTACTGCTGTCAACACTTCCAACCACTCCACCTCAAATCCGTAGAATGGATTTTCTTCCCAGCATCGAGAGAGTCATCGTGCTATCGGAAGTCCATGCTGGTCAGTCCGGATGTCCAAGCATTGACTGAATTAAAACGAGCAGCTGATATCGTCGTGTTGTGCCAAGCTGCGGCAGACGCACAACCTACAACAGCACGATGCCCGTTTGCCTATAGCCAATCCACCAACAGGCCGGTAGCATCGATGCCAATTGTGGTAGGTCCGACTACAAGACGACGAAAGAATGATATCCCAGTCCTCTATGAGACTTAGAGCGTTCGATGAAGACACTTTAGTCTTCACTAGACTAATCACTAGCGTCTTGTTCGAAGTCACGGGACTCGGGTGTGACGGGCCGAAGCAGCTTCGCCCACAGTACAGCGAAGTTTGGCACTTTAGCGACAGTCTCTTTCGGCGCAATAGGTTCTTGGCACATCCATTGGCCTGCCTATGGCCGCAGGTATAGAGCTATGGAGAGGGTACAAGGTACGTATGATTGGTACTGTACGTCTGTCCTTCAGCCTCGTCGCCAAAAACCCAGTGGCATCTAGAACCAATGTCTCGGACATTGAAGACCGTACTCGAGCTCGAGGCTATCCAGGAACGCTGCTAAATGCCAGCATGATTCGACCTACAGGCTTGATGTCTCCTGCTTGGCAAGCGCATGATTCGAGGAAGAACAGATGCCCCGAATATGGGCACCAGACATCGACCCAATAGATTCACAGGTATACAAGCACAGCCGAGCTCGCGTTGAGCTCGATTGACCCGTTCATCAACATACTGATCTGCGGAGAGCCATTCGGTAAGCCACTATAAGTGTCCCAACTTTGACCGCCCCATGTAATACCAGCTGCGAGCTCGTCAGCAGTTTATCCATACACAAGTACGAAGTAATTCCGATGGAGGCAACCCACAAGTAGCACTGAGTGAAGAGAAATCCAGCCGCTTATACGTAGCGCGGGCATGTCGGAGATCAGGGATATCAACTAACAATGTTGGACGGGTGCCATTTGAACTGATAGCAGGTGTCAGCACTCTTCTGGCGCGCGAGGGGACGACACAAGTTGGGCCGCTTACACGGCCGTCCAAGGCACTTCATTTATCAGCATCAGGCGTTTGGATTGATCGCCCTCCCAGATCTGATATGCTGCAAGATTGGAATTGTCGGTCCACAACTCGTTGATAAACTAGGATATATTAGTACAAACACTCTAAGCACACTTATTAGTATGACTCACAGCATTGCCGGAAGTGCCGATAGTGTCCGCTACCGCAAGCATGCCATAGTATTCGGGCAAAACGTGGCGTTTTGCTGACGCCTCATAGTCGGTTACGTTGATGCCGATATTGTTCAAGGGTTCGAAAGCTTTAAACCATCAGGAGGTGAACTTGACTAGGACATCTTGAGCAAGCAAATTATACCACTATAGTTATAGCCAATGCCTTGGTGGAAGTAGACGCAATCGACACCGATACTAGCCGCTTGCAGGCTGTAATCGACAAGCCATAGCGCAGCCGCAGCCGAGTTGCTCACACCTGGCTGGCCGTGGCCGAAAAATGTGTTTGTCTCACCGAGAACAAATGATATGCCAGATTTCTGTGCATCCAAGACCGAAGCCGAGAAGCGCGACAAATTCCCGCGGATGTTTGACTTAGTTGTGAGTTGCGTGGCGTAGCTGGGCCAGAATGCAGCTGGTGAGGTAGTGGCGTCGACATTTGTTTGATAATGGTGCTCGGAAATAGCGTTGACAGATCTGGTGACACGTTCAACATAAACAAGACAAGAACGACGAACGGTATGAATCACTTACGGACCCATTACAGACTCCAAAATGCCAGTCGACAACAACTGCGCAGCGCTCCATCCACCAGCAAAGTCTCCGACTCGGTACTTTAGATTTCTCTGTTTCACGGCGGAACTAATCGCTTCAAAGTACTCGATGCTGCGTACAAGTCAGTGGCTTCGTGTGTACCGTACAAAACGCGAGGATTCGCATTACGACTTACTATTGGGAGGAATATTCCCAGATGGTCCAATTCGTGGGACGCGAACCCCCTCGAAAGTTGTCTGGTTCGTTGCCGATCTCGATATTGAGCAATTGGACGTCTTTGCAGTGTGGGTCCTAGACGTATCCGGTTAGTCATCGCCATTAATGATGAGTGATGATGGAGCCATGACCGACTGCAAATGCTTTAACTATCTCCTGTACCTCTGCTACCGCTTCACTCGCATTTCCAGCTCCGAGATTGACGCCCCAAGTGATAATAGATCCTTTCGGAAGGTTACCAGAACACAGCCAGTAGTCATACCCAGCACCGACAAACAGCGCCTCCGGAAATAGTTGCTTTGTACCAGTGATGTTCTCTGGCACAGGGGCGAACACGTTATAGTAGCCTGGATTGCCAGTGACTCCTGTGGTGTAGATCGTGTGGTCTTGAGTATCACCGCCGACTCTACCCAGACATGAACGTTAACATCTGCGCATGACTCCCTGACTAGATATTCGTACCGAATTCTCGGCGCCACACCAGTCATTTCTTTCAGTGTACTAAGCAGCGTATAAGTGTACTTATTCTTATGAGACACATTACCAACCCAATCTGGCCACCGGTCTGGCTCGATCGAGAGACCCAAGAGGGCTTGTGGCAAAGGGAATGCAATACATGGTTTGGTAGAAGAGAACTGCAGTGTAGAAATTGTGCTTTCCTGTGCTGAAATATAATGGCTAAAGAAGCAAGAGGTAAGCAGAAAGGATAGTAAAGCCATGTTTTTACTTGTATCGAAATCAGACTCTGCACGCTGCGAGAGCATCGATATAGTATATATTGTGGATACATAGAGTCCATATCTCTAATGCCGATGATGAAAGAGGTGGTTATAATTGGTGGACTAAGTCAAACCCACACCGTACGGACTGGCTCCTCCGTTGCCGTTTGTATAGAGAGAGTGCGGGGAGAAGACGAGAATCGGCTACGACTCAGTTGGCCGAACTAGAAACATAGGGATAGCGGAACTCTATCGAAACGTTCAACGTTTACCCGTACTCCGTACTATAGGCTTAAGTAGGGCAAAAAGCAGAAGATCAAGTATATAGTACGAAGCTAAACCTATCGACTAACTATAACTTACTTCTATATAGAGACTTCTTGCTAGACATCTTCAGTCTTTATAACTGCTAGTCTTTTTAAGATAAGTATAATACTACGCTTACTCTATTAAAAAGTCTTAGCTCTAAACAACCTAGAGTACGCTATGTAAATAAATAACTATTATAGAGAATAGCAAATATATAACGTAGCTCTAGAAGAGTATTTGCTATATCCGCACATGCGCCCGACACGGAAGGGGTCAGTGTCAGCTGCTTGATAGAATTATAGAAGACTGTCTGAGTTGCTGGGATTATTGCCTGCTTCAGCTCCAGCCCCATGATGGCCTTGAGTGCCCCTAGACGTTCGCAGACTGTGAAATAGGTGACGACTTCGAAGGCAAAGGTGAGCGCGATCGTCAATAGCTGCGCAGACGTTTTGGTACTACCTCGAATGGATTAGGGTAGTCGAGGTCAAATGATCCATGATTGTTCGAAGCAACTTGAGCATTCTTCGACTACTTTACACGAGTACCTACTCAACCCCTTCCGCCCCATTCCAACGGATCCATCTTCGTAGGCATCAAAATCTTTGTCTCCCCTCTAATAACCAGTACTGTTCCCTCTCGAAGTATCAACAATCATTGCAGTAGTGTATGGAGTACCACCTTCACCGGAATCGAAGTTTCCCTCAAGCGGCGCAAAATCGGTATCTGCCCAGATTTTTTGAATCCTTTTCGCCGAAGTAGTGAGCCTTGTGCTCACCTCCTTGTATTTCTCTTAAAGTAGCCTGCCCCCCTGCTTTTTGAAGATTCCATTCACGATAACGTCCTCAATGTCTCCAACGTCAGAGTGAAGGATGATAGCTGCGATAGGATCGCTCCAGCCAAGCATGTTTGGCGCAGATGTATCAAAAGCGACTAAGTCGGCCTTGGCACCTTCTCGAATGATACCTAGGTCTGGACGGCGGAGAGCCAACACTCCCGCTCGAGTGATGAGGTAGAAAGCCTGCTCAACTGACATTGGGTTGTTCTTCGGAACTTCCCAATTCTCTAGAGGTGCCAAATATTGAGAGCCTCTGAGGATTTGCAGCCACATGCGACCTTGATTGACCATTGGAGAGCTGTAAGTGAAATGGCAGTCAATACCCAAAGAAGTTTGATCCTGGATTGAGTGGGCGTAGGGATGATTGTGGCCGAAGTGGAGCTCTGACTCCACCGTTGTAGAAATTTATTGGTTCGTTTCCCGGAGAATCTGAGCATCCCGGTAGGTCATGAAGCTAGCGTGTGCAAGAACAACAGGAATAGTGTCATTTAGCCATCCGCGAGCCTGGAGAACCTCGGCGCTGTTAGAGTGGCCCCAAGGACCGCCGAGGTAGTGTGATGTAACCGCCGACAAATTCGAAGCCTTCGTAATGTTCCACAATTCAGTGATGTTTGGAGTAGGGGCATCGTAGAAATTGTCGTATGCAAGGCCGAGAGTCAATACCGAGTGGTGATTGAAGCGAGCGTCTTGAGTCAGCGCCCGAAACTTCTGAATCTGATCCTCCCATGACCATCCATTGGGGACAATGTGGATAGCGTGGCCGTATACTGTGCGAACGCCGCTATCAAGGGACCCGTTGATACAGGCGTCAATTGTCTCATTCGAGAAACTTGCGTGTGCATGGTCAAGAACAGTCGTCGTACCGACGTGTAGACGTTCAAGACTCCCAACTAGCTGAGCCAGGTACAGATCGTCGGTTGTGAAATACTGTTCAGCTTGACTGAACTCGCTGTATTTCTGGAAGTATTCGGCCAATGACGTGTTGGAGCCTATAGTCTTGAAGGGAGTCTGCCAAAGATGCTACCAACAAATGCAAGTCAGCATGATTCAGCCATGACCTAAGTGAGCGTACTGTATGTGTATCAATGTAACCTGGACTAATGATTTTGTCTGTCGCATTGATGATGGTCGGATTGGTGGGAGGCCTGTTGGGCAAGCGCACATGCGCTGAATGATAGGCCGAGGGAGATGGTGTTGAGCCAATTCATCCTTGTTATCTAACGATGGTGGTAAGGCACGTTGCGAGATCGAAAGTGAGGTTCGACGCAGAGACATAGGCATAGTGCATATACTTAGGAGCGCGTTCAGCAAAAGCTGATGTCGCTGACGCTTCGCCTGACGGCCCGTTGAAAACCGGTCATGGGGGCCTGCCTCATCGCACAACATTGTGATCGTGCGCGCTGACATTCGATCCTGTGGAGGTTCCATATGTTCGGGTTCTTTCGGGTGAGGGATCAACCTACGTGCGCTGATATGCACCGGATAGCGTGCTGGCTCATATCGAACCTGGACAGAAACTCCACCAATGGCAGCTTGCAGGTGGTCGACTCCTGCGTAGTTGGCTTTGGGTTTGGGTTTGGGTTTGGATTTCTGCTTGGAATTTGTGGGGAAACCATGCGGGAAAGTTTGCGTTTTCCAATGCGCGTACGGGGCGCAACTATACAGAAGGATATAGCTGGCGGGGTGTTGTCGTATTCTATCCAAGAAGCCAATGAACACGAGGGAGTGTCACTTTCGACCGGTAGGGATCGGGATGAGTGATGTGCAAACTGCATCGCCGCATGGCAACCACGCCCCATTCACCGCCAGACGCCGGATCTGTGAGCGAGTGGCCAATACTGAGCGTGGCAGCTGTCACTGTTGCGTCCAAATTCGCCATCAGTGGACCAGTATGAGGATTTCAATACCGTCGTTCGTCCTTCGCGGAGAGATTCGGCGCCAGCGTTGCTTAGCAATACGCTGTAAGGACTTGAGCTGGTCGCCAAGTCGGATGTTAGGCACCCGACACCTCGTATGTCTGCGGCCTCCGTCTCGAGGATCAGGAGCTTACGATTTCGCCCTCTGGACATGCAACATCCCCAGAATGTGCATACAACTATGAGGAACGAGGCTTATAAGCATGGGTTTGGCAGTTCCCAACTTCCTCCCACTCGGAACTCTTCTATCACTTCCTGCCCGTGCCTCGTCCTCAATCCCTCCTCTGTCATTGATCATGTTTAAGAAAGCCTTGGCGGACACGCCTCGCGAGGCGCTGAATCTCCGCCTCCTACTGGCCGTTGTTTGCTTCGGCTTGATGGGTGCAGCTCGCGGTCTTGACGAGGGCCTCATCGGAACTACCGTTGCCCAGAAGTCTTTCATGACTGAGTATTGCCTCAGCGTCACCGGGACCCGAACGGCGGCAGAAGTCGCCCAGCGGAAAGGGAACATTACCGCCATGGTGCAGATTGGCAGCGTCGCTGGATCGTTGATCGCCTTCGTCTTCGCCGACCAGGTTGGTCGTCTGTGGGCAACCCGAGAGCTCTGCGCCGTCTGGATCGTTGGAGTCATCGTCTACATTACCTCGGGTGGGAATTACGGTCAGGTCCTGGCTGGCCGTTTCGTAATGGGCCTGGGTATTGGTCAAACAACCGTCATAGCGCCGGCGTGAGTCGTCCCTCGCCCTCTCCTAATGGCTCTGCTGATGCATTCTAGCTATCTTTCTGAAGTGGCACCCAGGGGCATGCGCGGCCTGTGCGTCTGCATCTTCTCTGGCTGCGTCTACCATGGTATCATGCTTGGCTACTTCGCCAACTACGGCACGTCGTTGCACGTCTCTACACACTCGGCGAAGCAGTGGATCTATCCCACCTCGATGCATATCATCTTCGCCGGACTGATCATCATTCTGAGCTTTGTCGCTTTCGAAAGCCCAAGGTACCTAATGAAGGCTGGTAAGATTGAGCAAGGCGCCGCAACTATGGCCAAGGTAAGAGACTGCCCTCCGCCTCAGGCCCCCGATTGAATGCTTACGCGCTGCAGCTTCGGGGCTTAAGCGTGGATCATCCCTACGTGCGTGCAGAGATGATCGATATCAACGATCAGCTCGAGCGAGAGCAAGAAGCAACGATGGGGGCCGGGATTCTTGGTCCATTGAAGGAGCTCTTCTTCATTGGACGCAACAGATACGCCATCGTCCTGGGATTGATGTGTCAACTCCTTGGCCGTACGTTGCCTCTGTATTAACTTGCAGATCGCGCTTGAGCTTACTTGCTTGTAGAATGGTCTGGGGCAAACAGCATCACCATCTACGCACCCCAGTATTTTGCCTTGCTTGGCTTGAAGGGCAGTCAGGAAACCCTCCTGGCGACTGGTAAGTTTCTGCCGGCGAAACTCACAATCGAGATCATTGCTGAACACATCCAGGCGTGTTCGGGGTTGTCAAACTAGTTGCAGCACTTACCTGCGCGTTCTTCCTCGTTGACTTTATTGGTCGGAAGCGAGCGCTCTACGTTGGCATTACGCTGCAGTTCATCAGCATGTTCTATATCGCCGTCTTTCTCGCGACTGTGCCCGCAATCTCCTCGACGGCCGCTGCTTCTGGCAAAGAAGTGCTCACCGCAGCTCAGCAACACGCCGCGACCGGCGCAATCGTCTTCATCTACATCTCTGGTGTCGGCTGGGCCTTGGGCTGGAACAGTATACAGTACCTCATCGGTGCTGAAATCTTCCCACTCAGGATTCGTTCCCTCGGCACCAGCATAATCATGTGCTTTCATTTCATCAACCAGGCAAGTCAATCACGATCATTCTCTGCTAGAGGAAAGTACTGACAGCAAAGTAGTATGGTAATTCGAAAGCTGTGCCGCTCATGCTACTTCCTTCTACGCAAGGTGGCATCACGCCCCAAGGCTCATTCTGGTTTTTCGCCGCCGTAACCCTACTCGGTTTGCCCTACGTTTGGTTTTTCTTGCCAGAGACGAAGACCAAGTCCCTGGAGGCTATGGACGAGCTTTTCTCCCTACCCTGGTACAAGATCGGTAGGAAAGGCCGGGAACTTACCGAGGGCAAGGGAAGTGTCGTCGAGGCACTTGCGAGTGTTGGCCCAGAAAAGATGGAGCATGCGACCGAGGTTGAGAAAGTCTGAGGGGTGTCCTTTGGTGCATGCGAAGTATCGTGCAGCGTTCTATACCAGTACGGTCAGACTCGACTAGATATGACGTTGCGAACGATACGGGAAGAGGTAGACTGCGCCTGCGATACAGAGAGGAAACTAGGACAGACTGATCGTATACACACCACGCGTATCATTTGATACACACCATTCTAGGATTTCTCACGATCACCAGACCATGCAAGACCAGATCATCGCCAAGCTCGAGCGGCATCAGCTGTCGAGGCAAAGGTCGACTGGACCGAATAGCGTATATTGACAGCTTCCGCACGATCGAGCTAGACTACTTCTGCACACTTAGTTGCGTAACTTCCTTGTTTAGAACATTTACTTATTACCCATCCCATCCCCCAGCACCGCCACCACTTGACCGCTCGTCCTGCTCGTGCTGATTTAGATCTCTGAAATCGGGACTCAAGGCGTGGCTCACATCTGATTCGCTCTCATCACTGCGAAGCAGGTGCACAACTGCTGATCGCATGCTTTTTTTCACTTTGTAAGAACAAGCGTCGATGATGCTATGCTTATAGGTTCGAAGATGAAGTTAAGGAATACACGGAACGACAAAACGAACAGCCTACCTTGATGTCACCAGAAACTCGATGCGCGCGCTAGCCAGGGCTTACCTCACCCTGCTTTGCGGTCGAGCCCACGCTCCAGCCCATCTGCTTACGACAAATACCAATACTCCCGTGGATCAGCCGTCCCACGATACATCTCCGCAATATGCTCAAACACCAGCGCCCTCGCCGGCGCAGCAATATTCGCTTGAGAAGGGAAGATATCAGCGCCCTTACTCACCACCGTAGCACAAGCCTGCTGGCAGCACCGAGCCATGACCTCCGTCGGACTACTCGCCTCTGTCACCGAAGCATCGAGACCATAGTCCTTGTTATTCACATCGGATACGGCCTCAGGCTCGAACCTCGCAGCCTCTTCGAACTTATTCTGCTCTATGCAAGCGACGATACTGCTTGGTGGGAAGATAGCAGGTCGCTCCGAGTCTGGGTCCTCGTATGTCGTTCTTGGATTGGCAAGGAAATGTATCAGATCGGGCTCGCAGCCGATATGCGTCAGCAACTCATGCAAAGTCGTAGTTCGGATCTACACCCTGCGCACAGAGACAAGATGGCAGAAATCCACAATCTTCGCCGTTAACATAACCCAAGCACAAACCCCCACTGCCCCCAAACTCCCCTTATGCTGTCGAAACTCAATCGTCCCCTTCAACTCCTCCGCCCATCGACTCTCCTCTCCATCCGGCAACAGATTCTCCAGGTTCAAAGAACTATTATGGCCATAAGATCCCTTCTCAATCATACCGGGGAAGACTACAGTGTCAGGGATAGAGAATATCTTCCCTAGACTCTCGTACGTGCCTTTCCGCTGGATATTAGCCAACCAGTCCAGAAGTCCAGCTTCTGACTCCGTCTGGCGATTGACACGATGGAAGAAAGGAAGCGGTGCATGGCAGAATTTCACGCAGTAATCTGTCGGATGTCTTAATTCTGTCCGCTGGGTGTATCTCATCTAAACAGCGCTCGAACGCCGTCATGAAAGTGAGTACATTCTTCGCCGTCTCGAACGGGATCTTGGAACCCCCTGCCGTTACCTATGTGGATGTGGAGACCTGTGGAGGAATTAGTGATGAAACGACAGGGGAGTGTGGTCTGGACTCGGATCAGTGTGTTCATTACTTTCTGCACTTCACCTCGCCAGTCTTCCGTAGGGGTGAAGATGCGGCTGCGGAGGCTCAATGCACTCTACCACGTAGGCCTCGGGCTTCGCTGCCGCTTCGCCGAGCGAGAGACGGGAGGGTTTCGATTTCGAAGACTCCATTGGCTATATGGTTCTTCAATTCCATTTAGGTCTTCGTCGAAGGGGTCGGCGACGCGGATTCCGGCTTCCAGGAGGGCGTGAAAGATTGCATTCTGCGCTTTCAGGTTGTCGGCTGGCAGGATGGAGGTTACTTCGGGGTGATGGGGGAGCCAGGTGGTGTCTTTGTGGTAGAGGGCGAGGAACTCGAGCTCGATGCCGAGGGTTAGGTTTTAGTGGTGCCATGATGGTGGTACATGGTTAGTGTACGCTGTGCGTCCTGCAGGCCTGCCACAGAGTCTTTGATTTAGGTACTGACTGGATGTGGGCACTCTGGCTCATCGGCCGAGTCGGTATAATAGCGTGGCGAGGACAATAAGTCAACAAAGAATGCAATGTTGCTTAGACTGAGAACAATGCCAGAACTAAGGGAACGAAGGTCACCCAGTCTTCCTCGGGCTATGGAACAAGGACAATTGGGCACTTCTACACTAAGGCCCGGGGCGTAGGTATAGCAACCTCACGAGAATTCATGTCAGCACACTCAGATGGCAGCAGTGCTCCACGAGCGCCATGTAGACACACACTCTTTGCTCCGTACTCCCTCGCCGAAGTCACTCCATTCGTACTCGCCCGACCTCGTTCGATGTCTTTCCCCACTTGACCTGAGGCCTGGTAGGAGTCACTGGCTTCACCACTGTGTGGCCAGCCGGACATGTTTTCGAGCTTCAGTCCACGATCGCTGAACCGGAAACTCCAGAAGTGCTGATGCGCTTCGATCTCAATGTCATCTTCTCCCGCCATGCAACCACGCCACGATACTGCAAAGACAGGCGTAGACTTGAGAGTATGTGCTGGTCAACGACCAGGAATCGGCATTGCAGGAAAGAATGCGTTGGGCGGGCCAAAACTCCGTGCCGAATTGTATACGTATTGGTGGGATGGCGTAAAGGCGTCAATGACGGCTTTCGCGGTCAGTCGTGAAGCTAGCACCGAGAGAGCTGTGATACGGCGTGTTCTGTCTTTGCTCCCAGGGCATGCAGCTAGACGTCGCTTCACCTCAGAATGGGCCGGTGATCAGGGGTTATGGCACAATCGCTTGGTAGCGAACCTGCTCAAAAACCAGCTCAATTGCTCATCACATCTATCACTAATATTACACATCCCGTTTGAATCGTCAATTGACTGGCTAGCTACATGTAGCCTTATCCCTCCCTATGTTTCCACGCAATGCAGTTTTGCAAACAAAATCCCATCGGCCGTTGGTGTCATGTTTCTCGCACTCATTTCATCGATCGATCGTATAGCTCATCTTACATTTGTCCTCTTCCTCTCCTTGCCCAGCAGCTGTTGGATGTGTTTTGGTGGGCTTCCCGGTCTGCTCGTCCGAAGTGCTGCTGGTGCAAGCCGAGTCCAACATGGCGCTTGGCAAAAGCTCCACTCAGATGTGTAGACCCTCACCTCCCTGAGCGAACCCCCAAGCCAGCCATTCCCTCGTCCAGCCTTTGCGCACCTCAGCACCCGACACCCCACACAAGCCCACCACAAACTCACACCCTACTCATCCAACTCCAACAACTTCCTCAACACCCCCATCTCAGCATGATTCCGAAAATTCCGCATCCGATGACACCACACCACCTCGCCCTCCTCCAACAAAAACTCCCCGCCAATCTGCATCGGATTCCCGCCCCTCACCACATCCTTGTACCTGATCCCGTCGGGATCTCGCAAACTCTGCCGCATCTGCTTCATCTGCCCCAGCCCCCATGCAGCGGCACTGATGTCCTTCATATATTCCGGCCGGGTGGTGCCGATATTGGCGCTGATCACCATGCCGAGTTTCTTGAATAATTGGCGGGTGGGGTCGGCGAAGATGGGGAAGGGGCAGTTGGTGAATTTCTTGTAGTGGGTGATGAGATCCGGTTTCCCGCAGCCGATGACTATTATCGAAGTCGGGATGGGGATGCTGAAGTAATCTTCTTTCGTGATGCTCTTGGCGAGGCATTGGAGATAGGCTTGGCAGGCGCCGCAGTAGAAGTGCCGGACGAAGAGCACCAGTTGGCGGGAATGCAGGCTGTAGGCTGGGTCGTAGAGGGATCCGAAGGGCCGGGAGGTGCCGTCCGCGGCGTAGATGGGGAGGTCGTAGACGGCGGCTAGGGTGGCGCGGTCGGGACATTCGTCGCTGACGGCGATGGCGAGGTCGGGGTCGGAGCGGAAGCGGGAGAGCCATTCGTCCGCGTCTACCACGTCTGAGGGTGGGAAGGAGCAGGATGGGCTGTCGTCATGATCGTGCGAAGGAGTCGCTGGTGGATATGATGCCGAATCGTCTACTGAGGAGGCGGCAGTATGCGTGGTCGTGGTGGCGTTGGTCCGCATCGTACTGGCGTTGCTCGGCTTCGAAAACCTCGTGTCCTGCGAACTCGGCGACGTGGGAGACGTATTCTTACTACTGCGATTCTTCTTCATGCTGACCGCTCTCACAACCGCAGGAGGTTCAAAGGGCCGCTCAAAGCGCGATGCGCCCACTGGTGAGACGTCGCGCTGCATAATCTACTTATTATTTCCCTGTGGATGGGCTGCTGACAGGATTTCCGGTCTGAGCTGCTGCAAGCCCAGACTTCTAGGCGTTTTTGGGTGGGAAGGTCTCAGATCCTGTGCTCCACACTTGTGTCCGGGATGAGCTTTGTTGGTTGGGAAGGCCGGGATGGTCGCGCGTGTCAGATTGTGCCAATGGGTGAGGCTGAAACACTGAGGCCGTGAGTGGTACTGTACAGTAGTGAGAGATGCACGCAGTAGGAAGAAGGAGGAAGAAATGTGACGATGGAAGTTGGTGGAGAGCCAGTGGTGGAGCTCTACAAGCAGGAAATAGTTATGGTTCGTCGATCGGCAGTAAATGACTTTACCGTCGATATGAGGCGCTCACCTACAGTATGCTTTGCCGCCGCACTACGGGGGCGTTTATCTTGTTCTTAAAGCTGCTTTCCCGTTAGCTTTGGCGTTCTTGGGTGGTGCGACGCGCATTTCCAGATCCCGCCCACTTTTCCCCTTGTTGCCGGTGACGTGGATGCAGGATTGCAGGCGCGGCAGAACGCTCACGCCGATCGGGCTTGGATATTGCGTGCATAAGAACTACAGTATACTGTAGCATGCAGAACCCGTGTCTATTTTGAGATTGTACATACAGTAACTGCCCGCTCACCCTTTCCTATCAACAGTGACTGCATGCCTTTCGAGCCATGTCTCGATGATAACGTCAGCCATGTCTGTATAATACTACGACCTCCCTTCAACGGCTTGTCTGAGACATTGAGACTTCTGGAACATCGCCACGAGATCGCCAGGAGCCCTTCCGTCCCGCCTTGGCGCTGCGCCATCTCCACAATCCGCAGCTGAGAACCCTGCTCTTCCCGCATCAGTTCACCCGTTTTAGGACAATCGATCATTATTGGGACCTCGTGGCTGGCGGGCGTGCAGAGACTTTGATATCGCGGTAACCCTGTTAGTCGATATTTTAGTCTTTGCCGGATGGCCCAAGCGAGTCTTCGTTTATGAAGCGAGGTACAAGTACGGCGCTATGCCACGAGACTAAGACGTAGGAGATGCGGTCAGACTCAGCAGTAGCCTTGATATCAGCTTGCGCGAGCCTCCTACGAATCGGGACTGCTGACGACATGCTGCCCCGAGCATAGCTGCATGGCTGCACGCGAGTCGAGAAGAACCTCTTGAACGGGTCCGGAACTGAATAGATGCCAGTCCCATAAGCTGCGTTCGGATGGTTTGTGAGAACACGACAAGAAGGGACACTGACTGCTGCTTTGCCTGGGCAGCTTGAAGAAATGCAAGAATTGCTCAAGGCAAGCAGCCGCTACATCAATATAATCCTGGTCTTGGCCTACCTCACTGGTGCTCACGCCTTCACCGGGAGCCATATCTCCTCTTACTCCTCGGTAGCTTTTCGTGACCCTACATAAGCAAACCAACAACCGCCACCACAGCAGCCGCAGGAACCACAGGCACCTTATACACCTGCACCGCCGGCGTAGCCACTGCTCCCGAGTGAATAGACGTACACGAACCCATAACTGCCAGGATTTTGTCCTGGCCGCCCGTCACACGAATCGTACCGTTGGAGTAGCTCATGGTGGGCGTAGTCGTATTTGCTGAGGCCGTGGCACTGAGGGAGTATTGTGCGATTTCCTTGCATGTCGCTTGGCCTGTGATGAAGGTGCATGATTCGGAGATGGATGTCGCTTGGTTACTGGTGAGGGCGGTGAAGTTGTGCTCGTACCAGCTTGGGCCGGCTGATGCCATGATCTGGGGAAGTAAGGATCAGCTCAGCTGAATTGTTCATATATGCTTTGTCGAGGTCCGACTTACCGTGCCAGTCAAACCGGGGCAAGCACTAGCATCTGCGCACTGCAACGCCATCGTGGTCTGGCAAGCATCTGCTGATATAATCGAAGCAGCTAGAGCAGTACTCCAAGAGGTCAAGAACGGCACCGTGACGATCACTTCCTTGGATGAGCTGGACATAAGCGTCGTGCTCGGATGACTACTCGTCTCGCTCAACGTTACCGGCACGATAGCAGGGGCCGTCACTGGGACTGAGCTGGTCGAGCTCTTAGTACTCCTAGTACTCAAATCACACTCGCCAGTAGCCATAGCCAGCAGTTCCCCTCCAGCCGTAATCTGCACGAAAGCTGGCGAGGCATCGACCCCCGTCAAGGTAATCGAGCTCGCTTCCACAGCCCCATGAGCGATGGATCTCGTGCTCGTGCAGACCGCTGCGTTGCTGCCGGATATGGCAGAGCAGGACATCGAGACGCCCATGATTGCTGGATCCCTGGTCGGACTGAAGGTCTCGTCATAGCCGAGGGCACTTTGCGTATGTGTTACCTGGATGCACGATTGTCAGCTATGGCGCTGATGAGGTGAGTTGAGGTCTTGTGACCAGGCTTCTTGAGAGGGAGCGGTTGGTTGGTGGAGATGTACCTGACCGCTGAGATTACACCCTGCGGCCGTGCAGTCGAAGATGTAGGTCGTGGAGCAGGCATCTGCCGCTACGACCGAGGCGGCGAAGAGGTTGAAGTCGTGGTAGAAGAGGATGGTGGCTTCGTTCGTGTTGACGGAGGTGGATGGTGTGGAGGCGCTGGGTCGGGAGGTGACTATTCTGACGAGGCTGCCGGCCAGGATGATTTCACGCCAAGACATTGTTGTTGCTTGAGGACGGTCGGTGGTGGGTGTTAGATGGTGGCTATGAGTTCTGACGGGAGTCGGCAGGGCAAAGGATTCGTTCGGACACGACTCGGAAGGTATCCAGCCTTATTACCTCTCCGCTACGACGAGAAGGCTGGCAAGTACGATGTTCTCCTCACTATTGTTCCTGCGTGGGAGGAAACACAGTGTGTTCTTGTATCACGACACCGTGCGGCATGCACAGGCTACACAGGTACTCCTATGCACACGCCTCTCACTCTCGTAGGCATGCGTGTTCATGCTTTGCGGCATAGCCGGTGGGTATTAGCCACTGCTTGGAGGCTTCGGGATGATATCGTTCGCGGTTCGGAGTGAGCTGTTGCGCCAGGTCGATTACCATATCTTCAAGGATCTCAGGTCTCCTCGGAGTTTTTGCTGTCCTTTCTCATAGCCATATGGAGCGACTCGCTGCTCCAGAAATAGTTGGCAGATGGTGACATGATGTATGGTGACATGCATCGAGCATGCGTCAGCTGTGCTATTGAGTGGCAAGGTCAGACACGCGGGCAGGAGAACGATTGTGAGGTTGGACTATGCCCAGCGCTACTGTCTTGCCACGACAGACTGCTTCACGGCGTGGCTGTCGTGTTGCGAAGAGTACGACGATGGCATCCTAGAGCGGCATGCGACGTTGAGTTTCTGCACCGCGCGTTTCACATATCGTGTGTCTTGCGTGCTCGTCTAGATGATTCCAATCGAGGAGCAGAACGATTTTCATCTTTTCCCCCTATCAACCTTCGAGGCATCGCCAGCGATGAAGATGAAAGACATCATATAGAGCGAGATGTGAAGTACAGCTGATGTTGACACTGTAGCACCTCGTCCACGGGAAGCTGCAGCATGTGGCGTTGCGTACCGTACCTGCAGCTCTGACGCGCTTGCAGGTGTCGACTCGGTCGCCCGTTCATGCATGCCGTACATCGTGCCTCTTCGCTCCAGTCGTTATGAGCTGCATGCGTCCTGCCATGCATGGAGTCGATGGTGTTGCTCAAGGTGAAGGGCTTAGTCCTGATACTCGATCCGGACATGGAGCTCTGAGGCACGACAGCTCATGACTCCAGTGGAACGAAGTCATGGGAGGATCTTATTGAGTGTGAGATTAATTTGTAGGCCAACGCTATAGCTATCGTACACTGTAGCCATACTGCCCTCTTGGCCGACCACTAGCTATCTCTGCACCGCGTGCGGCCTCATGGACTGCCATCGAAGCGGCCTATGCTGCATGTGCTGCCATGCTTCCCCACCATCTGTTAATGAAAGTTCAAACATGCAGCTCTATGCAGTGGTATCGTAATCATATCCCAAACGCCACTTGTCCACCACCTCGCTGAATGTAGTCAAAAGGCTTATGCATATCATCATCGTCCAGTATCCGTCCACACAGAGGGATGGTCCTGTCCAATGAAACTGTCTCTATCGCTCTCTCGTGAATTAGAACTGTACGTCCTCTCCAATGGCCGTGGCATAGGCCATCGCGGTGTAGGCGGCGCCACAGTCACAGGCGACGCCATCCCGAAAGTGAAATGCCTGTCCATTGCACTCGCCGGAGTCTTGGGGTCGGGATAAGCTTCCGGCACTTCCACTTCTTCGTATGTAGTCGCCACGCCAGCTTCAGCAAGCTTCGTTGACGAGCCATAGCCGAAGTCGAAGCGCTTTGAGGCGCTTGAAGCACTATACGGGCTATTGGTGCTTGCTGACTCGAAGGTGTTGGCTCGTCGGGTGTGGTATTCTTCCAGCACTTCTTCGTCTGGCTGGTATTGCTTGTGGCGCATGAAGAGACCGAGGTAGGTTCGTGCGATGCCGAAGGCTATGGCGAGGACCAGAATGACAACGGCATATGGTATCCGAGCGAATTCATCGCTTGCTAGATTTATGCCTAGGCCGCCGTTGATGATTGCAAGGACGATTATCGATGGTCCGAGGAAAAGATGGACTTTGCTGAAGCTCGTTGGCTTCTTCGTACGTTTGAAAATGAGATGATGACTTAGGCCAAGTCCGAACTGGACCAGAACTCCAGCAAGAACCAGAAGGCCGAGGACTTGATGTGCAGAGTTGAAGTGCTTGCCCTGCGAAAATCATGTCAGTCATGGTCTTCCATACGAGTTGAATTTAGGTACACACCCGGTTGTACTCCAGTGATACAGCAACACCACAGCCGAAGCCCACAAGTACCATCACGAGGCCGAAAGATTGGACAACCCAGTGAACTGTCACGCTATGCACCCATCGGAGCAAAAGCGAGCCAAGTGGGAAGATGACAAAGAAGGCCACACTCATTATCACCGCGTGGACAATCGGGTACGTGTCACTATCCGTGTGCTCGTCGAAACCTGCCGAACTGCCAAATGAGATGAAAGTATCATCGTTCTGCACGGCTTCGGTGCCATTATGATTCGGACCCGGTACACGGCCATATTCAGCGCCTTCGTAGAAGTCCAAGGGGGTGGTGGCGACTGTCATATCCATGGTGAACTTCCCATAGTAATCATGCCGTTTTAGCGCGGCATCCTGCGAATCACTGAGCAGCTCGTCCTCTGGACCAATAGCGAAGATGAAAGGCTGCGCTTTGCTATTATAGTCTACACTCGAGTGGTTCGCGCATCCTCGGCATACTGCGTGGGAGATCATGATGCCACCTTTCTTGGCCTGGTTGCTGTTTGGGGCGTACTCGTCACTCCAGATCTTTTCAAGGTTGACGTCCATTAATTCCGGCTCGCTGTGACCGGTACCCATGCGTGGTGATGTGGTGACTCCAGTTCCGTTGGCGCTTTTGTAGCTGATGAGCATAAACGCGCCAGCCATGTTCTCGCCGATGCCCACACCGACCCAGGAGTTCTTGGTCGGCGCGGACATGTGGAAGTAGATGTCGCCATTGTGCACAAAGTTCATGCCGACCACATACTGGTCTCCTTGCGAGGTTTCGGTCACGAAGTATGATCCCTTCGCGGTCAGATCCTGCGGTTCGAGTGCGTAAGCTGGAGCCAGCCAGGCCGCAGCCGCCACGGCTGTGACGAGTATTCGTGGGAGAAGCATGTTTATCGTATATTCGCTATCGGCTAGAACCAGAACCAGGACGAGACGTGAAAACTCTCGACAGCATTAACCAGACTCTCAGCTCGCGATCACGATGCAAGAAAGGATGGAAACCAAGTCGGAAGCACCTCTCCGCGCATCTCACCTTATCAGAGCTGACAGCAGCACGGCGGTCCGGCTACCGCTTGGCCAGTACATCTATCGAGCGGCACTTAAAGTGCGCCACCAGAATAAGAACGAATCAGACTGCCTGGCCATATGAACCCGCATGACATTCGTGCAGCGAGAGAGTCACGTTGCGCAGGAACCCTCGTAACCGCCCGACGAATGGAAGCGCTACTAAGACCATGGTGTCGGCGGTAAGACGAAGGGATCAGGGCTAGAACGTGAGAGGTGCAGATGGAGGAGGTGGTAGGAGGGACGAAGTGATTGGTTGGGATGAGATGCGGGTGCGGGTTTACGCGACTTGCCGGGCGCTTACTCGGTATGAAGGAGCCGAGAATAGTGCGGCGTGGACGGGTGGGGGAGTACAGGATTGACGAGCTGACTGTGTTTTGAGAAGAATGGGAGGAGTATATACACAGTACCGACCGCCCCATGTGTACAGGACGTGTTATGATAGTTGGTACTACAGTGCGATGGATAGCGTAGCTGAGCCCGAGATACAGTGCCGGGAGAGCTTGTATACCATTACCGCTTGGCACTATATCTTACAATAGTTTACACGCCAATCGAAGTATTGCCAATACATGCTCTCTAGTAGTTTGATTGAGGGTAAATTTAGACGTCGTGGCTAAGGCAATTTTCAAGATACCACTCTCTTCTTCCTTAGCTTATTCATCATCCTCCCTCTCTTCGTTTTGACCTCCGGCTCTTGGCCCTGCTCTGCCGCAACGGACTCGAGTCCTTGTGTCCGGCTGACAGCATATCCGCCAATTCCACCAGACTTTCGTCCAACGGCACTGCCGTTGATACTGTTATCTCCATTAATAGCTGGATTTTGCCCCTGTACATCTGCAGAGATGCCAGGAGTACTACGATTGTTCGCGATGTATCCGGCTGGCAGGCCAGATGGTATGCGCACGGGTGGTGAGGAATGATACATCGGATCCGGCGGCGCATGCGACTGGGCCCATTGCGGCGACCGCCCGTTCTCATTGATATAGCGCGGCGATGCGCCGCCAGCCACTCCTTGCACTGGAGGCTCAGCGTCCCGTACAATTGGACTTACGCTGCCACGATGAGGTGATGGGCTTCCGAAGCGGTGACGTGGCGGTGGAGGCAGTGGTTGGCTATCATCGCGGTCGTCTGTCGAGTCCCATGTCCGTTCGCGCAGTGGTCGTGAGTTCTGCGTTCGTAGTGGTGATCTTGGTGGAGGAACATCGAATACAGACGGAGGATTGGGAAGATCTGTTTGGATGGGTGTCGGTGCATAATGTCCCTGCTCATGCTGAGGAGCTGTGACGACTGCCTGCACTGGCCTTTCTGCATGTCGCTGATCATACTCTGCCATCTTCATGGTCCCGGCAGCCTGCAACTCCTTCGCCACATCTCCAATACTCCTCACAGCATCTCTCAATATCGGCTTAGACTCCTTACCGAACCTTTTCAATTCTCGCAAAGCCTCTCGGCTGTCAAATGCTTGTACATTTCCACTTCCACCCTCGTAATGATGACTAGACCTTCTCCGCACCGCGTCTGCACTGGGTCGTGGTCGCAACGCCGGCGATTCGCGAATAGGACTAGGACGACTGAAGTTCGGGTTTGCGTAGGGTCTCTGAGGAGCCGCACTATCCAGTCGTGAGAGGGTCTCGGGATCCCAGTCCATGTGGTCGCTCTTGCGCTTGAGTATTGGTGGTCGCTGGTACTGCTCCGTGGATGGTAAGACATTATGTGGATACTGCGTAGCGATGGGCGGCTCTGGTGTCCGCGACTCGGGCATTTCGGCTATAGTCGTAGGATGATAATCTTCTATATTATTGCGCTCTGCTATAGGCGGTGCGGAAAGGGTGGCCGAAGGCTGATGGGTCGTTGTCGTGCCTTCATATCTGCCTCCCAGTACAGTGGTAGTCGTGGTGGTTGTGGTCGACGTCGTCACCGAGTGATTGTGACCACCGTCAATGGTAGTTCTGTAGGACTGCGCTGATACCGCGCCTGGTCGCGAGAGATTGCTGATAGACGTCGCGTCATTGCTGGTGGCATAGCCAGAGTCCTGATACTGTGCGGCCTCCATGTTTCCCTTGACGCTGATTCGGCGGAAGTGAAGTTGTGCAGTACGAGAGGAGAGAGAGGAACATACATTACCGCAGAACCTACAGGCCGCGTACCTGTCGCAACACTACCACATGTAGTAGTACAGGCTATGCTAGCGTGCCGGAAAGAGGGTGGGGTTGGTGATGATGCTACTGAAAGAGGTTGTCCAAGGTTTCGTGGCTTGAAGATTGACGGTGACATCCGCCATCGAAACTTGGCCAAGCGTGAGCCGACTCGGGCACGATCGTCACCGCTAAAGCCAGCAGTTCGCAGGAATCGTGTTTCGCCTTCGTCATGATGGAGATATATCAGCCTTTTTATTATCGAAGTGGTGCGTGTTGGAGATGCCAGAGAAGTGTTTCGACTTAAATCAATATCGGCCGGCATGTCGGCAGTACCCATGTCCTGTCTACGAACGTGACGATCACTCCTTGGTTGCTTGCTCAAAGCACCGAGCAATATACACTATGCTACTACGGACGTTCGGCAAAGCAGTAGACTCATATATGATCTTAAATGAATGCAGAAAGATGAAGTCCTCAAGCCAGTCTGCTACCAAAAATCAGCAACCGTGTAACAGCATTACAACCACGAATCCCCTTCCGAGACCGCATTGAGCTATATGCACGTATCGTATGACAATGCTACTGTACGAGACTGTATACACCTTCAAATCTGTATGTGGCAGTATACACAGAAAGTTTTCGGGTATCAAAAAGATCACAGATTGCAGACGGCAATCGTCCAGCATGCAACTACACCTGCACCGAAAATCCATTGAAGTCATTTTATCATCGCTCTCCTGCCGCTTAACCAGGTACCTCCTTCCGCCGGAACAATTTCCGAAACCCGCCCTTCTTCTCCTCCTCCTGCTCCATGCCCGGATGTCCTTGCACATGCGACACTGCCTGCACATTCTGCATCGGATTCCTATCCGGCTCTACAGGCACCGGCGGCCTCTCGGCCCCAAATCGCTGCTGAACATTGGGTTCTGGTCTTCGGCCGTCCATGGATGGATAGCGGTCGCCGGGTGTGACTGTGTGTTCTAGAGGTGGCAACTGTGGTGCGCCACCTAGACCTTCGCCTTGCTGCTGGGGTCGATGAGCTGGATGGACGACATCTGGGTTCACAGGGCTGACACTGACGTTGGGACCCGGTTTGCGGACGTCGTTCACACGGCCACTACCCCATGTTCCGGGTGCGTGGAGTCGGGGTGCGTCCGCATTCTGCTGTGGTGGTGGGAGAGCATCCGTGGGTCTCTGGACTGGTATTGCGCCTGAACCAATTTGATTCTGCTGGATAGGTGGCGATTGCTGTGACACTGTCGGTCGGAGACCGTTGACTTCTCGTAGGCGTGCCATTTCTCTTTGACCTCTCTCCATCTCCGCGCGGTTCTTTGCATTGGCAAAAGAGGCTTTCTCAGCATTGGAGCGTGGGAAGCGGCTATCCACTTCATTGTTCAGCGTAGATCGGAGAGTTTCCCCGACACCCTAGTCATGACCATATCAGTATGCGATGAGCAAAGCGTAGATAGTTGCAAACGGAACTCACATGCAGACCGATAGCAGCAGCCTTCAAACTCTCGATAGCGCTCGGCTGACTCGGTCTCGATTGCGGGTAGTTGTTCTGCGGTTGGGCGCTGTAATCGTGATGCTGGTAGCCATTCTCTTCACCTGTCGCTGCGGTTCCTTTCAGGTCTGATCTTGATGGGTAGCTAAAGTTGTGCTTGCCATAGGGAGAAGGAGGCTCACCATACGGCCCACTGTTGCGATTCGGATTCCGCATGGGCGAGGTCGGCGATCCTACATCTATGCTTTGATGGTGCGGTTGTTGCGTTTCAATAGGTGCTGGTGTAGTGCGGCGCGGTGGCTCGGTGGCTGATGGGTGCAGCCTGTTGCTCGGCCCATCACCTGGCGCCTCTGCTATTTGCGCTGAGGTGTTGTGCTCTCCAGGCCGTGTCTCGACCTGTACCATAGTTTCTTTCTTGTCGGTACCTTTGCCTTTGTGGACGGTTGTGGTGGTTGTAGTAGTTGTGGTCGTGACAGTAGTGACTACCTCTCCAGTGTCTGTGTCGAGTACTTCTCCCGTGCTCTCATTCAGGCCAAGATGTCTGTCGCGAGACACGCCGCTGATCTTGCCAGTGTTCTCAATCGGCACAGTCTTAACATACTGGTTGTCCGGCGATGGTCGATGAGTCGATGGGTCGCTCGAAGCATAGGCTGAATCGGCGCTGTGCCCATGTCCAGTAGGTGAGACGACGTCTGGCCGTCCTCCCATGCCTTCATAACTCTTCTTGCTGCCGAATAGGTTGCTGATTCGGTTCTTCTTCTTATCTTGCGTACTGAGGTCGGTCGCCATGGTGAACTCTTGCCAAGGAATTGCTGTGTAGAAACGTTCGTGGACTTCGGATCACTTACATGAAGCACGATCGAACGATGAGTGCGGCACGGGACAAGACCTCTACACTACTGTCGTAATCGTCCTATTCTGCCAGGTTCGCGTGTGCTGCTAAGCAAGATGGCTTTGGAATTGTGACATCAGTGGCACTCAGCCGACGATCCTTTTGCGGAGCTCGGTTGGCGTGCTTCCTTTTCTCCACGACCACCTGTCAAACAGAAATTCTCCGGTCAAATCAGGCATTCGCGTCGTTATATTCATCGTGACTGGGTGAACAGTCTAGTTGTCGTTCTCCAGCGACATCAAAACAAAGCATGTCAGTTCGATATATTTAAAAGCGCGGACAGCATCACGCAAAACTCCAATACCATCAAGCTGACAACTCAAATACACTTATGCACGGCGTCGTGCTTCTATATAGCCTCAGACTCGAAAACTATGTCCATAGGGCATCCGAAGCAGGCGTGGGGATTCCCAACGCGCACATGGTGAAGTAGCTTGTCATGCCTTCCGTCAAAGCATCCCAAATAGAATGCTCTTGCGGAGGGTTAAATCGTTTGCATTGCCTGCCTTTTGAGGTCAGCCAACGCAAACGCCATGGTTGTGTTCTCAACGCTCCGAATCACACTACCCTATTTGGCCAACGCTGATGAAAAAGATTGCCTTCCATTCCCTCGCAGGTCTGGCTGGGTGGAACAGTGCGGCCCTACCATTTCATGGCGTGCACCTGGACATTGAGATCGGACACGTCAGTGATATCCAGGACACAAACGATACGCGTAATTCTGTAGAGTCCAGGCCGGGAAGGCGAGTCCTAGAGCGCCGCGGCCTTTGAATGGCAACGCATTCAGCAAAAGCCATCGGGTAAAGGACGATTGATGAACAGATGTTGATGTAAATCGCAGCAGTACGCACAGTCCTTGGGTCGGACAGACCTACAGATTCTCATTGGTATGTCCATTAATCGGTCTCAGCTTGTCGACCATATCATCGACACCGTAATACAAAGCTCTCCGCTTGTCTAAAGAGCCAAAAGTGGAAGCACTCAATTCCTGACATGCCACCACGTCGATCGACTTCGCATGCTCATGGAACCGACAAAGATTAGCGTAGGTATGTGGCGGGCGCAAATCATCTTCGCTTGATTTGCGAGCAAGCAGATGAGCGAGAAAGGCACTCGGTAGCTCCATCAGGTCGTCTGGGCTGGCTCGGCCGCTGAATTTGCCACCGTAACAGTCGTACTCGCTGAGGATGAATTCGCGCATCTTGCTTGTTTCAGGTAGGTATGAAAAGGCTGCTTTGATGGAGGCAGAGGTGGCGATACACTGGGTGCGGTTATGTTCGTAGATGTACGTAGTCATCACATCGTCTCGTAGTCGCCCAATGCCACGTTGGTCAGCTAGGATGTAGAGCTCTACCCAGTCTATGTCCTGGATCTGGCCGGTCTCGATGTATAGGCGTTCGTTGGCATAGTTCTGCTCATACGCTTCAATATGTGGGATATCAGACTGGTCTCCAGGGAGTGCATCAGAGTCGTTCTCAGCGTCATCGTTGGCTTCCTCGTCGAAGATTGAGGTGCTTTCGGAAGGTGCTTCGGTCGAACAATAGCTTTCTGTTTCTTCTGCGAATTCCTCACACCCTGGTGTCCAGCCTGGCCTGAGGAAGAGGTAGTCCAGGGGCGTCTCTCCCACAGTGACAGCCTCGAACACGATATTCTGGTCAACGCACTGCATATACTGATCAGTCCGCACGAGTTCGTGGGAAGACGAGTCGTCTTCAACTTCTGGCCTCGCGGTGTTCGGCGGGACCACTTCTTGAGTATACAGCCATGCCACGAACATCCGGAAGATCCTCTCGTCCTGGTCTAGTAGAGTTATCACGCCTGTCTTCGCTTCTTCATATTGCTCGTTTCCGAATGCTGCTCGGAAGAACTCCGAGTGATGGCACAGCAACTCCTTGTGCACAAAGATAGGGACAGCATCAGGGCCAACCCTTATCGTGACGATTGTTCGGAGGAGGCCACTCCCATTTGGTCAGCGATGAATAGATATTAAGTGTCCTGTGGGAACGCACGTGATATTCACGCGACTTATGCGCGGGTCATATGTCTCTTGTGTCCCATCAATACGCCGTCGTTTATGTCCTCGCTCTCCTTCTTGCATCTCTCCTTCTTCCGGACCCTCGTACCGTTCTCTCCTTTTACTGTCGCGAAGTGCGAGATCATCGGTTGGTGTTTGGATGCTCATGCTCAGATGCTTAGGCTTTCCGTAACTATGAATTCATGCAACCCAAGGAGATCCTTCCCGCATGTTTATCGCGCCAGCTGCCGTCGACTTACTTGAGACATAGTATCGTGACTGAGCACTGCTGTGCACAAGCAATGTGGGATGATGCCGGATACAGGCGAGGTGCAGAATGGCTTGCTTTGAGCCTGGCCATACGCTCGCCAGCGAACAGTCTCTAGTACACATCGGACTCGATACTCAGGCCCCATGCCACGACCATCATGGCAAGACCACAGAAGACATCTCATATAGCATCGCTGTTGATTATACTATCGCAAGCCCATGAGGAACCTCACCTCGCTCACGTCGAGCTCTCCTCCGGCGATCAACACCGAGGCACGCACTGACGCACTGCTTGGAGGTGGAGCCGCCAGTCAATAAGTGGCAACTCGTCCTGGCAAACTTCATCCTCTATCTTTGCGCTACATCAAGACAGGAAGCTGAGCTCGTGTACTGCGTGCGAGGTTACAGTTGGATGGTTGCAATCTGCAGAAGTGACGCCATGCGTCAATCTATTCTGCGTTCGCAGCCAAGCGATGGAGTGAGAATTCGTACCTTGCCTGGCTCAAAAGAGGGCAGATGCCCACCAAAGGCGATGAGAGGTAGGTGTTCTGCATCGTTCTCCTCGACCCTCACATCTCGTCCACCGCGATGAAGAGCGTTTTCTTTGCACTGACAGCAGCTGCCACGGCGGCTGCCCAATGGCACGGCGGAGCGGGTGGAGGCTGGCAAGGTGGCCACGGCGGGGGATGGCAAGGTCATGGTAACGGTAATGGCAATGGATACGGTGGTCACCAAGGCTGGCAGCACGGCCCACCAGGCGGTGGCGATGTTGCGCCTCTACCACCGAGCTCGACTCGTGGCAACACCACTTTCACGCAGCTTACAGACCACAACAATCCAGATGTTGGCACCTTCCAGCAGTTCTACATGTGGGATACCACCTACTACAAAGGTCCAGGCTCACCTATCATCCTCTTCACGCCCGGTGAGGTCAATGCTTCGGCCTACACGAGCTACCTTGGCATCAACCGGACAACTGGTGTCCTGGCCCAAGAGATCGGCGCAGCAGTCATCGTAATCGAGCACAGGTACTGGGGCGCATCTTCACCATACACAGAGCTTACGACGGCGAATATGACATATCTGACTCTCGACCAAGCGGTCCACGACTTCACCTACTTCGCAAACAACGTCAAGCTGCCTTTTGCCAAACCAGGAAGCAATGCCAAGGAAGTCCCATGGGTGTGGATTGGAGGCTCATACTCCGGAGCCCTCGCAGCATGGATCGAGAGCGTAGACCCGGGTACTATCTGGGCATATCTGGCATCCAGCGCACCTGTAGAAGCTATCTCAGACTACTGGGCGTATTTCTTGCCGGTCCAAGAGGGCATGCCGCAGAACTGTAGCTCGGATGTCAATCTTGTCATTGAGCACATGGATACTATTTTGACGACTGGTTCTGCTGCGGAGATTCTTGAGCTAAAGACGATGTTTGGTCTGCAAAATGTCACGCATAATGATGATTTTATGAACGTGTTGGAGAATGGACCGTGGTTGTGGCAGAGTAACCAGTTTTATACCGGTAAGTTAGGTCCATTATGCGAATGCTTGAGTATATACTGACTGACCGCAGGCTACTCTGGCTTCTTCCAATGGTGTGATGCGATCGAGGGCATGACTAATGCCACCAACACGACTGTCCGCCCTGGTCCCGAAGGCGTAGGCCTCGAGAAAGCACTTGCCGGGTATGCCAGTTGGGTCAATACGACATTCCTACCAGGCTACTGTGAGACATACGGCTACGATGTGTTCAACGGCACATACAATACCTATTGCTTCAACACATACGATCCCACATCGCCCATCTTCACAGATACTTCGCTGGCCAACACTTTCAATCGCCAATGGGAGTGGATGCTGTGCAATGAGCCCTTTGGATATTGGCAGGATGGCGCACCTCAAGGTCGCTCAACGCTCGTTTCCCGACTCGTGGATGCTAACTACTGGATCCGTCAATGCGGCCTGTATTTCCCGACCGAAGACGGGCAGACATACGGTATCGCCAATGGCAAGACGGAAGCACAAGAGAACAGCTACACAGGCGGATGGTACATCGACAACAGCACACGCCTGCTCTACGTCAATGGTGGCTATGACCCATGGCGGGAGGCGAGTGTGTCGTCCGAGCTCCGACCTGGTGGACCGCTGCAGAGTACGGAGCAAGTGCCCGTGAACATCGTGCCGGGTGGATTCCATACCAGTGACTTGGTTACAGCGAACGGGAAGGCGAATACGACGGTACAGGCGGTCATTGATAAAAATGTCGCGCAGATGGCTGCTTGGGTGGCGGAGTGGCCGAAGGGGTGGCATTGGTTGGCTTAGATTATATGAAGCTCTTGTTGTGAGTGCATAGAGATGTGACGGCAAACAATGGTGCTCATGTTTGATCATTGCCTTGGAGGCATCAGTCCATCTCGCTTTTACCATGCGATTTGCCTGTCTGTCTCGAAGACTATTGCCAAGAAGACGCTCAGCCCAAGTCGTTAGCGCGTTGCAAGAAGCAGCCAATGGCGCGTGACTATGAGAAGGGACGCGTCCACGCCCATCCACGCCCATCCACGCAACCAGCTGTAACACATAGTCTATTGCCAACCAATGTCTGTCGCATCGCAGTCTAGACAGGGAGACCGTACATCAGGCTTGGAGACACACCATGGCTCCACGAGCTAGTGCTGGACCGTCAAGCATTAAGCGCGAGCGACCAGACGACTCCGCTCTACAACCTCCGACCAGCAGAAGCGCAAAGTAGTCCCGAAAAGAAGCCAGTCCGTCATCCGTTGCCCTCGTCTCAAACCTAATGTTCACGTACGTACTCCTCTACAGCCTAAATCGAACTACTCTGACTGGAAGACAGGGACCTGTACGATGGAATTGTGACCATTGCTGCTGCAGACAGCGACGCTACCATCAACGTCCACAAAGGCCTACTATTCTCGCAGTCTGCCAAGCTTATCGACCGTTCGACTCATAGCAAAAGCGAGTCCGTACAGTGTTCTAGACCTATCGCCAATCCGATCATTAGCAAAGGCTTCTCCGTGAGAGTGAATGGCGACTCTCAGCGAATACTGAACATTTTCCGCACTTGGCTTTACACGGGACGACTACGCCATATCGAGACCACGGTGGCCGAGAGTCATCCAGCCTCCTTACGTGTGCAGAAGACCGAATCGTTGGTGGATTGGGATGACACCGATCTCGCGAATCTGTATGCCTTTGCTGGCCATCTCAAGATACGCCATCTCCAAAACGATATAACCACCGCCCTTATCGCGCAATGCGAGCGACTGAACCATTTTGTGACGAAGGAAGCTGTCAAGATCATTTTCGCGGATTCCGAGAGATCTCTATTGGCCGCCTATGCCATTGAGGAGCGGGTTCGTGGTGGTATAACCCAAGAATCGATGCCTGACGACCTCGAGGATTGGCCGGCGCCTTTCTTGGCCGGCGTGATGCGTACCACGCTTCGCCACCAGCCGCGAAAAGATGCTGGACAGATGATGTCGCCGTATACCACCAAAGACGCTTGCCCGTTCCATGACCATCGACCTGCGCCGCAGGAGAGAGAGTCTTGCAGAGAGAAGCTGCGTGCCCTGCCGGTATATCTACACTAGACTGATCGACTGCTGCTACTCGGATTATCCGTACAGAGCACAAGCGTGGCATAAAGTGGACACGTAGAAGTGCCGAAAGCATAAAGTGTCAAGCTCGGAGTCGAGAATCTGAACGTCACCACATGGTATATGTCGATATACAGCTGTCCGCGCTCATTCGAAGGCTTGGCACACGACTGCCCGTGAAGTATCACAAACATATGGTCGTCCATTCGAGGTTTATTCAAGGCAGCAAAATGGATAAGTAGAGAGACTTATTAACCTGAACGCCTCGCTATTATAACATCTATGTCTAGTATCAGTAAGGATGTAGCTTTAGTAGGTCTCAAACGAATCCAAAGCTCTCCAGAGGGACGCCGGCGGCGTGTCGCCATTTACTTTACCGCTTGCTTGGCATAAATCTGCCGAGCAAAGTCTTCCGCTCGCTAGAAGTGCTTTGGCTTATAGGCCGATGTCCAGCTGTTCTGGCAGCTACTTGTCCGCCTTCCTCCATGTCATGACCCGGCTGTACATCGCTGGTCTCGAACATGGTCAATTTGCTCGGGTGCAGCCACAAGAATAACACCATGACCAGGAACATGAGCAGGGCGTCGAAGATGTACAAGAGGTACTCATGGCGCAGGAGGAAGCCGTCGTTACCCATAAGGTACTCGATAATGCGAAAGATGGACCGGATCATGATGAGAGCTGATCCGCCATATAACGACCACATGTACTTTCTCCATAGAACATCACGCTTGGCATTGAGCTGGACGGCAGTTTGACGATTGAAGCGCAGGTGCCAGACCGTGGCTACGGTGATGAAGATGCCAAAGAAGATGACCTGGAGGAAGAGACCGACAATGATGATTTTTTCACCGAGGTTGAGCGAGGAAATTGTGCCGCCTGCCTGGATGCCGCCGCCTGCATGTATAGTCAGCGCTATTCATGACAGGTCTCAATGGATTGAGAAGCTCACCAGTCATTTGGGCCAGGAACGCAACCACATCACCAGCAACGAAGGCTCTCGTCAACCACTTTACTGGCACGAGTGAGTAGCGCTCGCCGCCTGTGAAGCGGATAATGCGGCCGAGGACGATGTATATCGAAGCTGCGAAGAGTGCTGGAGCAACAAGCAGCAAGATGCTCTGGATGATATATGGACTGAGTGCCCACAGATCTTTCGTTGAGGCGATGCGACCACAGTAGCCTACTATTTCGACTGTGATGATGTTGTTAGTACCTCGCTCTGCTCTGCGTCTTACGCTGTAGTGTGCATGACTTACAGATACCTGCGATTAGAAATGGAGTGTAGTACCATGTCCGTCGTCGGAATAAGGTCACGGCATGCCAGCCTGTCGCTATGGTGAATGCGATGAGGAAAATTACCGCTGCTGCAAGAGACGGATTGTAGCGATAAGGTACCCATGCGTTGGGGTCATCGAGGGAAGGGTGGTAATCAGTGGGAGCGGACATGTTGGTAGAGGTGATCGAAGAAGTAGGTCGTGAAAATCTGATGGACGAGATCTCGAGGGGTCAAATGAAAGGTGCCTTAGTATCAGCTGGAGGTCGAGAGCCTTGAAAGACAAAGATAGAGCTATTCGGCTGGATAGTCCTTATTTGTCGCTGATTGAGGACTTGCCATTGAGCAGTAGAGTCGAGATACATATACCATCTTCTCGACTTAAGCTCAAGGCTGCAGAATTATCACTGCGGACGTATCGCCGCGTACACATGCCATTGAATTTCGCGACATTGTCGGTAGATAGCGGACGTCAAGGTCAAAGCAGACACAATGGCGTGGTTATCAAGATCTATGGCTGCGGCACATGTGCTCTGAGGGAGAAAACACGAAATACGAAGCTCGTATGTCGTGTTTTGACTCCTTTTCCCGCCCGTGTGAGCTCGGGCCGATGCTATCACCGTGTTTCGGCCAAGAGACTCTGCGTATTTCGCATCTCGACAAGCTCGAGACGGACTCCTCCAAAATTCGAGCTCCTGAGTTCGAATTCGCAAAGACATATGACTCCTGATGGGAGCTGTCTACGATATTCGGTCCGCATCGCCAACAGTCCGTGCTATGGAGACAGACATACTCAATCCCATACAATTTGGACATCCTTGTCATCATGCGAAGATGCCGATCAAAGCATGCGACTGAGGCTGGACAGCGGGGCCAAGGCCACCTGCATTGGACCATGTTCAGCCTCACCGCTGCGTACAGCGGGATCACATCCACGACTGCTGTAGGTGTGACCTCTTCGTACGTTCTTCAACATGGATGTACTTGGAACTGCTGTAGGAGTGGCTTCATTTGGTATACAAATTTGTCAAGGTCTACTGACTTATTACGGCTCATGGAAGGATTACCATCAAGATGTCAAGACAGCGTATGATGGCATCAACGACCTCTCGAAGACCTTTCAACTGCTCAAGCAGTCGTTGGCAAAGCCATCGTTGGACACTGAGAGGTCAACAAAGGTGGAGGAATGCCTGAGCTCGTGCACGACAGGGCTGGGCCGTCTTGAGAAGAAGCTTAAGAAGCTGCAGAGCTCAAGCCAGCCGGTAGGTCTGAGGTCAAAAGCATGGGCGGAAGTACAGAGAGCTTGGTACCCGCTCCGAGCCAGTACACTTGTGAAGCTGCAAGAGATTGTGGGTGATCTTAGACAGCACTTGTCTCTGGCACTGCAAGTTCTGCAGCTCGACCTCAGCGCAGCCTCACACCAGAAGCTGGTGGATGTGGATACACGTGTCGGAGATGTCGCTACACAGGTGAGCATTCTGCAGGTCGATGTCCAGGCATGGCAGGATCGGGACAACTTTGAGAAGCTTGTCAATTGGCTGTCGCCGCCAGATCCCTCGCTGAACCACAACGCGGCGCGCAACAAGCACGAACAAGATACTGGAAGATGGCTACTGGAGAGTGGTGAGTACAAGCAGTGGAAGACTTCACGGGCTAACCTTTTATGGCTGTACGGCAAGGCTGGTTGTGGCAAAACTGTGCTATGCTCGACGGTGATTGAAGATCTGCGTGCGTATTGCGGCCAGACGCCTAGCATAGCAATCGCCTCCTTCTACTTTTCATTCGCGGACAAGCAGAAGCAGAGTTATACTGCGCTCTTGTCTTCTCTAATCATTCAGCTCTGCCATAGTCAGGTACCATACGAGCGACTGCAGCAATTGTACGATGGCATCTATCCAGAGAAGCCATCGCAGACTTTACTTTACGAGCTCCTATTGCTATGCCTTCAGCAGTACGATAATACATATCTGGTCTTGGATGCGCTCGACGAAACGCCCGAGGATGATGAGGACAGGAGTGCGGTACTAGCATGGCTTGGGTGTATTGTGCGGGCTGTACCAATTCTCAAGATATTCATGACGAGCCGGCAGGTACATGATATAGAGGTCACCGCTGACGCACTTCACGCGATACCTTTGTCCATTACAGCTGCATTAGCCAATGCTGACATTATAACATATGTTCAAGCAGAACTGTCAAGACACCCGAGGCTACGTCAGATGGATGCTAAGCTGAAGGCGAAGGTGCTGGAGACATTCGAGCAGAAAGCCGATGGCATGTGAGTTGTCGAACTTACACTCCACGCGAGTATGATCGTGCTAGCGCTGACCATTTAGTAGGTTCCGCTGGGCATTCTGCCAGCTAGAAGAGCTCAAGCGGCTCAAGGGAATGCGGCCGAGGTGGACTGAGAAGGCGCTTGAGTGTCTGCCGAAGAGCCTCGATGAGACTTATGAGCGCATGCTCGTCCGAATCAACGAGATCTACCAGCCAGAGGCACTCAGAGCGCTGCGTTGGCTATCGTTCCAGATGAGGCCGCTCACACTTGGTGAATTATGCGAAGCATGCCTGATCGATCCTGAGGCGGGAGGACGAGTTGATCTGGATAATCGTGGACCCTTGGAGGATATTCTGGAGATACTCGGCAGTCTGGTTCATGTCGAGGAGGCAAACGAGATCGTCGAAGACACAGTCAGCACAATAGATGAGAGCGCAGCCACCGATGGCACCACAATCACTCAGCCTACAACATCTGTGAACAATTGGGCAGCCTCAACTGTACGCCTCGCCCACTTTTCGGTCAAGGAGTATCTCTCTTCTACTCGCATCTCAGACGGCCCAGCCGCAGGATATGCCATGCAGGCAAGTCGTGACCAGCCAAATATCGCAAACAGCTGTCTTGCGTATCTGTTACACTACAGTTCCAGCCACGAGAAGCAGTCGGCTCTTCCAGATCTGGAGACCTTTCCTCTTTTGCAGTATTCTGCATCTTGGTGGGCTGCTCACATGACTTGGTTGGGACTTGAGCAACCTGAACCTCCCACTTTAGGTCAAGACAGTCTCCAATATCGCCTGCTCGGGAGCGATGATTATCGTCGAGACTGGCAGATGGTATATGATCCGGATGAGAGCGAGTGGAACAAAGGCGAAAAGGACATGGCCAAACCTTTTGGGAGCAAGGAGAAATCCTGCCCTTCGGCGTTGTACTACGCAAGCTCTCTTGGGCTTGAGGCTACCGTGAAGGAATTTCTGCAGAACGGCGCAGACGTGAATGAAGTGGGAGGATATTACAGCACTGCGCTTCATGCCGCAGTATATCTCGGCCACAAGGATATCGTCCAGATCCTGATTGATGCGGGCGCCGACCTCGAGTTCAGGACAGACAGGGCATATCCCAAGTCGATTCCGGACACATCGTCGGGTTTGATTGCGAAGTTCCTGAACGTTGTTCTGGAGACTTCCGCGGACGTGAACGTGTATGGCAGAAGATGGGGCACGCCACTCCAGTATGCTGCAAAGAAGGGCCATCGAGAAATTGTCATGATGTTACTCAAGGCTGGTGCGAATGTCAACGCAGAAGGAGAGCCGCGCAGCGCACTACAGGATGTGGCAAGGGCAGGAGATCTGGAAACCGCCAGACTGCTCGTGAAAGCCGGTGCGGACTTGGAGATGGATATAGATGGACATGGGACGCCGTTACAGCTTGCCTCGTGGTTTGGCAATCCAGGAATTGTGCAGTTCCTGATCGAGGCTGGCGCCAACGTCAAGGCGAAAGGTTGTCACAAGAGCCATGGAACGGCGGTGCACGCAGCGTCTTCGAGAGGCTTCACGGATATTGTTGAGATGCTGGTCAAAGCCGGCGCAGATGAGAGTCAGGCAGACGAAGAGGAGGAAGCCGACAGTACGCCGCAATGTGCATCGCAATGATCGCCGTCACAAGGCGGACTCGATCGCAAATCTGTCCGATGGGACATTCGATTGCACACTCCAGTACGTGACTATACATGCGTCGAGAGGTCTCGCTTCACGATCCTATCACGGTGCAAGGCAACTGTCTCGGTTGTGGCGCAGTACAGCTGCAAGGCTGGAGCTCCGCCCATTTTCAGCCTTTCGACTGAGCACATCATAAATCCCATCCTGCTCGCTGATAGTATCATGTCCTCTGTTCACTCAATCTGCGGCCCTCGTGGACGGCTTTTCCGTCGCTACTGGTGTGCTGCAGGTCGCTGACAGCGGCTTCAAGCTATACGGAGCGTTGTCGAAGTACATCAAAGATTACGCACAGGCCGATAAAGACGTGAAGAAGCTCTCCCGGGAGGTAAAGTTGACATCTGCAGCTCTCCAGCACCTTGGATGACTGCTTGGACAGGTTGAAGAGCTCGAATTGGTTCGTCCCGAAGCGCTTTGCGACACGCAGTCTGTGCTCGAGGACTGTAAAGCTGTATTCCAAGAGGTTGACCACATGGCATCGGATTATTTCCCTCTCAACGATGAGGACGGGATCCGTATGGCAGCTGCGAAGCGTTGGAAGTGGCCATTGAAGAAGGACGGAGTCATGCTTGCGCTTGCACAGCTCGAGAGCCTTAAATCCCTGTTGCTGGTGTATCTGGGCATACTTCAATATGCTAAGATCGCTGCCAGGTTAGTACTATCGAACAATCGCATTACCGAGCGTTCTGACGAGTGTTCCGCACAGATCGTCAAACAGTGACGTAGAGATACTGACGCAGAAGACCCAGCTTGTGCCGCTGATTCGATCGAAGGACGATGCCATCTCTGCAGAGAAGGCATTGGCTACGACCGTCCACTACGAAGCTGATGACCGGCCGCTTGCAACAGCCAGCTCGCCCAACCCTAGGAAGCGCTCGCTGGGATCTGTTGGCCATGACGCAAACTCAGGACCCCGCCGAAAATAAAGAGCGGAGGGGCTCCATACTATGTTCGCCGCCCAGGGAGGAGGGACTATCAACATGATGGCTACGCCACATGACATTGCTGATGTCCATGTCAATACGTGGCCGGCGCCAAATCCGGATAATAATCGAGCTCACGCTGCAGCAACGTCAAGCAGGGCCGAATTTGGGCATGCTTCAACGGGATCTCGCGCCCTCGCCCGGAATTGTGTCCGCGCCTCGTCTACTCCATCGACTAGGGCTATACCACTTGCCCATGGTCCAGCATACCACGCACGTGCGATCCCACCCGCAAGAATTGCATCGCACTCTCCTCGGCACGGAAAGCTCCTACAGTGCTTGTCATCATGCTCATACTCGGCGCTCAGCCTCCACTCAACAAGCACAACCTGCGAGAATCTGCTCCGGCAGCACGGACACCCAGATCTGAGCTTACTTGAGCAGGAATATCGCCGAGTGGAGAGTGCCGTCCGTCGAATCTTGTCCAGCTCTTGGCACGACGGTAACGGCGATGATAACGACGACGACGACAACGCTGGCATAGGTCTGCGAACAGACAGGAATGGGCCATCGTTGTTGTCGGTGTTTGCAGATCCTTCCTTCGATATCGAAACCCTCCCACAAGAACCTATTAAATCGACTTCGGCACAACATCAGGCCTCCATACAGCCATCGCCAGCGCATTCTAGGGATCCACAATGCGCCTATACCCCTCTACCGGCCTTCTATATTTACTCCCCATCTTTTGATCTAGAAGCGCATACAGGGCTGACGCCGCTGGATCCTCGCGCTAATGGGGGCATCAGCATGCCGGAAAAAGCGGCTTACCTCCACGGACCCCCTTGGATGGCGTCCGTGCAATCTGGACCCCCTCAGATCAACGGAGAGGAAGTATGTGAGATTTTGGGACGGGATCGTGCAGAGGAGAGAGTGGAGGAAGACGACGATGAAGAGGACGTGGTGGATGCGCTTGTGCGGCGCTGGACGACGGTCGAGCTGTGAAGTTTGCATATGCCCCGGTTCTGGACCTATGCTGGTGAATTACGCGAGCGAGTGGGAGGACTGGAAGGGACTTTAGTCACCGTGACCCATCTCAAGCCAGAATGGAAGGGAATGGGATGGCTCGCACGAAACCTTAACGGGATGCAATGTTGCATACAAGACAACACAGTGCGACGCAATAGCTATCCCCGAGCTTAACGACCATCCAGATGACGAGGAAAGGACCACTTCGTCCTCATATCCTGCTCTCCATCCGCTTCTCCACTTTCACCCACTGTATTCATGTTTGCGACCAGGGCTTACCGGACCGCCGAACTGAAGTACTAACAGTTGTTATACATCGCATGACCTAGAGACTTCAGATGTTGTCGAACAGAGACCAGGTAGGAATCGCAAAGGAATAAGCGAGCGCGACGGAAGAGCAATCATCAACGCACCAGGCAACTCTGCTTTAGGTTCCGGCTTCGCAAGAGAACGCTACCATGATTGATACAATCAGTTCGCAATGAGCAGCGGATTAGGACGTGATCCTGGACCTGAACATGGTCGTTCTACTGTAGATTCCCTGTCCATTGTCAAGATAGCTAGGATTGGATCAGTCATCAGCCGTAGAGTTACAGACCACCAAACTACTCTGCCCACACGTATATAACATAAACGCCTCGGCTTACAACAAACTATGAAGTGGAGAAGCCAAGAACCACCAATCGTCTCGATATTCCGAGCGTCTGTCTGCGTAATATCCTGCTCACCCAAACCCGCAATGGCTTCCCCATCCCACCAGCCCCAAACCAACGAGCAATATTGGCAAGCCTTCACGACCGCCGGCCCCAAAGTCTCCTACGGCATTCCCTTCCCAGAAGGCTGCGCGAAACACGTGACAGAGACCTGCAATGCAAAACGAGTCTATATCATCGCCTCAGCCTCTTTGGCCAGGAACACGAACCATGTCCAACGACTCCAATCAGCACTGGGCGACAAAGTCGTGGGCATTCGGAAGGGCATCAAACCGCATACGCCTTGGTCCGAGATTCTGGAGATAACCGCTGAGGCGAAAGGGTTAGAAGCCGATCTGCTCATCACCCTGGGAGCTGGAAGTCTGACGGATGGAGCGAAGATCGTCGCCACCGTATGCTCTACCCTCACTCCTCCCATCACCAAACGTCTATGATCATACTGACTCCCCACCCCAGGCCATCGCAAACAACGCCCGCACCTTCCAAGACCTAGACAATCTCCACTCCGGCTCAGACTGGTCCCGCAGGCGTCCCGACCTCATCCGCCCAACTATCCCCATCATCAGTATCCCCACCTCCTTATCCGGAGGCGAGTACTCGGACCTCGGCGGCGGAACCCACGACACCACGCACCAAAAACACGGGCTCGGTCATCCTACCGTTGGACCGAAACTCGTGGTGTTGGATCCGGAATTGACGACTACGACGCCGGAGAAAGTCTGGTTGAGTTCGGGGTTTAGGGCGGTGGATCATTGTGTTGAGAGTTTATGTAGTCTTTCCGCCTCTAATTCGAAGGAGAGCGCGGCGAGTGCGGAGACAGGACTTCGACTGCTCATCCCGGGACTCTTAAAAACGAAAGCCGAGCCCAAGGACCTCGAAGCGAGGTTGGCGTGTCAAAAGGGAGTAATTGAGGCCATGAAAGGCGTCTTCTTCCACGGCGTCCCGATGGGTGCATCGCATGGAATCGGTCACCAGCTCGGTCCCCTTGGGGTCGGGCATGGGGAGACGAGTTGTATCCTCTCACCCGCCGTCTGCAAATACAACACCTCCGCCAACGCCGCGCAGCAGAAGAAGGTATGCGAGATCCTGTGGTCTGAACCTTCCGTCGCAGAACTTTTCGAGAAGGTCGGTCTGGGTAAGGCCGCCGAGCTAGGGGATTTACTCGGTGCTGTTGTCAAGGCGTTGGGAATGCCTTCGACGTTAAAGGAGGTCGGGGTAGGAGAGGAGAAGTTCGATCAGCTCGCCACGAACGCCTTGACGGATCATTGGGTCCTTACGAATCCGAGACCGATAACGACGAAGGAGCAGGTGAGGGAGGTGCTGGAGATGGTGCGGGGTGGAGAACCTGAAGTGGGCAGATAGATAGATGTGTATTAGATTCATGATGCTGATGTCTCGGCAGGGGGTTATAGGGCTATGTAAGGGATCGCATATACAACATCTCACATCCACATTCCAAAGCCGAGCGAAGCCAAGCCATATTCTGACAGTCAGCCCAAGTATAGCCATATTCTGGCTGCCAGCCCAAATACCATAATCATCATCAGCCATGCAATCATATGCTCATGTATTCTCAGCAACAAGCTGCCCTGATAGCCTTACCCCATCGACCTCCCATCCTACACCGCACGTATCCTGCAGCAGAGAAAGCGAAAATCCGCCTACTATCCTCCACGTTGCCCTTTCGCAAAAAGCTCATCCAGCAACCCCCTCTCCCGCTCAAACCTAGCATCCCTCTCCTGAAAAGACTCCCCAATCATGCGTCCCTGTCTCAGGACCTCCTCAGCCCTGTCTTGAGAGAAAGTCTCCTTGTTCTCGGAAGCCGGTGTATCAGCAGGCGGAGGCGGCGACGAAGAACCCAGCCCACTGTCCCGCCTAGCCAAAAACGCAGCTTTCCTCGCGGCAAAAGCGGGGAGTTCCACCACATTCACCCCCGTCCTCCGCACCTTCCCATCCGCATCATCGTTGCCCCCCTTTTCTCTGTCTGCCCGCCTCCCCTCCAACTCCCTCCTCGCCCCCTCAATCCTCTTAATTTCCCCATTCAACCCCACCAATTTCCTCATAAACCCCTCCAACGCCTCGCCCGCACTTTCCCGCCGATAAGTCCTGCCTTCGTCCAGCGCGTTTTGTGGGAGAGGCAGGACTTGGTAGCCTTTGGCTATGGCTTCGCGGCGGGCTTGGGAAGTGGAGATGCTGTCGTGGCCACCGTTGACTGTAAAGTCGAGGCGCATTTTTTCTGCGTGGGCGGTGCGGCGTTGTTCTTGTGCTATTGGGTGGGGACGGCGGGGTTTTGTTTGCTTGGGGTTGGTTTGGCGGGTTGGTGGTGGAGGAGCTGGGGCTGAGGTGGTGGCGGTTGCTCTGGCTTGCTTGCGAGGTCGTGGGTCGGTAGCGGCTTCGTCGGTATCGTCACTTGATCGTTTGCGCTCGGTGGGTACTGTGGCCGTGACGTCCATTTTGCTGTTGTTGGTGGTAGAGATCTTGCGCTTCTTTGATGGAGTGCTGGAGGTGGTGATGGCACGCACCGAAACTTCACCCTTCGTAGCCGCCTCGACGTTACCGACCTTCCTCTTCTTCCGCTCTCGCTCGTTCACTTGCCCCACCCCCTCCTTACTCTCAACCTCACCCTCACCATCAACCTCACTAACCTTCCTCTTCTTACTCCGGAACCTCTCCGGCTCCTGCTGTAGCCACTCCTCCGGCTCATCGCCCTTGATCATATACACCGCGCCACGATAATGGTACACCTCCCTTTTCCCCTCACTCCCACCCTCACTCCCACCCTCACTCTTCTTCACTTCCTTCAGGTCCCCGACGATTCCAGCCTTGGCGTCGATGTTGAGTCGTTTCGCTTCGCGTTTCTGCTTTGCGGACATCTCAGCTCCTGCGACCCGCGCGAGGGTAGACGAGGGTGCTGGACCCGCAGCGGGAAGGGAGCGACGCGTTGAAGGCATGGTTACTGTTGTTTGCGATGGGTAGATACTGCGGAGGAATCAAGGAAGAAGGAAAGCAGATATATCCCTACAACCAACAATACGCCCCAGCTCTACAATAGAAAGAGAGTCGGACGTGAACAAGCAAGCAATCAATCCTGTGTACGCTTAACAATAGAGGACAATCGTAACAATCAATCGATCGATCAACCGATACTCACTTCACTTCACCACACTTTCTGACTCGAGCTAGAAGCTCTCTCCACACACGCGTAACCGTTACGCGTCTTACGTCAGCTTGCAGAGCGGAAGTATTGCGCTTAGACAAGTGGTCTGAGCGCTAGGATGGCTGCGGACGAACCCCCGGAGAAGCCCAAGAAGTTTGTTACAGGAGGAGGTTGTTGGAACAGACGGACTCTCTCGTCTCCAGCAATCATGTCCATGTCGAAGACAACGATGGGAGCAGAAGAGGTGTTCTTTCGCATACGCCTCCTCGATTCAGCCGAGTCAAGCCACCTGTCTTCGCCACCTCCAGGCGCCCGTGAAACCATGCAGTGGCGCTAAAGTAACGCTCGTCAATAATAGAGTTCGAGAGTCACTGTAGAGTGTACGGTGCGTAGAGTCGGTGCCGCGCCGCGTCATCAAGGCTTGTTGAGGCTTGACCGTTTCGTTCAAGCAATTGACAAGTTGAATTAAGTGGATACTATAGGCGCTCCATGATTCCAGATGTCCACATCGCAGTCTCGCTTTCGACTCATAGTAGGTGGTACAATAGTATTCTGTCGCCAGTGAAGAAAGGACAAGTGTCTGCATTGCGTCGACTGCTGAAGGATGGATGGCAGAGCTACGCCACAGGTCCAGACGCCCACGTTACTAGTCTAACCGCTCTGCAGGATGCAGGCTTGCAGCTCAGCTCAGGCGTCCCCCCGGGTTTCAGGGTTTTGTTTGCGCGTACCTGGCAGCTCTCATGCACTCACTTCTACATTATTATTGACGATTGTTCATAACTACTGCTGATCCACTCATATACGTAGTATCATCTCCCCTCCTACTTCTCCACTTTCCTTGTCTACAATACTGTACTCGAGACAATCCTCTCACATACTCGATCCACCCATAGCGGTGCGAAACCACAGCCATGCGCACCACCACCACCACCTCCACCCTCGCCCTCCTCGCCACCTCAGCCCACGCAGCTCTCCCCCATCTCAGCATAGCCAAACGTGACAGCAACCTCCAAACCTCACCACTCGCACGCGGTCTGATAAGACGAGACGGAGGAACAGTAGGAACGAACGTCTTCGACATCCTCGCCTACAGCACAGGCGGCGCCTACTACGCCAACGTAACCGTCGGCACCCCACCCCAAGACCAAGTCGTGATCCTAGACACCGGCTCATCAGACCTCTACTTCGACGCCTCCACCGCCTCCACCTGCGAAACCACGGGTCCTTATTCCTGTCGCGGCGGGACATTCAACCCGCAGAACAGCAAGACATACTCGATCGCCGACCCAGCACCAGCCTTCAATACCTCATTCGGGGATGGAAGTACAGCCGTCGGCCCCTTCGGACAGGATGTAGTTGGGTTAGGGGATGTATTGATAAGTAATGTGCAATTCGGCGTCGCGCAGGAAGTGAACAGCACGACTGGCTACGCGATCGGATTGATGGGGGTAGGCTACTCGGAGAACGAAGCGGTGCAGCAGCATCCTTACCCGAATATGCCGGAGGTACTACGGGATACCGGCGTGATCAATTCGAGGTTGTATTCGGTGTTTTTGAATGATGTGGCCGAGTATTCGGGGAGTATTCTTTTTGGCGGGATTGATACTACGAAGTGAGTCCGCCACCACCACCACCACCGCCACCTAGTCTCTTCTGCCGACTTCCTACTAATATGATCTGCATCAGATACACCGGCGAACTAGCCACCCTAAACATCCTCGCCGACATCAACACCGGCGCCGTCGACCAATTCGTGCAAACCGTCACCGGCCTCAGCGCCTCCATCTCCGGCAAAACGATCCCCCTCTTCTCCGGCGGCTCCCCAAACGAACAAGCCTACACTCAAACCGATACCGCCCTGCCCGTCCTCCTGGATACCGGTAGCTCCGCCTGGTCCGTACCCACTTCTTACTATGAGAAGTATATCGCGCCCAACTTCAAATTCGTCGATAGTCAGGGGTCTTGCTCTTGTAGCCATCAAAACGACGATACCACTCTAACCCTCGAATTCGGCGCCAAAATCAACATCACCGTTCCGATCCGCGAGTTTGTCGTACCGATTTATAACGCCACGACAAACCAACCTTACCCTTACCCCGGCGGCGGCGAGGCGTGCGCTTTCATGATCGTTCCCGCGCAGAGTACAGGCCAAGGGTTCCAGACTCTCGGCGATGCGATTCTGAGGAGTATGTACGTCGTCTTCGACCTGGACAATGGACAACTGTCCCTCGCTCAGGCGAAGATCAACTCCACGGACGCTCCTAATATCGTTACTGTCTCTGCGGGACCTAGTGGCATCGCCAAGGCCGTTTCGACCAGTTATTCTGCCGCGCCGTCCAATACGAATTCCATTGCGCCCGAGGTGATGAATGCCACGGGGAGCTTTACGGTGAGTACGGCGCAGAGTACCATTGGCTCGGCAACGGGCACGGCGGCTGTACCGGCTGATGCGCAGGTTTCGGGGGGCGCGTCTGGGACGGGTTCGAGTTCGGGGGGTTCGAGCTCCAGCACGGGGTCTAAGGGTGCTGCGGCGGGGTTGGTGGTGCCGAGGTCGGATTGGTCGGGGTTGTGGGTGGCTGGTATTTCGGTTGCGATGGCTGTGTTGGGGGCGGGGATTGTGTTGTAGATGTGGATGATATGAAGTGATAGGTGCAGGTGGGGAGTGTTGATGTGCATGGTTGCGGGAGAGTGAGAGTGAAGACGGTCGGAGGCAGGAGGAGCGGCGAATAGGGGCGGCGAAGTGAAGAGGTTTTGGGTGTTTGGGATACCCTGAGATTTTGGTTGTGCGTCTGGGTTTTTGTAGCGGAAAGGGGAGTGGTGAGCTTGCTTCGTATGCTGGATTTCCTGGCTTGCACGTCTGGCAGCACCACCATGACCTCTACCTTTCGCTTCTCGGTCGTGCTTTTGGTCCTCATCCCATGATTTTGCCGTGTTTCGTTTCGGAGAAGATTCGCCATCCTCCCGGTCGGTGAAAAACAACAGATGCTCAACACTCACCAAGTCCTCTCCTCACACCTTCCTGTTCTGTCATACGCCATCACTGCTTACTTCCCATCCGCCAGCACGATCGAAATCTCTATCCTTCGCTCCTTGGGTTTTTACCCGCTACAACCCCCAGGCATGAGGTGCGGCTTTCCGTGGGTCTGTTATCAGACAGTTTGTTGTCCTTCCGAGCTGGATGCCCAGCGGCTGGACCTTTCGGTCTTGTCCGGTCTGGTCGATCGCGTGACCGGGTATCAAGGACTGTAGGCGGTCCAGACTCGTGACTGGATCTCGTTCGAGGTCCTGATTTATTTGCGACCGGAATGCATCAGTCGTCCTCGCTACGTAGCCTTTTTCTGCGTTCTACGAAGACGAGTCCTGGATCGCGGTTTCGTGGCCTTTTCTTGCGTTCTACGAAGCCAAATTCTGGATCATGCTTTCCCGGTGCGTTGATGACCACCGAATGGTAGCATTCGCCCATTGCATCGCAGTCCTCCTCGGTCTCTGTTGGACTGCATATGCAAATCCTGACAAGTTGCTCAAAGTCGTGCTGTGGATGAAAATTGTCCACGTCCCAGTGGCAGCGAAAACATAGGTTGTAGTCTTCACATGTCATGCAGTGGTAGGCATAGCCGCAACGATTCTCCAACGACGTCAGCTGAAAATCATCTTTCTGCACCATACGAGGACTTACCAGATCACAACAATCACACAATCTACCTAGCCATAGAGCGTGTGATTGACTAGAAGCGCTTCCTCCGTCTTTGATGAATGGATGCAGCGCTTTGAGAGCATATTCATGACCGCTGATGCGCGCCAGTACGTCTGCTGTCCAGCCACGGTTGTCCGGCAAGTCTGACTTGGCTCCAGCCTCGATCAGTGCTCTCATCACCTCCGTATTACCTGCGAGCGCTGCCCAATGCAAGGCCGTCCATCCTTGCGAGTCTGCTAAGTCAGGAGACACACCAGCTCTCAGTATCATGTTCACACCGTGAAGCCCTTTCTCTCTCCAGACCATGGCGAAATGATGCAGGGAAGAACAGCCAAGTTTGTCCTGGCGAAGGAGTACACCAACGTCTGGTAGTCCATCGTCAACCGGCCATGCAAGCTCTTCCATCAAACTTTCTTGTGCTCCGATGGACTTCCAGGCTAAAGTATTGCGTCCGTAGGCATCGTGCTTTTTTGACACGCCGCCAAAATGAATGAGCACCGAGAATGCCGCAGTACGACCATGACGTACAGCTCGGTGGATTGCTGTGCGTCCGTACTCATCTTCCAGCGATACATTAGCTCCACGAGCCAGAAGCAATCGCATAGCTTCAAGGTGGCCCCCCTGCGAAGCGGCGTCAAGCGCAGATCCTAGTCGTCGACTATGGGCCCCCACGTCTGCTCCTGCGTCAAGCAGACGTAATATTATCGGTAAAGAACCACTTCCCGTAGCCGCTCGTAGTGCATTCCCCATCCCCGCTCCTTGCGCATTTACATCTGCGCCCTGTTGTAGAAGAATCTGCACTATGTCCTCTCGACCGCCCAGTGAAGCTGCCACCAACGCGGTGCCCCAGACATGGCCTTCGGCGTTCACATCCGCGCCTGCTCCAAGCAAAAGCTGTACAATACGTCCGTGTCCTCCGAATGACGCAGCTTGTAAAGGGCGCCCAAGATGCCCACCAGCGCCATCGACATCCTCGCCTCGTCGGATCAGAGCACTAGCGACTTCCAACAGTCCAAAGTAGCTTGCGTAGTATAACCCGGACAGACTGGACTGATGGTATGTTGGGACATCTAGAGAACGAGCTTTGCGCCACAATGTCATAGAAGTCTGATCGGTCAGCAGATGAAGCTCGCGCTCGAGGCTACCAATCGATTGCCGATATGAATGATAAGCCCAGGTATCCGCACTGTAGCGCAGTAATGGCAGGTTGTTGTACGACATTCCCATGTCGAATTCTTCGCACGAAGCATGATGAACCATGCTTTGTTCAGAAGTGTACCATATCAGATAGGTCAAGCAACTCTGCGCGAGAAATCTATGGCCTCTGGCACTCTCAAGATGGAACTCACTTAACCCGCCCCCGATCACGAGTACACGACTCGACTCCAGAAACTCCTTGACTGAGAAATGGGCAAATCTGAGCTCGTCATACGGCTGTGGCTTCCGATGTGTCTGTTCCTCGGGCTGCGTAGATTCGATGTGTGAGGCGGGGAAAGCGTATGGGTCGTTGCGATATATGATTGTGACCAGACCCTGCAGCAAATCGACTACATCGTCAATACCGCCACGATCCACAACCTTCACAGCACCCTGTCCAGACTGGTCGACGATGGTTGCCTCTATGAGCTCCACCAAGGTCATTGGCCTCTCCGAGTAGGCAATCCATTGCAGCAGAGCCAGGGCATCCTCACGGAGCTCTCCATCGATCGCCTCCAGCATTCGAATGTATGTCTCATCGAGAGTGTTAGGCAGATCTTTCAAAACCCTTTCTAGATGACTTTGTCTGGTTGATTTCAGATTCGTTATGCTTTGCATCTGGCAATATGCCCATCGAAACCTGCAGCGCGAACGTCAGAATAATTTAAAGCTCAAGTCTGAATCCCAGTTTGTACTAGCTTACGTGGCATCAGATCCCTCTCTCATTTTCTGCTCGATCATCGCCTGAGATGATTTTGGGAGCCGAGAGAGTCTTGAATGAGACCGTAGTAGGCTTGACACGTACAAATGTATATCGCTATTGACGGCGTTGGGATCCAGAGTAATACACACCGCACCCAAAGCTTCAGCAGACAGCTTGATATGCTGCGACTCTCGGCTCGTGGCCAAGATCTTGCAGGACGGCGCTTTGCGCGACAGCCACAGCAATTTGTCAAGCACAAGCTGGCGAACACCCTCTTCCTCTGGGACTTCGTCCAGGGCGTCGAAGAGCAGGTACGCCTCCGAGTATGTGTTCAAAGCAGACACCAGTGCCGTTTCAAGGTCTTCTCGTCTTGGCGCACCACGTCTGGAGGCGTCAGACAGTTGAGCAATCACAGCGTCACAGTCAGCCAATTGAGCGACTAGCGACAACAATAGATTGTCATATGTCTGTTTTCCACGGTCAGAGAATGTGAAGTAGAACACTGCGTAAGCCATCTCAGTCCTTGCACGGCAATGCTCTCGTATGTCTTCGACGACCGTGGAGAAGAGTACTGTCTTCCCGCAGCCGGCTTTTCCATACAGTCCCAGATGTCTTGTCTCACCCTGCTTCCAATCGCAATACTCCTGACTTTGCAGCAGCCATTCGCCTGTGCCGCTCTCGTATCTGTCCCTGGCAGAGGTGTGGTTGGACCATGGATTTGGCGGCGCGAGCCAGCGGATGACTTCCCTCAGGTCTTCTGGCGGTCGAGATTTCTTGGAAATATGCTTCAGCAATCTCTCTCGAGCAGAGACCCTTCCCTCACCATAGTCGAGTCGCATTCGCACGTCGAAGATCCCGAGCAGGCTATAGTACATGTCCTCAAGCCGGGTCGTCTGCCGATTCGTGGCCCAGGCAAGCTTTTCTTCTGTTGTGAGAGCTTTACTCTGGCTATAATCTTTTAGCACATCTTCCGAGATTCGTGTCCTGCTCGCGATGCGTGATATCAAACATGGCCCCAGCTCCTGAGTGATGTGCTCTTCACTGCTCGCGCCATCACCCTTGTGACCGATAACACGCCAATCACTAGACACAAAGAGCACAGTGCGCGGCGCCAACAGTTCTTGGAGTGTCCAGCCACGGTCAAACCACACACTCTTAACAAATTCATCCAGATTTCCAGGGTCCTGAACATCGGCCAGATATGCCAGGCACAGTTCTGCATCAGCATACCACTGGAACATGGAATTGACGGCTTCGGTAACTTCCACATTACTGTCTTGGTTTACGCAACAAGTGTCCACCCACAGCCAGTCCACACCCTTCACATGCTCTCGGACATAGCGCGCAAAGCCTTCGATCTTCTTGTAGCCGCTAGTGTCTGTCTTCTCTTGGTTCAGGATATGGCCAAGCATGGCCTCCTCCCCTGCCCTCCATCTGTGCGATGCCGTGACATATCTCGGCCGTTCGCTGTGAAAGACTTCAAACTTGACTGTATGGACGTTGAGGAGTCGCATGGCAGCTGTGGTACTAGCTTTTTATGAGAAACATTGTCTCGGTAACGCGTTGAGAAAGATCACAGACACTTCTCTATCAGGCACTTGTGTCGCAAGGCTGAGGCAGCTCGTGGCGGACTACGTGCATGATGCACGAATATCACATGTTCATCGATATGCGTACGGGCAATCCGAGCTTCGTGATTCATAGGGCACGCTGGCCTGCCAGCCTGGACAACTTACAGCACGATATATTTACACAGGATTGATCTCTGGTGGTAATAGCAACGGGTTCGTGTATGCTCTGTTGATGCAGTGGGATCGAACATGTACGGCACGGGTGAAACATCACCATCGGCATGTCGGCACTTGGATAAATAGGGAAACAGTCGCATTGAGTTCCACCGAATCGACGACCGTGCCACCAGCTCTTCTCGTATCGGGCAATGACTTGGTACACGGCGTAGTATTGAAAGAGCCACAAAGGCCAATCCTTCATCCTTCCTGCCATACATTTCCTGGGCAAACTCATCGAGTCCTTATTCCGTCACGTGTACAGCTGCAGCACACCATCATTCACCTACACCTGCAGCATCGAACCGTCTTTCGACGTCATTAAACTTCACTGGCCTACCAGACATTGATCAGCGTCGGGATTCCCCACTTCTTTCTCCGCAGATACCAACCCGGGATCCTGTAGTGTCAGCTTCACTTCAGATCGTCCGGATACCATCTCCTCGACCCGACAGACAGCTCTGCTTTCGCGCTGGAATACTACAGATTGTCGCCGTAGCGAAGCTACACCAGCAAAGTCCAACATGGTAGCTCAAGGTGGAGGCGGCGGCCCTGGTGGTGGATTCGGTGGTTCCTCCGCATACGCTGCATTCACATCCAACTTGGCAGCTCAGCAATCCAGCGCCATTGCAGCAAGCGTAGCGAGTGTCGCCAGTGTTGAGAGTGCTGCGAGTGTGGCGCAGGCATCTTCCGTGGCAGCGGCGACGACGTCCGGCTCTGGCGACACCATCTCGACCAGTATACCGCTCGGCGTATCTACAACAGATAACTTGGCACCTTCGAGCACTGCCGCAGCTGTGACGCCCACGAGTACATCCCAGAGCACTTCCGATGCATCAGCGATTGCATCAGCTCCCTCGACTCAGTCTACAGCATCTGCAGCAGATGCGACAGCTTCATCTGCATCTTCATCACAAACGACCTTCACCACGTCAACCAAACCAGCTGGCGCCGTGTCAAGTGGTGCGTCGTACAGCAGTGCTTCGTCTCTACATGGCAGTGCTAGCATGGCCTCTTCCTCGTCAGGAACAGCAGCTTCCGAGACTCAGAACCCACTACCACTGACTGGTAACGCGCATCACCCCCACAGCATGTCGCACGGCGCACTAGCAGCAGCAGTAGTCGTGCCCATCCTTCTCGCACTGCTCGCAATCATCCTGGCCTTCCTCTGCCTCCGTCGGAGAAGCAAGCGAAACCGCGAACGCTCACCGAGCGGCGGCGCCTTCCTCCCAGCTATGCGAGAGAAATTCAGTTCTGTCCGCGGCTCCTCATCCACGGCTGCACCAGCACCAGTAGTCACTTCAAACCGTAACAACGCCTACTTCACCGGCCTCGACACCTCCTCTCAAGGCTCTCGCCGGGGTGAAAGCGGTGAGTACTACGCTCCACCACGCCGCAGCGAAGGCGGCACTACATTTGATGAACCACCACCGCCTTATAAAGCCAAGTCTCTGCCTTCCACGCATGGTTCAGGTGGTGGTAGTCTGAACAGGACCTCCATACCAGAAGTACCTGAACCCGCCGCCCTGGCAGCTACCACCCTCATCCCCACCGTCCGCGAACCTCACCACCAGGAAACCACACGCTCGCCCTTCGCCGATCCTAGCCCTTCCTCCTCCCCGACGAATCTTGACAATAACTTCCTCGTCTCTCCTGTCGAGCGCCCGCAGACCTCACGAAGTATCTCCCAGCGATCCTTCAATTCCGACCAATACTCCGAGACTGCCTCCGTCCACTCGGTCCGCGTGGCGCGGTTGAGCGTGGGTGGGATGTTAGGTGGGCCGCATGTGGTAGATGCGAATCCATTTGGGGATAGGCATAGCGTGGAGTCTCCGCGAGTCAGCCATGAGGAGGGTGAGGAGTTCCATAGTATGATTGGGAGTGACAGGAGGAGGAGTGTTGTTAGTGATGTCTAGAGATGAGACCAGGATTTTCGTGTGGATACTGGTGTTTTGGGGAGTCTTTGATAGGCGTTGGTTGCCATGAGTTATGATGAGGCTCGTTAGTCAGAAGATCAGGATACTAGCGAAAACGCTGGACGAGACACACGGAACGCGTCTCAGGCGATGGCAGAAGACTTGCACAGAGAGATGCGTGAGCATTTGGGGCTGCGTGGAGTCGTACATAGTTATGTCTCTCATGAACAACTCTTTCTCACAAGCCGCGGACTATATTACATGGACTGCAGACCTGCCAAACTGAAAATCCGAGTAATAGCATATGCAAGTCTTTTAGCTACTTGACCCTATGGATCGCTCGAAATCAAGCTTCGTACTTGGGTGCGATGTTTCGAATCGGTCCTCGAGTGTCTCTCAGCTCGGCCACCGCTGCCACCCGCCAAGGCAAGTCAGGGCTGCGATCAACGCGATCGTGCAGGAGGCCGCCGGCGTCGCTCGGCATACGTTCAGAGGACGCGAAGGAGGCAAATGGTCTCATCCTGACATGCTGTCGCGCACAATTCTACTTGCTAACGAACACAATCCACATACATAGTTGTTGACGGGAACGATGTGCTCCAGCAGAGCGAATGGTCATGGGACGACTCGTCATTGACGAGCTGGCGTTTCTGAACTACGATTTTGAGTGCCGGCCTGATCGAAGAGCACCGCAACGTGGTAGTAAAAGATTGTAGATTGTGATGATTAGAGGGAGGTCGTGACGGCCGTGTGGGGTCTTTTGATACGGTCCTGACACCAGGCACTGGAACTCAGGACTTCTGGACACAATCATCTCGAGGGCCGGAAAAAATCCTTACAATGAGCGATATGGGTGGTATCAGTACTGTGCCAGCTTTGCAAGATACCTCTCCTCTGTCAAGTCCGCTCCATACACGGAAGCAACGAACTGCAATGCAGCTGCGAGCTCATGTGTCTCGGATTCCTCGCGGTCCTCCGCTAGGCATAGCTCCAACGATTTTCTGCATCTTTTCTCGAAGCTGAGGATTAGGTCGTCTGCGACCCTCGACGGCATCACGAAAGATGGAAGAGTCCCATACTTACCTTCTCTTTTGTACTTCGAGATCTGTGCGAATCGCGCCTTCATACACGAGTCCTTCGCTACGATGGTGCCATTAACATGCTCCAGCTGGACGAGCGATGCCTTTTGGAAGACGCCAGACCACAGACTCTTGGGTTGCTGGGAAGCTTTCTTGGAGCGGGAGAACTTGCCGATGTCATCGATGCTGTCCGATATCATGTCAGTGTAGTACTGCTTGGTCTCCCGATCTTTACAGACCAAGGCTAGCAGATTCGGTAAGGTCATCCTTGGGCTCACCGAGCTGATCAGTAGACGGAGGAAGTCTGGCGCTGAGACATCTGTACAGAACTTTACAATCTGCGTCGTTAGCATCACCCAGACACAGATAGCTTTCGAGTTGAGCGTACCCGCGTGCTGACGGAACTCGATAGTCCCTATCGGCTCGAGGCCATCGTGAGCTGGCTTTTGCCAGAGATTCTCGAAGTTGTAGGCACAATGATGGCCGGTGATGAGTGAATCACTCATGCCACTTACCTGGAAGAAGTTTTCGTAGCTGACAATATGCTCTTCGATACACGCCAGCCAGTCAAAGAGCTTGGCGTCCTTGATATGCAGAACATGATTACTGCGATGGAACTGAGTGATGGGCATGTGGCAGTTGATCTCACACGCTACGTTGAGTGGGCCGTCCGGATGATGAGTTCATGAGATGTGGTGCAACTCATCTAAGCAGTGCGAGAAGGCGGTGACAAGAGAGCAGACATTCTTGGCTGTTCTGAGAGGAGTCTTCTCATCCCCGAACCCAGCGTGGACATGGAGACCTGTGCTCTCGTTAGTCAATACGCGGCAATCTATCTGTTGAAGGCTTTGAAGACACTCTAAGACTGTATTGATCTCGCCTTGCCAGTCGTCGTCCTTGAGACTGAATGTGCGAGAGCTGAGCTCCATGCCGTAGGATGCCCAGCCTTGTGGAACTGCTTTTCTTTCGACGTCACTCAGCTTCAGAGAGTCGTCAATATCGATCTGCCAGCAGCCGTAAGCATCGTCTTTGGTCTTCACGGAACTTGGATTGGCATAGCCTTCGAAAGAAGCCCGGACGCCAGCGTCGCGCAGCTTCTCGTAGACTATACCCTGTATTGGGAGGATGCCATCGTACTCACACTCGTCTTCGTCCAATAGCTCATAAGGGCAGACAATGAGGAACTCGAGCTCCACGCCTATCGTAAGCATTAATGCAGTCATCGTCGTAGTAGTCTTGATTTCTGTTATTGTCTCAGATCTGTCTAGTGTAAGAGGTCGCCGGCGATACGGTTGGCAGGCAACATACCGTACCAAGCACTCTTTGTTCCATTGTTCGAAAATTTTTGGCTTGCTGGATCGTTATATTAGACTATCGAACAAAGTAGCCATGGCTCTCTCCCTTTATGCTCGACGCCGGCACCATGCGCCAGCTCTAGACCATGTAGTTCTTCAAAACTTGTATCGCAGGATGTAAGCAGCGTCCGGACTCATATACTGGAACCGACTCTGTAATATGCAGCATCACACGGGCCAAGAAGATAATAGGTTCGCTGCGGAATCTAGATGCCGAGATGAGTGGCAACATAGCCGATGTAATGAGCGTTGTTACCAGAGCTCCTGTCAGACTCGAAGTTGAGTCTGTGGCCGCTGTGCTGAGTTGAGGTGGAGAAAAGGTTGCAAGAGTGAGTAGGTTGCCAGTACGCTCACTAAAGTAGACACAGAGAGTTGGACGGAAGATCAGAAGCATGCTGAGTACGTGAAAAGTCATGAGCAGGGTCGCAAGTCTTGTCGGGACCGTGATTGAGGCTGAGGACGTGGTGAGAGAAAGACGGATTAATCAACAAGGCTAACGCGGCTGACAAGGCTTTCGCTGAGGAAGAGGTTGTTGAGATTGGCGTTGGCGGAAGCTACGGAATGATCACAGCACCGGGCTCCGAGCCATCACTTGAGTACTGGCGGACATATAGTCAGTACAAATCTCCATCTAGAGATCTCCTCTCCTTACTGTCTTCGTCTACACCTGCTCCTGCGCCAATCCTAGCTTACGCCTCGCCAGCGACATACGAGTAGGGCTGCAAGCAATCTGCGAGGGTTGTCGAGGTGTCTATTGTGATGGTCCAGTCGACAACAGCCTATCGCGCAAGCTATCCGAAGCCTAGGAACCAGATAGGAATCATTCACCGCCACGATTCCGACGGGGCGCATTGTCCCAAATTATCCCTTCCGGTCCCGGGGCATATCCCTCCATCTGCCGAAGTAGCGCAATGGTGGACAATGATGGACCGGAATCAGTGTGAAGTTTTAACGCAAAGCTCTCGCTAGAGAAGCGTGCCGGCCTGAAAGAAGCAAGGTTGGACGATGTGAAGTTTATGGGGCTAGAGTTTGCCCAGGATGTCGACTTCACGTCATTTTTTGGTGCTCGGAAATGAGGTTATCGACTGCGTGCAGCTGCAAAACGTACAGTGTCTGGGCCATGAGGGTCGCAGCCGTGTTTTTCTTACTCTACTTGAGTATAACCCAATGTAGTTCCGTCCGCGGTCGTCGAGTGTGCTGGCCTGGTACGTAAGTCTACCGATTGATATGCCGAGTGTAGTCTGATGGTTGTATGTAATCTGTACGGTCTAGACTCGAGTCCAAAGTCGGTGGGCATGGCGATACGTAGAATAGACTTTGTATTCAACTCACTCCCGCTGTTCGTTGTAGCATTGGTATCTGTCGTCACAAGTGCGACCTTCCGCGCAAGCTACAGCTCACTGCAAAGGCGACTACATGATGAAGCCGGGCAGAAGTCACACCTTACAGATGTCTCCTTGAGATGTTGTGGAGGCCAGGTCGGGTCCGTGCCTTGAGGGTTGGCCTTGCTCGTACAGCCTAGCCTTCTCCACGGCCAAAATGTCAGCATGTTATCGATGGAAGAGGTTCTGCGGATGTAGAGTGATACTTCAGGCCTTGCCGCTGTCTCCATCCTCCCATCTCCTTCCTTTGCAACGGTCGACCCACTGCGCGAACGTCGGGATGATGGTTGTGGTATGTTTCGGCAGGTGTTCTTGATGGTGTACGTCGGCACAAAGTTGCTGACGTCTTTAGGGCGATGGAGGAGCGTGTTCATGTTCGTTGCGTCCGAAGGCTAGTAAGGTTGCGGAAATGAGTGTCGTGCAGCAATATGCTCGCCGTCTCTGTGGATTGTAAGACTGCTCAGTGAGGAGCAATCTGGCTAGCTGCGTTTCCTGCCTTCGTCAGCGAGATCGTATGCGGGTCGATGGACCGAAGTATGATGCTGGACGTTCTTGAACGATGACCAGAAGGTTCTGTCCCCAGGAAAACGGTTGGCTTGTCCTGCAGTGATCGATTCGACGCGTCTTGGTGTATCCACACTGGATCTACCAGGGTCATATCGAGTAATCGATACTGCAGAGAGCTGTATAACGGCGACGATAGCATCGTGCTATTTCGAGGGTCGGTCGGAGAGGAGGATGTGGCGGGTTAGAAACGCTTGGACTGAGCGCAAGTCGCAGCTGAAGAAGTTCGCATCGCATTACCTACCCCTGAATGCGTTCATTGAGGCAACACAAGTGATGAAATCTGACATGATACCGTTTTCGATCGATCCACTGATATCTTGAGGATCGGTCAGAGAGTTTTACACGTTCTATCGAATAAGGTATGCCACGTATATCGATCGAGGAAACAGCGTAGGCAAAAAAGCATAGCGAAGTCTTCGGTCAGGTTTCGAACTCGACCGTTTCGAACGCTTGTTACCAAAGTAGTTGTCCTCACCAAGAACAATAGCTTCCATTGAACAAAGACTTGATTGAACAAAACAAAAAAGGAGGCCAGGAGCGACCTGGACTTTACGCTGTTTGTCTTCCCAAACTCAGTGATCAATCCGCTAAGGGCATGATACACAGTAGAGCGACTACAGAAGACAGGAGGATTCGGCCTCGTTGTTCGAGGTCTGAGACCAGTGACCCATACCACACAAGGATAAGAACTGGTTCACTGCCCAACGAAGGCGCTGAAACCCATCGCTGGACCCTACGTGAGTGTGCAACGAGGGAATCACGAAGGGGTAGGATTGATGTACTTACAACACCAATGTCCTCGTAAGGACAAAGAAGCTGTTTTACCAATTAGTAGTTATTCCATTGAGCGATTCTGCCGGGGTTGTTCCAGTTGTAGGGTAACCGGAGGACTCGGCAGGCGTCGTCACGTGTCTCAAAATCGTTGGTGGAGGCGGCGATATGGCTGTCAAGATGCTTTCACTACGACTCGTTGACATGGAACAGCTGCTGCTGCTGCTACGAGCTTTCTACATCACGATCTAGCTGCACTCACGATACTCAGGATGAGCTTGAGCGATAGAAAGTCTCTATTAGATATTGAGGCTGTACGCGTAGCTCAAGCACGCGCTTTGGTCCTCCCAAATCATCGCCTCGATCAGACTTCCGACGCTTGATCAACCAGCACGATGCACGTGATTCCTCCGGCTTTCAGTGTAACTTCAGCAGATCAACGCCGACAGCGACTTGCTCTTCGCGTATTCACACCAGAGTGCTTTGTTAAGTTCACCCTTCGTTATGGCTGAACGGTCCTTGCAGCTCGCGTGGACGAATCTTTGACCATGGGTCGACATCCATTGACGCCCATAGACATTTTCCCGGTAAAGGAAATCAGTAAGCTGTGATTTCACCAACTTCATGACGATACACATGCTGTTTTGACAGCTCAAAGTGGTCCTGTAGTCCGAATCAACCAACCCGACACGACCTACGATCAGCTCACAAATCGACTTCGCCTCCGGGTAAGGACCGCGAAAATTCATTCGATCCCTTGATGCTGTACGTTAGCTCCCCAGGAGTCGAGCAACTCTAACACGGCGCGAAGCGACTCTCGATACCGACGAGTGGTGAGACGTGAGTCGAGTGCCAATACAAGATTCCTCGGTCCATTATCAGATACCAGAGCCGCAGCGCATTCTTCCAGACACCTTGTCCTGCCACTCAACTAGAGGTAGATCTGCACCATCACGTACCACTATAAGGAGGGATAGTCATAGGTCTCCGGCGCATGTTGCTGCGCCAGCAACGCCGTAACCGATGAAGTCTATGGTTACGAAGCTCTCGCTGACACAACTACGGTGCTCAGATCATTGAGGTGCCAGGATAACCACAACTACTGTTGATCCTCAGCCACTGGTGACTGTCAACCTGACCTACGAGCTTTGCGCCACTCGCAGTTCCAAGCAAGACGCAAAGACCAACTCGTCAGCTCCTTCCGCCCTACCACGCCCTGGCGCTGGCAACAATCTATCAGACCCTTTCATCTCCATAACATTGCGACGTCAGCACCACCATCCGCAGGATCTAAAGCAGACACAAGATTTCGATCCTACACGAGCCAACGCCACGCCCGAAGTACTGTTGCGCGCAATTGGCAAAAGATGAGAGACCAGCATATCAGGGAGAAAAGATTGTATTACACGGAGGATATCGTTGATTGAGGACGAGACGCGATGGCAGCAACGTCAAGAAGAGTTATAATCACTTGTATGATGCGGTGGGGCGTCACAGTGTCTGCGCCATGAAGCACGACCCCCTGGCATGAACGACACCGGAGTATGAGCTCAAATGAGAAAAGCTGGCAGTATCAGCATTCAGAGAAGTCAAATTACCGCCCAGCGTCCTTCATGATAACTACGGAGGACGTCTATGCTCTCGTGTTCGATTCAATGCTTGATCGAAACATGAAAGCTTGACTGCGGCCGATCGTTCGCGACACTAAAGCTTGCTCTGAGCCCACGATTTCTACTTCTTCGGAGAGCAGCATAGTCCGAGTGACGGCGGAAATTCTCTCCTGCCAGAAAGTCGACGTGCTCATCATCTGCGAGCGGCAAATGGTGATTGAAGCCAAGCAAGAGCCGTGAAGCTTCGCAGAAGAAGAAGGAAGGCTTGAGATGGGCAATGAGCGCGAAGGACGAATACAAGTGGAACTCTTCCGAGGACAAGAAGACAAGAACGAAGAGTCGAGTATGCTATCTCCGTAGCATCTTCGGCCTTGGATGAACGATAAGGGGCCCTGGATGAAAACAAGCCAGCTACTTGCGCAGCTGCTTTGCCTGGCAATGTTGATGACAATCGGAGCAATAGTTAGAGAGGACTTGGAGGGGTGGTCTGCTGGAGTTTACATAGAGACCTGTTGATATAATCTTTACCCTCTACCCCTGAACCCAGCAGCCCTGCCTGACATTGATACCAAATTTGCGCGGGTGTATATTCCACAGTCACAACGTCTCTGTAGCAACCCTTCCCAAGCTCATGTCGTCGACGCTGACAAAGAAGAGTGAGGTATTCGCGTGTGAGTGTTGACGAGGGGGAAAGCTGATCTCAAGGGCATTGCAGCAACCTCTGGAGTCATACAATTGTCTCACGGGCGCGACTCAAAGACGCAGAAAACGCAAAGTAAAAAGATGTTGGCCATTTCGAAGCTCCGCTCGCCATAGTATGCGGCATCTCGGAGGCAGCATTAGCCCAGCGCGTCTGCCGATCAGGTGAGAACAGACAGTCAAGACATTAGAACTCTACTTGTCTTTGCGCTGCTGGCACGCACGAAGCGTCCAGTTTTGTTGTTCCGACAGACAGACAGCATAGCTCAGAGCTACATGGTGGATGAGTGATAGAAACACGAACCACTGCTGTTGATCACGTCAGTATCGCACAGAACAGATATTAGCGAAGCCATGATGAAGGAAGAAGGAAGAAGGAAGGTAAGAGCGGCTTCGAATTGCTTGAAAGAATCGCAAGGAGGGGTACGCTAGCGGGAACTTGCAGGTTGGTGGGCTCGGACACAAGACTCGGTGGTCGTGGTGGGAGGTACTAGTTGTCGGTGCTGAGGACAGCCAGTGCTCCCGTACTGCTGAGAGGCTTGATCTTCGACCAAGGCCTTTGAACCCTGGATCTACAACGGCTTGTGCTGGACAGCCGTCGACGAGTAAAGCCCTCGTGAAGAGTACCATCGTCCACCGTCACGAGTCTATCACGAGAAAGCCACAAGAGAAAGAGACGACTTGATATGCTGCATTTGGCCTGTTGACAACGAGCCGAGAATCAGCTGTGTCGACGTAGCCTACCCGCAGCTCACGACAACTGCGGAAAGAAGCCAGCTTCGGTGCAAAATATTACCGATCGTGATGCTCGATTATAGCCAGCGCCGTAGAGAGGTATCTGCAGTGACGAACCTCATCGTCCTTTAGAATAGGCTCAAGGTTGATCATCCTTTCGAGCAACAAAAGATGACCAGCCAGCACGGTCATCGGCCGGATATAGATGCATGGGATACCACACGAGTTCACACGTGGTGATAGTGACTGTCACACATGATATGAAGAGCCCAGACAAACCCCTGACGGATGAGCTATTCTCACCTACCAATGGAACAAGGAGACTGAAGGAGCCAGTCGAAGCAATCGTATGTTTTGAGGAGTCATTCAGCACCTCGCACGGTCCTCGAAAATTCTATGTATCGATACCGGGAAGAAGGAACTGCCATGATTTATACCTCTGAGCCATGCGACTTGTCTATTCGCGATACTGCAGGGCAAGAGCGAGAGTGAGAGAGGCAGGGTTAATACAGAAATGATATGTACTTTCATCGATCAAGTCTGAGCTTCGGCTCTCTGGCCCCTTCAGCTGTCCATATTTGTTCGCGATTACCCTATATCTTGACTACAAGCTGAAGATAGTTCTCCAGCCCGTGGCGGCACTCGTCTCCGACGTTCAGCAGTAGCCAGACATCTCCTTCCAAACTCCTGCCAGACATCTGTTTCTGAATTCCTCAGCTTGCGGGCGAAGTCGACTGCACGACGTCGATAATCGAGACTACACCAACACCCGGTCAAAGTGGCTATCGACAACAGATTCAAGATTGCAAGAAGGATCGTTCTCAGAGCTACCACAGGGATAAATCTATGGCCCCCGTGTCCACAATGGAAGTATGCTCCCAACACAGCAAGTTGAACGAGAAAGCGTCTCGTGCGCCCATGAAGCTGTAAGTCTGGAGGACATGTCGTCTGGATTTCTGTGGCGTCAAGCTCGGACTTCGGTAATCGAAAGTGGAAGTGAAACGTGAGATAGCCTCGGCAGATGCCGTCGGTAGGTGGTTGCGGCGGCCGGCGCCTGCGGCCAACGTTGCACCAAGACACCACCATTTCCCCGCCAGCAAACAGATGCTTTCGAACCTGTTCATTCTCACCGTGCAGCAGACCAAGAATGGGCGCGAGGGACCAAAACATCGCGAACAAGACATCTGGCGGATCTGGTGGTGTCCCAGATCTTTGCTAGAGCATATGCGAGGACAAAGTCAAAACCTCACAAGCTTCGACGGTGTCAGCTCCTCAAACACGCCAGCACGTCCGCACCAGATTTACCGCATGGCCGTCTTCGTCCATCTCCCTTGCTTGCGACGTTAGCTCTGCATGTCATGTAGATGGCACCGCACGCACTATTATCTAGCATACCTGGTCACCACAAACCACTGCCATCGGGAAGATCATGGCGCCTCCCGGCAAACTGCTGTTCGTGAACTTTGACACACCTGGCAAAGCGGACGACGTTGCTCAGCGTAAAGCAGTGCGGGCACATGCTACGGCGTATAGTCATCGAGTAGCACCGCGCAAAGGGCTGCGAGCGGCGAAGTACAAGCAGCTGCCGAAAGAGGGCGCTCAAGGAAGTGCTTCGGATGCCGCTTCCACGTCTGCCGAGAAGCTGCCCACGCCACCCAAGACACCGAGCCCCGCACAACCACAACCCACGCAGCAGATACTGGATCTCCAGCATCCAGAGACTATACGACAGCACAGCAAGCGGACCAGCCAGGATCTTGCCATCTCCAGACTTCTCAGCCCCGACTCAGCAGCACGAATACCCACCCTCCTGAGCTCATCTGGGCGCCGGCGAGCTTCCGACACACGACCAGCAAAACGAGTCAAAGTCACCAAACTACGTAAACAGCAAATCGCCAAACAGCAGATATCCAACACACACATCAAACGCGAAGAAGAACTCGAGCGTCTAGTCGAGCTCTTCCGCCTTCCAGACATCCACATCATAGGAGCCACCGGCAAAGACCCATTCGACACCTACCCTGTTCCCTACGAACCCTGGTACGGACCTCTTCTGGACCGCTGGTATCACCGTCTCGCGCTCGGCCCAGCACTCTTGAAATGCACAACGCAAGAGATCCATGACTACATCAACTGGGTTCGACGATTCGAGTTCTCCGAGCCTGCAGTATACTACACCTCAATTCTCCTTGCCACAGGAACGCCTATTGCGACGGGCACGATGGAGCTGAGCAAGGCTTTGCCCGTGAGGGGTATGGCGGTGCAGGCTATGAATGATGCATTAAACGATCCGGACAGGGCGACGACCAATGCTATGATCTCGGCTGTGGGCAAGATTGCGCTGCATGAGCATTTGTATGGGGATCGGGTGGCTGCTAATGCTGTGCATCGGCCTGCTCAGCAGCGGTGAGTCCTACCTCCTACCTCGCATCTCCCACCGCTCACCTCTTCCCTCACACTACCTAGTACCTCATTCTGCCCAATCAGCATCATACTGACACAGTCCACCTAGCATGATCGCACTTCGCGGCGGCATCGCAGCTCTCGATCTCCCACGCATAACCATTCAATTCATGGTCTGGTCCGATACCTTCATGGCCGCCGAATCCCGAACACCTCGATATTTCACTGATCTGCCTGCAAAAATGGGCGTGCCAAGCTACACGAAGATGGAGGCTGCGGAGGTGGCGATCAGAGCTAATCCGAAGAGGTTTTCGCATCCGAGCTTTGCTTGAGGGACTAGTCTACCTGATTCGCCGCCTTACATTCTGCGGAGGAGAACGAGTAGCTGCATATCTCACGCCGGCTACCACACCCGGGCCTGATATATGTGCAGCATCAGGCTCGCCTTGAGGTGGCATGGGTGACCGGCGGCTCATATCTGGCGAATGCGCCGGTCGTATTCGAGCCATGAATGGGGGCATAACGTGGCTCTGACGACTGCACGAACTAGCAAGGCCCCGAGCATGGGTCGCATTTCGTCAGGCAGCGCATATCTTCCGCAACATCCACAAGGACACCAAGCCATGAGGTCTTGCCGGCTCGGATGTCCACAGCACACTGCAAACCAGCTGAAATCCGCATGGTCCTCTCTACTCGGCTGATAAAGGTCGGATCAATTACCAAATTCGGGAGTCAACATTGCTACCGCGCATCATACTTCACATACGTCAACATCGAGGAACGGCAGCTCACCGCAGCTCGATCGCAACGACGCTTCTCGCCAGCAAGGCAAATATAGGTGCGTTCATGGTGCCACTGTATAAGACTCCAGAGCGTAGGGAGTGCATCTTTCGAACTCCAAGTTCATGTCCCGACTAGCCTGTTGTTACGGCGCCAGGAACCCACCGAGGATCGACAGGCGGTCTTACGCTTTTCCTCATTTTGACCGTATCCAAATCGAACCTCGTGACCGTCCATATCGATAGCTTGGAACAGGAAATCAGACCGTAGAAGTTACTGGATGGGCAGTATCCGACACGACTCATCAAACACACTAGTATCATGCACTCCTGCACCTGCAGTATCTTTGCCGCAGGACTAAGAAGATACCCGCTTCATCAATGCCGTTCTACGTATCTTGAGCTCACCGAGTGAACTTGATACGAGTGGCTACCGCCCCGTCATTTTATGGCTCGCAACTCTGGCGGGTAAGCGGAGGGTTGAGGAGATACTGGTCTACATCTTCCGGGCTTGTCAAGCGAAAGATATTCAATAGGCTGCTGCAACACTAGCTTATGGTATCCACCGTTCCTGTGGAGAACGCGGAGAGTGGCAGCAAGCCTGTAATCATCTGAATCAGCACCCACGAGGACAAAGTCAAATTCAAAGCATATCCCATTGGCTACCACGCTATTCGCTACAGCACTATCGTCTGGTCTCAATTTCTAGTACACAGCAAAGCTTCACTTGCGCAAGCACAACCAAGCACATACCAAGCCTTTGCGCACACCATCTCAAATTCAGTCACTCATCGTCCATCATCTTATCGTCCCATCGCAAGCTCACCGGCCCTAGCAACGCCTTTTCGCCCATCAATGATCAATCGGCAAAGTCGGGAGCTCATTACCATTCTCATCATGATTCTTGCCAGTGAAAAGCGTACACCAATTTCCCCAGTCCTTCCAGCACCGCTTCTGCACCTTCGCCTCCGCGCCCTTCACCTCCAATCCCTCCTCTACCTCAGTCCCGTCGAAGATATCTCCAAAGCCCAAAGATGAAATCCAGGGCCCACGGGTAACCTCCGGGTTAGGCGCGGCGGGATCAACAGACTGCCCAGTGAGACCATCGCACGGCCCAATGAGCCCATCATTGCACACCTGCTCATTGGGATCCTTTTCGGCATCCCCAGGCTGGGCCACCAACTGCCATCCACACTTCCCGTGATCCCAGACATGTTTCTTCGGCTCACAATGCCATTCTAGCCCCGGACTCGCTGGGCCATCGGTGGGCTGGGGTCGCTCCATGTCAGGGTCGTGAGGGTCGTTGATGGTGTAGGCTGGCGTGTCTATGGCTGAGACGTCTTCGATGCTGGGTACGTGGGACTTTGGGGGACCCACTGGTTTGGTGTGCATGATCCACTCGGTCGCGAGGGACCAGGGGTTGAAGCCGCGCTTGGGGAGGATGAGGACGGGTGCGGGTGTGATGTGTGGTGCATCGCCTAGTTCTGTGGCGATGACGTTGGCGACTCGGGCGGCGGTGGCGACGAAGGCGGAGTCCTTGCCATTTTCGGGACCGAGAGCGCAGTCGTGGATGACGCAGGGGGCGGAGGAGTCGCGCTTGATTGGCGTGGCTTTGGTGAGAGCCACGGAGATGGCACCAGGAGAGTGGACGGAGGACGGAGTCATTCTGGCGACTTCGTCGAAGCTGGTCGGGCAGATGCCGTCGACGCAGACTTCGACCATACCATCTGGGCCTATGATTGGGCCGGGATAGGAGGGGGTTGATCGGGTGGTGGTGAGGAAGGTCGTTGGGAAGGGGCCGACGACGGGACCAGGGTAGCCGAAGTTATAGGGCAAGACTTGATCAGGAGCTGGTAGAGCCACTGAGGTCCGGACGACGGTGCTGATTGTTGTGGTCATGGTGGAGTAGTCTTGATTGTTTCGGGAGGGTGTGCAGTATTCTTCCTGTTGTTGTGGATGGGAGATGAGATGAATTGTTGAGAAGAGGAGTGCGAGGTGATATATATATGTTTGGCAGTGCACTCTGAGGACAAGATGAAGACAATTGCTTACTAGCTTTGGAATTAAGCTTTCACGGACCATGGTGGAAGAGGAAATGTTTGAGGACACCAGACGATGTCTGGAGGTAAGTTCGTACCTTCATCTGATCTCCTGATGGATGAGTCCACTTACACTGCTCAAACTCTACCTTTCTCACGCAGCTTGAGTGGCCTACGAGACAGTGAGGAGGATGTCAGACCATCAAAGTCAAATGGCTGTGGTCGAGATATTACAGATCGGTACTCTCATCAGCCCTGATGCCGATGCGTAGTCAGAGCGGATCTCAGCTCCTTGTTCATGGCTCGCGATGCTCAAGGCACTTCGGCTCGGTCCTGCTTCTCCAGTGGTAGGGGAGCCCCTACGGTATTGGGTGGCGCAGTATAACAATCGGATTTTTGAATTCCTCATGAACCATGACAAGGACATATACACAAATACCCTGCGAGAACTACGATACCTCTCAATCCATTTTCAATCCTCCCCCCTCCCCATCCTAGCCTTCATACTCCTCAACGAAGCTTTCGAAGCGTCCACCACAGGACTCGCCCACTTCTCCTCCCCAGTCTCTTGATCCACCATCTTATGCGCCGTACTAGCAAAATTCGAAATGTGGGAATTGACATAGATGTTCTCCCAGTGGCCGGCAGGTGCATGGTAGATTTCGTGGTAGATGCTGAGGTGTGGATATTGCTTTGTGTGTTTGTTCCACCAGTTCCAACTACCCCAACACTGTCAGCGGGGTTGAGGGAGATGTAGTGGGCGAGGGAAATAGCTTACCCAGTCATATGATACTCGCTCATCGCAAACTTGTGCAGACCTTCCGTACTCCGAAAGTACGCCACGTTCAGCAACTCGCTCTTCGTCTCCCGCTGGCTCGTGTTGATCCAGCTCGTCATGCCCAAGTATCCGAATTCCTCCCCGTGCTTATCTAAATCCTTCGTCATATCCTGGAAGAAACCGCCGAAGTCTTTTAGCCCCGGTGCCAAGATACCAAGAGGATGGTTGACGCGCATGCCGATGAGAAGGACCACGACGTCCTGGCTCGAGGGTTTACCGTCTTTGAAATCGCCCGTCTCGTCCGGGAATTGGGCGCTGTATTTACCTTTGACCACACCATCCATGTAGGTATTCTTAATCCAACCAGTAGCCATGGCATATGTTTTCAGCGCATTATAGCAGAGGTAGAGGAATGCTGGAGCGAGAGCTAGTCGGCCGATGACGAGGAAGAGGAGGCCTTGGAGGAGGGCGCCGATGCTTAGCCAGGTCGGGAGGGTGAGTTGGTCGCGGATCAAGGTCAGGGAGGCGGCGGGTCCGAAGAAGGCGGAGCGGGGACGGTGGGTGGTGGATGGCAGGAGGGAGGTGAAGGGTTTGGGTGTGGACAGCATGATGGAGGTGGTTGTCGCTCTGTGGCTTCTGATGGTGAGGTTTGGTGCTTGTTGTCGATGGGTGTGGTTGATCGCAGACTGCTATGTTATACTCCTACTGATTCTTGTGGTAGTAATGTGCTATCGTGATACTGTGATGTTGGAATCTTGCTAGGGAACAGACAGTGGTGGAAGATGCACTATACATATACTTGTCCACGCCTACCGACATCATTATACCATACCTCGAGCTATGATGCACACCCGCCTCTCTCGTGCGTTAATGCCATACATCCTTCGCGATCGGGACCGAATACAGCAGCAAGATGGATGAAGCTGTAAGCCTCGAATTCATCCGCTCCCAAAAGTTCACCCGCTCTCCCCACGCTACTGGCTTACGGCCGTGCCACTAATCCCAAAACGTGCTGACAAGCGCCATGACAAAGCAGATTTGTGAGGACGATGCGTCGGTGGCTGGCGGCATGGGCGGCAACGGCGGCTTTACGTGCGGCTTTGGCGGCACTGTCTGAAGTATCAATGTGTTGCTTCATGGACGACAGGACGTGACAATGGAGAGACGAATGAGGTGTTTTGATGGGTGACGGAGCCGTACTGATCAAAGGTCGCCTGTTCTCGTTGTCCTCTACACCACCCCAATGATGGCAGGGCATTTGCTGATACTTTTGTAATCCTATCTACGGCTGGAAAACCACACTCCGCCTCTTGAGCACGCCCGCCCGGGTATCGCTCACGACTCTCCATCCGCCACTGTGGGATGACAGCACATATATTAGGTCTTGAGATTTCACTCTGGCCACTGCATCCGTTGAACGTCCTGGGAAACCATGTGAAGCACGACCAAGGGTGCCGAGGGTGCCAAGGGCTTGATGCTTCTCCTCAGACATGCACGTGGCCTCACCCTTCTCCCTGCCTCACGGCAGTCCTGGCACCCATTGCTCCGCACGCCTTCAGATTACGCCAGGTACCAGACCACAGCTGGCCATGCAGCTGAAGCATACCATAAGCCATCATTGGAACAGGCTTGTCGAGCCACACATCTCAAATATGTCAGTAATGCCCGAAGCTTTGCATGGTAACTTGCGAAATAGCGGATGCGGAAACGCTGTCTGCATTCCCAGATCTCTAAGATGATTGACCGCCATCATATGAGCGGAGGAGGTGGATGCCGGCAGGGTAGGTGATGGCGGGACTGAGGCCAAGCTTCTGGATGAGGGTGGGTAGTAGCACTTGCTGATGCTGCGGAATGGCGATATGGTATGGCCATGTGTATTTCGCGGCAGACAGAATCCCACCTTCTATCGACACGTTCTACTACTCCTGCTAAACCGCATCTTGACTTTGTCTGTAGATCATCCATCTGTGCGCTGCGCGGAGCCTACGAGGGGAGGAGCGAGATTCAATCACTGTGTCCTGCAGAGGCTTCCTGAACGCTCAGCTCGCAGTCTATGTATGACACGGGGAGGGACGTGCTCGCGCGGCCACAGTCTGCTCCGGTAACGAAGCGCACAGATCTTCTTCGCCATGCTCGAAGCTGACCTTTGTTTGTTCATGAGCTGGACCTGTAGAGATGCCACTCCTCTCGCCTATGGAGATGTTGAATGGCAGTCAGAGAGACCACCCGGAAACATGCACGGATTTGCGGGCCAGTGGTCTGAGCAGAGCGCCCGATCTGGTTCCTTCTCCAGTCTCAAACACGCATGCATTACGATTGCGCGGGTTCCACGATTTGTTCTGTGGTGTGAAACGTCATCTTGTTGAGACTCGATCACGCCACTAAGATGTCTTCGTCAAGTTGCCGACTTGCTCGAGGAATGCGGCCTACCAGGCCTGTTGAGATGTTGATACTCCATCGTCCCGGGACCGAGGCCGGAATGGCTGTCATCCTGTAAAATTCAGCTCCAGGAGGCGGAGATGCGCTTCTGGCTTGCGTTTGGTTCTGCGAGGCATTCTCTAAAGTTGCATAATAGGCGTGCTATGTAGATCAGTAGCTGTGACACCGAGGTTCATAATTCCGTTGCTGAGACGATACAGCCTTCGAACATGCGTCGGACAGCGAGCAAGGATGTCTATTGCCCATGGTCCCGGGCATGGCTGTTTGTTCCAACTTCCTGTGGCGGTTGAGTATTCCTTCATGGCGGAAAGAGGTGATACTGTCTTCCTGCACACAACGGCAGTATGCACTTCTCGAGGATAACTTCGCAAGATGTCGTCGTCCGATGAAATCGATTTAGATGACCCAAAGTCGAGTGATTTCCAGGCACGCATGGGTCTCGCAAGGACCCGTGCCAAGCCAACCATAAAAAGAAGCTTGTCCGTCGATCTTACGCCACAACGCTAACAAATGTCGAGAAGTGCCGAGGCCATCCACCATCAACCCCTTGGGCATGACCGAGGCCAATCCTGTCATTGGTCGCAGAGTGCTATACAGAGTATTCGGCCTGGATCATAGCCTGTCAAGCATCATATCTGGATCATGAAGTGCGTCCGGGCCCAGGCAGATAGTACCCACCAGAGAGAAACTGTAGCCGAGGATTGCTTTTCTTGTCCATCCGCGCCACCCTGGAAGCCGGGGTCCAAACCGCCAGAGTTCATGCCATCTCACTGATCGGCAAATGTCGTTCCAAGTAATGGCCCTGTCAAACGTGCAAAATCGAGCAGAGCGTTCCCAACCGATGGGGAAAGCAACTCAGGTCCGGGGTACGCACCGTACATTGATATTAACGTTTATTGCGCTAGTCTTGCCCATGGGATGCAGCCTCGGTCTGGAGATGAAGATTCGAGCCAATAGATGTGGATACATAGATGATGTGTCACCAGGGCCAATCTGTTCTCTGAGGATTCATATACAAGGCCAAATCACTGTCCACGCCTGTCCAGCACTGTATTGCCCCCATTCTTGATCAGCACCATGAAGTCTCTCATCACTGCCGCGGCTCTCGTCGCCAACGTCGCCGCCTTCCCTCACTTCTCCTCCGAGAAGAGAGGCATTCCAGTGGAAGCCCTGCTCGAGCGCCAGGTCTCTCAGCCACAGGGTGGAGCAGCAGGCGTACCACTCCCGGCTGTCCCTCCTCCCTTCAATGCGGCTTCCCAGCGTGTCAATGTCAATGGCACTTATACCGTGAGTCCAGATCTACATGGAGAAAAGTGATGGACGAAGTCGCTAATCTACACGCTACAGTTTGTCGCACCCGGCAGCGGTGATGCACGAGGCCCTTGTCCAGGCTTGAACGCCATGGCCAACCACGGCTACCTCCCTCACAACGGAGTAGCCACCGTTGCCCAGTTCGTTGCCGCCACAACAAGCGTCTTTGGCATGGGTGTAGATCTGGCCACTTTCCTCGCCACATACGGCGCACTGGTCGACGGCGACGGAGTCTCGTGGTCTATCGCTGGCTCGCCTCACGTCGGCATTGGCGGGTCTCACGGCAATTACGAGTCTGACAGCTCACCTATTCGTGGTGATTTGAACCAGTACGGCTCCAATACCAAGGTCATTATCTCGCAATTCAAGACAGTTCGTTATGCCTCCAATTCATAATACCTTACACACAAATGCTGATGAAGTACCAAAGCTTTACGACATGCAGCCAGATGCTGCCACTGCCAACTACAACCTCGATGTCCTGCGTACCTTCCGCGGCAAGCGTTTCCAGGAGAGCATCGATAAGAACCCTTACTTCGCATGTAAGTGGCATAGAAGGTGGAGGATTCTTGATCAGCGGTGCTAATCATGAACTTAGACCAACCCTTCACGGGCATGGCTGTCTCCCAGGCCGCTTTCACCTTCATCTACCGGTTCATGGCCAACCATTCTGCCGAGTACCCCGAAGGTCGCTTGAACAAGGATGTCCTTAAGAGCTTCTACTCCGTCACTGGCGATAGCAACAGTGTATGTGTACCGCTATCCCGACTGTCCCTTCAGATTATGCTGACTAGCTGCACCAGCTCAAATGGACTCCCGGCCACGAGCAGATCCCATACAACTGGTACCGCCGTAACACGGCCGATGCTTACACGATCCCATACTGTGAGTCGACCCGACATGTTGAACTCCCAGCATGGAGACAATGCTGACACTATCTATCAATTAGTCCTCACCGACATTCTCTACTTCTCCATGACCAATCCCCAAATCAACTCTGTAGGCTGCAACCAAGGTCGTGTCGACTCCTACAATACCATCGACGCTGCCACTCTGTCTAACGGCGCTTATACCGCCGCGCAAGCCGCTGCGAACCCCGTCTGCTTCGCGACCGAGTTCGCCATTGCTGAGATTCCCTCTCTCACGGGTCTTCCCGCCACCGCTGTGGCGCCTTTGACCAAGACGCTGCAGGGCCTTACCAGTGGACTCAATTGCAAGGCGATTGGCAGCGTCAATCAAACTGCCCTGTCTATCTGCCCAGGCTTTGCGTTTTATGGTGGACCTACTGGGCCTGTTGCTCCGGGTGCCATTCAGTCCTAGACGATCGGTCTGGTGGATGAGATCATACAGAACAACGGAGAGAGGTACTGGTTGATGAGTGACGGCTAGTGTCAAGAGCCTGCAGTGCTTCGAAGACAAAGATATGGAGAGGCGTAGGAGCTTAGGATAGAAGTACAACATACTACATCTAGCTTCATTGCTAATCTACAACGAGCCTCATGGTGCGCCCCTTGATAGATATCGTACACTTGATCTCTGATGCTCCGATGTGTCAAGCGAGGATGTCTCAGCTGTTGCATGTAACCATCAAACAAGAACGCCATTGCTCCCTCATGCTTCAGCGCCATTTCCGAAATATGCTGCGACGCCTCACAGAGCCTCACTGCTCCATTACGCCACTACCAATGCTACTATACGTTCCTGAAGCTCTTCCAGTACGTCTTAGCTGTCTCTTCTCCGTGCCTTCCTTCGTACCTGATGCTGCTGGCCCGCAGACCTCGTTTCCTAACAAGCCGCGCGACCTAGTGTCCGCCTTTCCCACCACTCTTCGTCTCGCCGGCCTTGCGAGTAGTCTCCTGGCGCTAGGTCTGGAAGCCGGAATTGTCGCGGCGCTCATTGGCCCTCAGCTCCTCTCTAGCCGTCATCTTCGCACGAATCTTAGCCTCCAGATCCTCCATTTCACACCATAGACCTTTCTCCTTGCAGTAGGCCTCGATCTGGTCCATCTCAGGGGTGGTGAAGACAACTGAGCGTTTCGTGGAAGATTGGACGCGCTTGCCCTTGACGCAGAGATGCATGATCTGATTCTTCGCCGTGTAAGCCAAACCGACGTCAAAGTGGAGGACCTCGAGAATCATGACGAATTCATCGCGAGTCAGGGGCGAGGCGTGGATGTAGTCGACAATTTCCTGACGGAGTTCGTTGCCACGCTTCTCGGGATCGATGAACATGGCGTATGCGGTGGCGTAGACGATGACGAGGTCGTTGAAGTCGGAAATCTGGAGTTCACCGATGGTGACAGGCCGCCAGTCCTTGGGGTCATTGGTCTTGAGCCATGCACAGACACGCTTCGCGGTCTCGATATTCGTAATTGTGCTCGGGAGTATGAGGCGAGTGATCTTGTTCTCCTCACCACCGAGTTGAGCTCGGGCGAGACCAGTGGCAACCGTGAGATTGATGGCGGGGATGGAGTGGGCGACGGCTTGATAGGTCGAGTCCGGGCCTTGAACGTAGACGGTAATGAGTCTGCTTATGGCCATTGCTGCGCTGTTGTAGCTGAATATAGTACTGGAGGATGTTGTGGTTGCTGTTGAGGTCTTGCAGTTAGTATGAGTGTGGTCACGATCGATGCAAGCCTGTGGATACTGTTCGTGGGTGGGAAGTGGTCTGGTACCTGGAGCTTCGACTTGCACTTCTATAGATCAGTCTGTTGTCTGGCGCGTTTCTCCGACGATAGCGTCACCTGTAAAGTGTTATCTATCCATTCACCAGGGGAACACTTCTGCTTGACTCGTTTGCAGGCGCATGTGACTCGGAAAGCAGCGGGGACACGTTAGCTGGTCACGGACCAACAAAGACATTGATTTTCTTCTCGACGTATATCTTCGATCTTAGATCTGCACAAGGAGATTCTCCAAGTCAGTCCGACTCTTTCCCTGCTTCAACACAAGGTATCAAGTACCATCGACTCCTTCACCAACCATATCGAAGCTCCGCGACTACACACGATGATACCCGTAGTCCTCGGACAGCGCGATCCCAAGCGTGCTCTCGTCACCGTTCATATTCGTCAACTCGGCGTACCCGATCGCAGAGCTGGAGGTGTCTACGAGGACGAGCTTCGAGCTCACAGTAAGCTGATCAGTCGCCGACTCGATGAAGACATTGCGGCAGGGTTCATCAAGGCCGACGACATGGACAAGAACGTATTCCTGAAAGGAATCTCCCACGGTCCTGCTGCGATGATTTGCGAGGAGATCGATGTTCTGTACAAGCGCAAGAAGCATGACAAGAATGGTGACTTCAAGCTGAAGATCAATGCTTACCACCTTCCACTTGCTCACGGTGTTGCCTTGTGGACGGCGGTACTCGCGATGGAAATCTACGATCCGCCACAGCACGATCATATGGAGAGACAACTGCGCTGGAACATCGGCCACAACAAGATCTCCCCGTCCGAAATGCTGGCAATTGCTCGCGGCGCCTACCAGTATCGTGAGGTCTACAAATTATGGGGCGTCCTGGTTCACCAAGTTGCTTACGACGTGCTCTACGACAAGTACACCATCAAAGAAGGCAATGCACTTCGCGCTGCTGCTATCGAGGCTAGAGATATGCCGGAGTTGCTGGTCGAGATGTCGGCGCGTTATGTCCACCTTAGGGACATTAAGGAGCATCGTGAGCAGGAGACTGAAAGGAGGGCTGCTCGAAACTAGAGGTGTGATGATTCCAATCCTCACTTGGAGCCGCCGAAGTCGGGTCAAGAAGGCAAAGACAGCAGCTAACGGGGAGACTAGTTGAGCGAAATGTGCGAGACGAAGAGGGAAGACAGCGAGCACCGGATACGATGGTGGCAATCCTGGCGCTGGAGAGGACGATAACATCAAAGTAGATTGATGCGCGGTGATATTGCTGCTGCCTCACCGTTGAAGACGTGGGTCTGCTGGATTTTTCCCAGAGAACTGGCTGGTAGCGACGGAAGGATTGAGGCCATAGCATAGATCATATTAGATCCATGCAAGCGAGCGAGTGCTTCTTAAGATAATGGCTGAACTCACAGACAAAAACTACTACCCAACAACCTAATTTCATGCCCACTTCGAGGTACTACAACCAAAACAGCTTCAAGGTGTATGCTTCGTACTGTGTTCAATGTATTACAACAGCGATCTTTTGGCCGCGTGCTAACAACAGTAGTCGCTCGAGTCTTTTGACGTTGCTATCGAGTTTGTGATGAAACGCCGCGCTTTTAGTATACTGGAATGCGCATTCTGAGCATACATTCCTCGTGATGTCAGGACAGCGCGCCGAGTCCTTAAGTATTCTTGCTATCCATCAACACCCGATGTTTGAATCATGAAACTCATCGCCACGTAGCCGCAATGTCTAGATACGCCTCTGCCCTCGTCTTCACACTGGCCACGATTGCAGCTGCGGACACGAGACCTGCCGACGTGACGATCTGCGATTACTACACGAATGCAATTTTCGGCGTCAACAATGCCACGAACCAGAAGGCCATTGTAATTGCGGTGGTGAACACGGCAGTGGCCGGCAACTACACGCACAATGTTCAGAAGACGAATATTGCTGTACCCGGGATCCTGGCTCTGAACGCAACCTTTGATGGCACGTCAGTGAACTTGTTGCCATACTTCGACGGCAGCTTGGCATCAAGCAGCATAGGTGGAAAGGCTGCTGCGGTCGACTGGCTGGATGGTGGTGGAGCCGCGCCACTGTATAAGAGTATGCCGACGAGCAGCAACGGCACGCATCAATAGTAAGCATACTCTCAGTGTCTCCAGAAATAACACCTGGACTGATGTGGAAACAGTACCCTCATGACCCACCTATATGAATACTTTGGTGGCGTTCTCGGCTGCTCAGGCTACGGCAAGGGCTTCCCTTCCTACAACAGCACGACGAGCATGTACAGTGTGCACAAGTACATGGCCCTCAACCCTTTCGAAGTCAGTTACTTCATCGAGCAAGTCGGCGCAAGTGCGGCTAGCTGGGGTGTAAGTCCTGCAGATGTCGAGGTTGTGGGCTCAACACTACAGAGTCTGTTCGGACAGAAGTGTACTGCAAATACAAGCGTGCTGCCAGGCTCGCCGCCTGAGCTGCAGTCGATCTGCATTGATGTAAGTTCCCTATTAGTTAGACTGATTTTCGTGTTGCTCTGCTAACAGAATCAGGCTGCGTGTCCACGAGCACCGAATGCCTCTTGTTCAGCATACGATGCAGTCGAGAGGCCTGCCGCTGGCAACGGAACAGCAACGAAGCACCCAAGCAATGGCTCTGCGCCGAGCAACGCCAGTGGTACGATGCCGCCCGGCTCCTCTGGAACGAGCAAAAATGGTGCGATGGCGTTACAGCCGTTGATTGGGACTGTGATGTCTGCACTGGTTGCAGGGATAGTACTGACGTTTCTATGATTGCTCAACAGTCGATTGAAAGGCGTCTATTAGTTATGTAACAACCAATGATCTTCAAATGTTCGCTTTGGCCCCCAGAGCTGAGCGCTATCTTATTCCGTGCCAAAACCTCCGTCACTTCTGATTTGAAAGCCAAAGCTTTGCAGCAATGATTTACCCCAAGCATTTGCAAGACAAAGCCACCATGTACCTAATTAAGCTTGCGTAAGTCAACTCAAGCTAGGCTGTCCCCGCCCGAGTACGACATCCTCGATCCACTGATCATATAATCATTTCGCATTGCTTTGCCGATCCTTTTACATATCTCAGTAGAAGGTCATGAGTCTCCCACCTTCCTGCGGCCGTACACCAATAGCCACAAACAGTGCATTCCGAATCTGCTCCGACCAATGTTTCTCGTTGACGGTAACCCACCTCCCCTCAGACTCCTCGGGACACACAAGCCTACGACGTAGAACAGTATAGCTCGGCGAAAAAGGAGAGGCCATGCTGGAACTGTCCAGCGCCGGTGGTATCGCGGCACCGACAAAGCGGATCTTCTTGACGATCTTGTTGTCGACCTTGCCGATCGCCGCTGTCAAGTCGTACAGATAGCCAAGTTATTCCCTCAGCCAACAGTCTCCTGTGTGGAGTAGAGAAGTAGTAGAGATTACGATAGAGGATATCCTCATCATCCACGGTGACCCGAAGAGTCTTGAGACGAGGAAAATCGGACTGTAGCACGTTATTCAGGGTTCTTGTCCAGGCATACATTTTGGAGAGCCATGAGTAGCCTGAGGAGTAGTTCTGATCTGTAGTTGCAGCATTGATTCGCAAGTGAAGGTGTCGAATGTTCGAGCTGATAGTGGTGATGCTGGAAGGGAGCCGAGGGTTGTATTGTGGCGGCGGCGAAGGGACCTGACCGTAAGTTGATGCGTAGTACGAGTGGTTGAGGTAAGAAAGATTGAAGCGTTCGTTTTGCACCAGCTTGTTGATGAGATTTTCCTTGAAGGCGAGAGCGTCCAGAACGTTGATCTATGCTCGCGACTCGCGTCTACGCACAACGTCGTCCACACGCTCATGTTTTTGCATTATGACGATACTGTCAGGGTAGTCGTCAGCCATGAACTCCGCTAGCTTGTCCCATATAATCTCGCACATCTCCTTTGGTAGTGCTCCTCAGCGTCCGCCACCATCTTGCATGGCTCGCAGATTGATGATTGCGCTCTCCGTCTCGTGGCCTTTTAAAGCGCAGTACTTCTTGTATCGCCAGTGATGCTCGGCCGCGATGATAGCATCTAGCATGCAGCGGAGGGGAGAAAAGTCGTCGAACAATTGCGGATTGTGGGGCCCGGACGCGTTGCCATTCTTCTGTGGGACTCGCTTGTAATTCGCTTTGACGAACTTAGAGCCGTCGCTGCGTGCTTGGAGATAGCTGCTGATAATGCCGTATGCCAGGTCGACTTTATGACCGTTGAGCCCTTCAGCGTCCGTATCGACTGCCTCGAGGATCGCTTCATCGATACGAGGAGCATCCTCCACCGGTTCGACGATACCAGAATGTGCCATTCTCAAGGACAGCTCCCTGCATTGGTTGTTAGTCAAGACCAAGCAGAATACCGCTGTCTGAGGATCGCTTGACGCAGTTCTATACACCTACCAGTTTGGTGGTCCTGTCGGAACGATTGATGCTATGTTGAAGTCGGTCGCCTCGACGGTCAATCTTGTAAACTTTCTAGACTTGCTCTGCCGTTGCGTCTTTCTCGGCCTGATAGGGATGCGGACTCGAGCTCGCCGATCGGTTGAAGTGGCGAGGGTAATAATGCTCACAAGTAGTACCTACTGTATCATCGACGGTCGGACGTGCGAAAGAGTCCCGTTGTTGTCTTGCAGGTCGCAGTCTCGCTTCGTGTGTCGCGTTACTGGACATTCACATGCTGTACCAAGCCGCGTCTCTCCCGCTTTCCAAGCTCGACTTGATGGTACGCACAACTTAAAGCTGCAACAAGCTCTCACATCAATACCTACAGACACGAGATATCGAGCAGCAACATGAACGCCTTCGCACAATCTGACATCTCGAGGGGCATTGGCATTGGCAATGCGGCACCCACCGACGAAACCGCCAAGCGCTGGCCTTCCCGCATAAGCTACGCCACTCAAGCTCAGCGCACCAAGCGAGACGCGCGTATCAAGCAGTATCGTGATTACATCGAAGAGCGCAACAACTGCAAGAATGAGATCGATCGTGTCGTCGCGAATATCTACACCATGTTGCCACCCGAACTCGTCCTTGTTCTTTTCGACCACCTGGTTCGCGCCTGCGAGTGGCCACTACGCGGTCAAGACCCTCGAGCTGTACTCGGCCCTCCGTCCATCCAGATGCCGACGGAACAAAGCCTCGAAAACGCAATCGAGTCGGTGTTCGCCATGCTTCCTTTCGTGAGGGAGTTTTCCGACACACCTGCGCCAGGCTTCACGGTCAAGTCTGGCCTATCAAGCAAGTTCTTCAGCAGTGCTGCAAAGAAAGCTCTCCTCACCCAACACGCTCTCAGCTTTCCAGCGATCTACCCGTCAGCCACCGAACCCGCCACACGCCCATACCCGCCCTTCCTCGCCGACAAGCGCGATCTAATTCGTCACCTCAATCTCCTCATCGACCTCGACACCATCCACTACCCACTTCCGCTGTACCTAGCGCAGGACAGCATCCATCGCCTGAAGGAATGGTTCCCACAAGCCAGAAGTGTCGTCATAAAAATCATCGTCTCCAGCTACGATCGCGCCTACCACAAGCGTGGAAAGGCCAACGAGGTCACCAATATCGGTGACGAGGGCAGAAAGTTGGTCAAGGAGCTGCAGAAGGTGAGGGTGAAGAAGATGTATCTAATGATTAATACAGTCGGCCACGGGACCGGTTCGATGCTGGAAAAAGGATCGATCTGGGCCGATCAAGTGGTGCCGTCGTCAGACCCCGAGGTCTGGTTCAAACTACTTCGAGGTGCTATCGTCGAGGTCGTTGAGGGTGGTATTGCTACTTAGGCGCAGTAGATTGGACTTTGCGGTCGGTTCACGTCGGCTGATTGATAGCTCTGATGTGGAGAATGTCTGTGGAAGTATGGGTTTAATTGTTTGATGAGGTCTTGCTGCTCCTTGGCTGTATCCTAGCACAGATAATGACCACAATAGATTCTTTTCCATCAATAGTGGCAGTGTCGTTCTTTGTCTCGAGCTACCTTCATGGCTGAGTTCGGCAAAGCATGTGTCTACATAACCTCTTTGTCTTGCTTTCGTCTGCTTCAGCCACGTATAATCCTTGCCATAAGAATTGATGGTCGAATAAGATCTTGAGGTCCCGTTGTCAGCCAAAACATCGAGCATTATGCTGAAAGATTGATCAGCTCCCGATGACCCCGAGAGATCTATCCGTATCTTGACGACTGGAGGATAATGATCGACCAATGCTGGTCAGATAGGATGTTTGATCGTTGTAGAACTACGCAAATCAGACAAAAAAGTAATTCAAGGGCGCCTGGACTCGAACCAAGGACCTCATCGTCGCCAACCTTGCGGCTTGAGCCATAGCGATGCATTCTACCGACTGAAATACGCCCTTTGAAAAAAAGATGGATCGACCGGACCGACCGCTGCGCTGCCACGCGCTTGTTGTGTGATTGTGCTGGGGATGTGCAGGGGATATACATACGTTATTGTCTGCGATATGACAAGAGGTGAGGATTGATTGTATTCTATGTAGTTTCGAATGAACCGCCGACGATCCGCCAGACTTGAGCGAAATCTCGAGCACACATGCGTATTTGGCTGTTACCAAGAACGCACAATCACCAGGAACAACTACGTGATTGGTTTTCCAAAGCGAAATCAGTATACTTCTCATCTTATTAAGGTCTCGGATTATCCATAGCAACGGTACATAACGACCAAGGTGATTTCCAAACCCATCGAGGCAATAATGATATTCTGACTTGGGCTCACCCGCCTCTTGCTGGCTTCGAGTTGCACATCCACTAGCTCGATGTGCTCGTTGACCAACCGCCTCGGATAGCTTTCTAGTGGTGACTCTTGTTTAGATATTCACGTGGATACCCTCTTCAAAGCCGTGCGGCCTTACCTTTTGGTTAGTGACGGCATCAGAGGGTATCTACGACTCCATCGTCTAGTGGATTAGTTACATGAGAGACCGCTATTGTCCTTTGGCATCGATTGTAGCGTCTGGTCACCAGATAGTCCTCCCTGTAGCCATTTCATCTCCCTCAGCAAACCGTATGGAAGCAATAATGACATGTCCACGTGTTGCATGCCAGTACGTCGAAACCGAGCATGGCTGTCGAGTATAGCAAGCTAGCTCGATCAATGGGTCGTAGCATTCGCCGCAGATGCGACGAGGAACCTGATACCCTGCGTCTTTCACACGATGAGGCGATTTCAGAGGGGTACTCCAACTAGAATGTGTCCTCCCCAGTATCATAAGGTTTCAGAAAGATGCACCCACTAGCTCCCTCAGATCTCCCTTAGATCTCTCAGCCTCCTATTGGACGTGGTCTCGATAACGAGGTTCATTGCACTCAGGGATTGATGTACGCTGATGCCGCATCATCGAGCGAGGGCAATCTTTCGTCGATAGCAAGATGCCTTCGATGTTTTACATATTGGCATAAGAAGTAGGGTCGGAATCGTTGGCAGCGACTCACCGCAATGTACACAGCGTCGATCGTAGCATTAGGTTTCAGCGGTGTACATCCACTAGCTTCCTCCTTTCCGTCAAACATTCGCTTGAGTTGCTCCGCACGATGATCTGACGGACTGGATCATCCGTTATCGCCTCAAGTTTCAGACCTGTGCTCCCGCTAGTGTCCTTCTTGCCGTCAGCCACTCGTCCTCGCTAGCCTGCGAAACGACGGTATCTGGGTGTAGCCTCCTTGACACCTTCAACACCTTCGCGTTGATCACTGAGCCTTGTTCCATCGAGGGTGCGGTGCAATTACTTCAAGGGGCGAGTCTTTTCAAGCGGACGTCATGCCATGTACGCCGCAATCTGCTCAAGGTCCTCGTCTGAGTGTAACATGCGATGGGCAAAGCTTACCCAAACTCTAAATTTTGGGCACCACATCACGTGACCCGCTCGAATTCGAATGCTATGCCGTAAAACCCTTCACGACCAAAGTGCAGCGCGAGGATCGCACCGCTCCTGAAGGTCGTAGGCATCATCTTTGCCATCACGAGAGATAGAGTGCCACAGCAGGAGCAGTGAGAACACTTCCATGCAGCTGCAGGTCTGTGGCAGCATCAGCGGCGTGATCCTATCCAGGAGGGTGAAAGTCACATTGGACACGCTCGAATAGCTTATGTACCAATCTGAAGGACCATGTCATAGGAGATAATGCTGCGAAATGAAGAGAAGGTGAAGTGGGATCATGCTTTGGAACATCGTATGCAGAAGATCAGCTATTATACAACATCGCCACACACCCGGCAAGGCATCTGCCACAGACACATCAAGCCTCCCAAGATGATCCTGAATCCTGAAGATCACGAAAATGATCATCAAGATTCAGCATCACCTTGAGAAACCTGATGTGTCTGTGGCAGGACCGAGCTTGTTGAAGTGCCGTGGGGCACAAAACACAGTCTCCGGGACACACTCCAGCACCAGAATCAAGTATACCTCATCTTCCTGTACTACCATCAGAGCTGTTTGCACACCCATAAGGTAATTGAAATCTCCGGCCCGCCCCTCTCGAGCAGGCGCAGGCCGGCTGCGTGCTTAGGGAGCAAAGGAGTCGCTGCCTTTGTTGATGCGATGTCAGCGGTGAAGAGGTAGGTGAGCAAGATGTTGACTGACCTTGGCGGTAGCCGCCGGCAAAACTCCCAGTGAGGAAATCCAGGATGTCCCCGTGGTTTGCGAAGTCGATGAAGGGGTACCCGACGTTGGTATTCTTCTCGAAGTCGACGGGCAAGTACAAGAAGTCGTACTTGCCTTTGCTGGTGAAGTCGATGTAGTTCTTAGCTCCCCGAAGCTCATACCCACTGCCTGCCACCACCACCGCGGGCGTGGAAATGGCAGTGGCAGCGGCACTGGCAGAAACAGGAGTCCCGCCCGCAGTCGCCTAAACTCGAGCTGTTGGATGTCAGTAGTGATCGAGAAGCAGTAAGCTGGAGTGAGACTGACCGTGAAAGCTTATGCAGTTTGGTACGTTCCCAAGCATGACGGTCGTACGCACATCCGTTCCGTTGCCGATTCTCCAGACCTCGACTTGCTGAGGCGTGGAGACATGTTGCTCATCTGGAGGGCGGAAGTGGTCAATTCCAGGACCCGCGGCGGAGATCTAGCTATCAGTCAGCATTGAGGTCATGAGAAAGGAGTGACGAGTGAGGTAGATACCTTGTCGTGCCGCTGAAGCACGGCAAACAAGTGCCTGCTGGTGGTGAACTCCTTCCCCAGGAGGTGCAGATAATGTCGTGCGTGATGATGTGGTCGTCGTGGAGGCACCATTGGTGCTCCATGGTGATGGAAAGTGATTTTGGACTTGAGTAATGGTGTGACATCTGTGATTGTCAAGGTGTAAGAGTGAAGGAGAAATTTTCTCTTTGTCAACGCGTTTCGGAAGTGGGGTCTTGACTCGTGGCGCAGCAACTGCAAGAGGAAAGCACGATGCTGGTCATGCTTTCGCGTCGACAATATCATCGGTAGCCTCTCCTGCACTGTCTGTTCGGCGCTTCTGTCTCAAATAATATTCTGTACAGACTAAGCATACTCTGACCTTTCATCACTACATAGTTCCCATGAGCCAGTGAGCCAGCGGTACGGCAGATTCTCACCTTCAGCTGCTCCCTCCGCATTTGTTACTAACAGCTCTCCAGATCGGAATCGTGATCGATACTCAAGTACCACTATCGTCTTCCTTCTCCGCATCAGAGTACCAGGCGAAGTCACAAGGTAGCTGCTTGTATGTGCTCGCCGGTTCCTCACCACGCGCTAGTTGTGCTAATTGAAGCCTTGATAGAGTTCAGCACTTTCGATCAGACACCCGCATATGCAGGTCAACGAATGGGCCCACCCCGAACACTAGCTTTCACTTCTCCTTTTTCGGCCTGCCAAGATACACGGTTTGCATGTCAAACCGCTCGCTACCACGAGAAAGCAATCAGGCGGAGCAGAGCTGACGATGCGGGCTTCCTAATCTGGCTTGGAAGGTGGCCCAAGAGACGATCCGAGAATAACACGTCGAGTTCTGCGATCCCTCTCGGCGCGGCTGCCAAGGTCTCACTTCCTCACATCATCAACGAGAACAATGATGGAGTTCACAAGGAGGTCGTGCTCGCAAAGATCATGGACCCGATGCTTGCATGGAGCAAGCTACGCAGCAGTCCGCCACCCACCTTACAGCGATTGGCATCAGACTTGCCGCATGACATCTTACCAAAAGATGCTGGAGAAGAGCAGGGTGATCACCTGCCAAGAAAAAATCCTGCCATAGTGACCATGTCTAATCGTCGCTCAGTCATACATTACCACTGGTGGGATGGTACTTATGCTGGAAGAAAACGGTCGGTTCATGGACTCTGGTTCCACCACACAGGAACACTTCGCATACTTCGTGCTTCACGTTGCGGCAACTTTCTTGCGCTTCTACCTGAAGCGATCCAGCTTCAGTACAAGACTGGTGCTCCGTGCATTTCTTGAAGCCTTTTGCTTGGTGTTACTCAGCTCGTTGTCGCATTTCAGGACACGCGGTCATTCGCATTATCCCACAGACTCGCAGCTGCACTGCCGCCAGGACCTGCCTTCCGAGATCCAGGCGTGTCGTGCGATTACAGCGCGTTCACCTTGTCAACCGAGTCAGCTCCCGCGTGGCGTCACTATCTCATCACGGCGATCGATTAGGCCGCCAGTGCTGCCCGTCAAACGTGTGGATGTGTTGGGTGCAGCGCAGGCTTCACTAAGCTCGCACCTGAAGCCGGATCGTCCTCAGCTCCCCATTCCCTCAATCACGGCAAAATGGGATACCACTCTGGATGGGGACACGGTCGTGGCAGAGCAAAGAGCCGGAACAGGAATGATAAAGCAGCGAGTATGAAGTTTTCGTTTAAGGCGGAGGGGCATGAAGTGTGCTGAGTACAGAGGAGTGGCATTCAACTCACAAGATCGACTTCCACAAGCTCGGTTAGGAAGCTTGAGTGCTCAAGGTGGACATAGGAGAGGCAGCACGATCCTTCACACATGGTCTTCCGTCACTGCCATCTTCACAAGCGGGTTGCTCAGACCTGATCGAACACTAGACCATGCGCAGACCTGGTCCTTCGGATTATGCTGGCTTCCGCCACCCGCCGGTGAGCACCATGCATGGGAGAACTGCACGCTCTCGTTCCATCAGCAATCACGCATTTAACCAAAAGCTCAACGATTACAACTACTGTGCGCCTTCTCGATGCAGGTGTTGGAAGGCGGACGCGAGGCTGTCCATGTTCTCACCGTCCGACTACCCGAGGATCGCTGCCCATCCCAAGACATCTGTAATCTGACCGAGACATCCCGCAACTCTGCCATCATGCTGGAAGGCTCCAACATCGACCAAGGCTTTGCAGTCCGCGCTTCTGCTCCAGTCAGATCTCCACATCTGATGGATCTCGCCAAAATAAATGCAAACTGTAGCTGTTTAGAGCAGCACGGAAGTTTCGGCATATCGACCTTATCACCCTCGCCTTCCTCGATCTGGCGACGAAGGAGCCCGCAAGGGCGGCTGGTGGAACCAGCGTTGGTGTTGGGGTCATGGATCGGCTCAATGCGACCGGTGGCGCATTTGCAAAAGGTGATTCTGGCGCTCAAAAGATGAGCGGTCCACACAGCCGTTGTGCAAGAGCTTGTCGCGCTGTCTCTGCCCGGATTCGAATCCATCATTGCGCGTCAGACGTGGAAGGCTAATATGCTGACGGAGCGTGCCGCCGAGTGCATCATCGACTTCAGCCCAGACGTGGGCATGATGTGAGGAGAGACTGCTCTCGTCTCGGCAGCCGCATGAACGTCGAGAACCCCCACACGACGTCTGCAGCATCAGTCCTGTCTTCAGACTGGACCGCGAGGGTGGACGGTGGAACCGTTACTCGTGTTGTGTGCTCGGTGTGGGACGCCCTGTCTGACCTCGCTGCGCTTGTTCTGGTATCGACATTCTTCTGCCTCAGCCGGAGCCACGATGTCGCTGAGCAGGCCGTCAGCCTTTTCGGGGCTGGGAACGGATGAGGAGTTGTGAGATGAGGGACGAGATGCCGCCTCAATGTTACGGTTTCCCCGAGTTTCAGGATCCGTGCCTCTCGCCTGCGCCCAGCGAGCACTGTTTGGCACACTGGGTTGATAGCTCTCGCCGATCGCAAGCCTCTCCGCACCGAGCAGGATGAAGAGATCACGTCCTCGCTGGACGACTTCGGCTCCAAGAGGATCACGTCGCCCCCAGTCGACATTCCGAGCATCAACGAGCGCGTGAGGCCATCCTGACGACTCACTCACTCCTGCATCAAGGCGCATACATCAGTCCTGTCGCAAGACTAGCCCGAGAGGGCGGGTGGTGGAACCACTACTGATGTATGCGTCTTTGTTGCGGAAGTGCCGCTTCCAGTCCCAATTCTGCCAATCGTATAAAAGCGGCCACCAGAGCACTCTTCCCAAGGATGCCCAACTAGGACTTCGAGCAAGTAATGCTTCACGGCGGCTGCCTGGGAGAAAGCAGTCGCCGTGTATTGACCAAACAGCAATCTGGGATCTGCCTCGGCAGGTATAGCTTGCAATAATCGCCCGTATCCGCCATGAGTACACATATTTCGACCGTTTGCTACGAGCTTGCAAATGAGTTGGGCGTATAAGCCAGGCTGAGACATTTGGTGGTTTGTTCCAGGGTGTGCTTGCGTATGCGGAGGTTGAGGGACGCAGTTTCGAGGACACTGATAAATGTCGACCTGTACCGTGGTTGTATTTATCCTTCAGATCCCTTCATCTATTTCATCATCCTGTTCACCATCATTCTGTCTTTGTTTGGTAATCTTGCAACGCGTCCACTGATGTCGTCTTTCGCCCATAGCTGCTTGCCAGGTGTCGCCGATGGGATGCCTGTCGACCCTCGGCTAGATGGCATTTGTCACGCTCATGCCACGAAAGGGTCACCCTTTCCGGCAGTAGAAGACCTACTTGTCGGAGTACCAACCGGATGGTAGGCTGGAGAACGTGATATCTGCTCTGCTTCTTGTGTTGATAGTGGTTGGGCTCTACGTCCTAGATCTAGCAGTGACACATCCCGTCGGATACTAATGTTCTAGTCTCCATTGCAGCTGTGATGCCTGGTCGCACTCGTCCTCAGTCTTACCTTACAAGTTTCAATGAACGCATGGTGACTCTGCTGAACGTAGCGTGCGAGGCCGTCTACCTATCACTGTCCTCATCCTGCGACTATCGCTCTTCCAATTTCATCCTGTCCGTAGCTGTAGGAATGTATGCCTGCCGTAAAAGTCTTGGCATTCCGGTATGAAAGCGCTCGAAGCCGGATTCGAGTCCAACGCGGACACATAAGAGCAAGGTCAACAAAGAAAATCATACTGATACCCGCCAAAGCATCTTCATTGTCCTTTGTAGTCGCCATCCCGAGGCCCAATACCTCGAAAAACTGCCGCTGTAGCATATTCGCAGCTGCATAAGAGGCGATCGCGGCTGCAGTGACTGCGAGATCTTGTCAACAAGCACGCCTCGGCCTGTAGTAAAGGTGAGTAAGAGGGTAGTGATATATCTTCAAGGGTATACAAGCAGCTTCCTTGTCTTCCCGGATCAGTAGAGGTTTGCGTTGTCGAACGAAGTGTAGTCAAAAGGACTTCGATCGCAGGCAGCTTACTCCAGATCCATATGGCGACGGCGATAGCAGTGCGGAGCTCGTTTGGTAAAGAAACTAGGAAGATGAGTATGCTGCAGAGCGTCAGCAAGGCAGCAAGAGCAAAGGTTGGATACCAGATGTTGCATACCTTCGTCTTTCTCCCCCCTCGAGCGACCTACATAGCGAGCTCTACCTCCAACACGTACTTGACAGCCCGATTGCGCACAACATCCTCATTCAAACCACCCAGCACGGCTCATAAGTCACGATACGCGACAACGATGTCTAAAATCCTAATCGACCCTGCGCCGCCGCGCCCACCAAGTCCGATCCCTCCTCCGCCCTTCCCACCAACTCCTCTTCCCGCGTTTCGATCGTCGCAAGGAGCAGCGACACCATCGCCTCCGACACTCAAGAAAGGGCAGTGGTGACTAGTAAGAGGAGATTACATCTTCACAGGACAGTGTTCAAGCTACTACACTTCCACTTCTGCCACACGAAGCCGACCATGAGCATACGAACCTTTGTTATTAAGGAATGTGAAGCCTGTTTTGCGTCAGCGCAGTACTTTCAGGAAGACTCGACAGGACATACTTATCAGCAGCATTGCGCATCATACCATAAAACCCTTCTACTACGTCCGTACTTCATGCTGGCTCACCGTATCACATCCCTCGCCACCACGACTTATTATAAAATCTTATAGAAGCTTGAAAATGACTTTTCGGACGACCACACCTGATCAGCAGGGAGCTAGAAGCACAAACGAACACGACTCCCACCTCGACACCGACAATATGCGACCATCGAGATACTAACGCTCTGGCATCGCCACGTTCATGAAACCCGCTGCTCGGCCAGCTTCATGTCAATCTGGTACCCTCAGCAACAGCCAGTCAAAGCAGGATCGCGGTACCTTTCTATCTTAATACAAGAGGAAGATTCGCCCTTCGAAATCTTGCTGAGAGCGGCGCAGGACGCCAGAGACCCGAAAGCTGATGCGCCATACCTGGATGCTGAGCTTTATGCTGGCCGTCAGGCACACAGCAGATATTGAGAGGGAAGAAGCATGGAAGAAGAATGATAGTATGGTCTGGTGGCCAGGGCACTGAGCTGGTAGTTCTGCTGTACGAATGAAGTGGATGGAGCGGCCGTGGGCTCGCTGGAGCAATCGACTTCGACGCCAGCTTTGCTAGGTCTCGGCGGAATGTACTTGAGGAGGCGATCAGATTTGGAGGTCAGATCCAGCAGGGGCCTGGCCTGCTACAGTCAGCGCTGGAGAGCAGTCATGAGCTGAAGGGTCGAGCGGCTGAACGAGCGTCTCTTCGACGCTGGCGTGGATGCTCACAGCGAAGGCACGAAGCGATGCTCGCGGGGATCATCATTGCATGTCTTCACGCCGACCAGCAGACTCGCGGCAGAGGCTGGGCAGGAGTATGACAGGCCCGGCTCTTATGATGGTAAGCGCGCTGGGAAGTCGATGTGGACTGGGTAGCTCGTCACCGCTGTGACCAAGATTAGCATCGCCAGTATATCAATGCTCGACGCCGGCTCGAACAGCTCACAGCGGAGTACAGATATGGATACGAGAGCACTGCTAGTGTCCGGAGTGTGGCTGGTCAGCGAAGGAGATGTGGTTGGGAAGACATGTCACCACAGTGCCGCAGGCTCAAACTTCGCGCCTTTGCATAGATGGACGCTGGCCGTAAAGGCTCACACAGGTATCATGAGAAGAAAGAGAAGAGAAGTGACAGCCGGCATAACGAAGAACGGAAAACATGAGTTGGGCTCGGGAGCTCTCCACCGCTGCAACGAGGTTTGATATGCCGGGATCGATGGACTGGAAGACAAGAGCGGAGCGGACAGCCTGAGGCAGCTGCAACACTGGCCAAAGGCTCTCGGCGGAGCTAGATAGGGCCGTAAGTTGTGGCGATATGGTCTGCATATTCTCAGCACGAAAGCACACCATATGCTCAGGAGAGCCTCCCTAGCAGACTGTTCGCAGCGGCAGATTGTGCAACGGTGATAACGTCTGCAGAAATGTGCGCCAGGCCCGATACTTGCGTGTGTAGAGCACAACAAGGTCTGGGACTACCAGCCAGCTGCCACAGAGCTGGACTAAGGAGCCCTGCTCGCCGCGGTCTCAAGCAGCCCCAAAGTGGACGGCTATGGAAGATGGGATAGCTGGACCTCAAATTCACTGCCGGCACAAGGCACAGGGCAGCAACTCGAGGAAAGCGTTAATCAGGGTCGTCCAGAGGATTGACACGGACTGGTGGTGTGCCTATGGTAGTCAGAAGAGCTCGGTCGCATCCCACAAGAGCACATTCGCGGCCGGCTCTGGGCACACGGTGTATGCACGGGGTTGCGGAAGTCATGATAGGCAAGATGATGGATGAGCGAAGCAGGAAATGCTGGCTGCGTACTCGACGCCGGCCGTTGCTCACAGCGGAGGCATGAGACGCTAGAAGTACAGTGCTGGGGATAATGTGGAAGGTCGTGAGCCTGAGTTGTCACCTCAGCCTGCTCAGCCTGGTTGAAAGTCTCATCACCGGCGTGATACTCTCAGCGGAGACAAGGCTGGTACGGTGCAATATCTGTCTAAACAGAGAGCTGAGCGTCTTCCACCAGCACAATCTTCAACAGTCAAGTCGCGGAGAGATTTGTATGCTCTCGTCCGCCTGCACAGCTCGAGCGGGGACCTCAACACCGGCATAATACCCTCGGCGGACATGCACAAGAAGACCATGATCGGGAAGATCTGCGCCGGCGCCAGCTGATCATATGATAATTCCTGTGAAGCCGTCCTGAAGGCTGAAGACTGGCAATCTTTGCTCTGCAGCCTTGTCGAGAAGCTTCATGTGCGCTCGGAGGTCAGAGCAGAGACTCTGCATGGAAAGGATCAACGCCGGCAGAATCCTGCTCGCGGCGGGAGTAGAAGGGCATGCGCGTCCGCAGTGCCCTTACGTAGAATCTGTTCTGGGTTGCCAGGCTATGTCTCAGAAAAGACATCGAACGTTGAGATCAGGCTTCGAAGAAGGCTTGATGCCGCAGTACTGAACAAGGTAGAATAGTGCGGCGATAGGAGAGGCGACTCATTCTACCTTCGCTGGAAGGCATGTGCTGGACAGTAAGCTCAGTCAGATCGAACTTCGTTATAAACTTCAACGCAGGCTTGCTGTCCACGGCGAATTAGGAGGACAGCGAGGAAAAGGAACATCGCGAAAAGGTCTTGCAGAGCCATGACATGAAGTTGTGGAGTCAGCAAATGTCAGTTTCAAGCACTGTTGAAGCACTCGATGCCGACGTGCTGCTCACAGCAGAGTCGAAAGAAGCCGAGAGCATGTCGATAGTCGGCCAGCTCGTACGGAGCCAGAGCGTGATTTGTGCGACTCAGCCACGGCCAAGCCAAATGCTATCGGGCACTCGACGCCGGCATACTGCTCACAGCGGAGTATGTGATACGCGAGAAGCGAAAGCTGATTGGATAGGTCGCGCGGAGCGTAATCGCCGAGTGCAGCAAGTCAGTCACGGTGGAGTGAAGCGCTGTGTGCTCGACGCCAGAATACTGCTCGCAGCGGAGATGAGGAGCTGCGAGTCATGCTTGAGCACTGGAAGAAAGCGCGATTGAGGGTAGAAGGCTCTCATGGTACGATTTCTACGCCGGCCATTCGCTCGCGGCGGCAACCTTCGTGAGGTGATGAGGGATGGGAAAGAGGAAAAGGCCTTTCTCACATCACAGAATACTTGCGGTCGCCATGGCGGAAGACCTACCGAGATCAGCATATCAGCCTCACAGTCATGAACGGGACGGAACATCCTCAATGCTGGCAAAGCGCACACAGGAGAGATCATGATGAAGGAAGTCAGGCAGCTGATGCCAGGCTGCGAGTAGTGGAAGTCATGACGTTTCTGCTGGACACTGGCCACAAGGCGCACAGCGGCGGTGTTCAGGTACACGCTTGAATATGTTGTTGACTCAGAAGCTCGACGCCGGCCATGAAGCGCACGGCGGAGAAGTCATGGTCCGCAAGTCAGTCGTCGAGTCAGCTGAAATACTCAACGCCGGCTAAGGAGCACACAGCGGAGCAGGCAAAGGCCAAGCTCAAGCTCAAGATCGCGCCGGCTATGCGAGCTCGCGGCGGAAATGCAGACTGGATGCTGGACATCGTGCTCGCGGAAAGTGCTGGACCTGATGCGGAGGGTGCGGAAGCCGGCGAAGCTCTTCAGCGCAGGCAGATCGTCTTGAGAGCTTGCATAGAGCCGGTGTGGAGGAGATCCAAGAGCAAGCTGAAGTCTTCGGTCTATCTTTCGCAAATGGTCGAGCATCGACGAGGAAGTCTTCGGTTTGGTGTGCAGAGCGAGGACAGCAGCTTGAGGGACAAGCAGGATGCCGTCATAAAGTGAGCTGGTGTGAACTTTCGAGCAATCGGCCCTGGAAGTATGGCGAGAGTGGCAGACTGCAAGCAAGGTCCAGAACGCCTGGCCACCATACACCTACCGCCATAGTCAGTGACTTCGAAGGCCGTCTACAAAACATACTTTGCGGGCTCCAGCACCTCGCCATAACTTGGATATAAATCGACACCATCACCCGTCGAAGAAGCAGGCTCACAATCTCACTGTTGACATCCTCGCATGCAGACCATGAGGTCGATATAGCGGTATGGAATTGGAGTACTTCGCAGGCTTCAGCAGCTCTCTACGGTAGAGGATGGGCACTGGAAAGTCAGCCATGGGAGAAGCACGCTTTTCAGCTCATTGCCATCATCCTCGCACGCAAGAATCAAGCTCTCTGGAGCGGCATGGAGCAGGATTGCATCATGGGCTTCATGAGCTCGCCACGGCAAGGCTGGGTTCGGAAGTCCTTCAGTCATGCTTTGGCAGGCTCTTCAGCTCACGGCCAAGATCCTCGCACGCAGATATATGCGTCAATGCAGCGGTCTGGGCAGTAGTGCATCGTGGGCTTCATGAGCTCGCCACGGCAAAGGCTGGCCCTGCGAGTCAGTCGTGCATGGTCTACTTCATCAGCCCGCTGCCATCATCCCAGCAATCAGGGCATGCCTCAACTGCTGCGGTGTGGAGCCAGATGACGTCGTGGGCTGCGAGAGCTCGCCACGGCAGAGGAAGGGAATTGCAAGGTCGCTTATGCATAGGCAGGCACTCGCGCTCACTACCCTTATCCTCGCTTGCTGGAGATAGCCTCTCTGCAGCGGTATACGATGCGGACATGATGTCCTCTCCGGATCTGGCGAAAGGCGGTCTGGGAGATCATGGAGATGGTGCAGGGGAGGCCGGCGCAAGCAATCAGATGTCCTGGAGACGCGAAGATACTGTCTTGCGAAAGTAGCGAGCGGGCCAATCGGCTCACCGCTCCTTGCGGAGGGAGTATCGAGCTTTGCAGGCCAGAATGACCTCGACGGCTTTCAACCGATGTGGAAGGCACAGCCGTTAGGGTGAGGTGTGGCGGGAGAGATGGCGAGATCCTGGTGCCATGTCTTGCTCTTACTCCCAGCTCGAAGCGTACTCAATCGTGCGTGGTCGAGAAACCTGGCAGTGGCAAGGTCCGCAGGATTTTGTTGCAGCATGATGGCGAGGTCGACAGCTATGGAGAAGTGATTTGTCAACGAGGCTCTGCACCAGCAAAGATTGGTAGAGGTGTGAAGTCCGTCTGCCACCCGAAGCAAGGCACAATCATGCGAGGAATGTGCCACCCAACCCAGCAATTCTTGACTTCAGCTCCAACCCCGTTGCAGACCAGAAGCAGTATGTCAAAGACGACGAATCCAGCAAGCAGTGGTGTGTATGCCAGGCAGTAGAGAAGGCTGATCAGGAAAGCGTTGAGGAGAGGAGAAGTCAGAAAGTCAGGAATTCCTTGGCAGCAGGAACCCCGCTTGGCCGAAGTAAGAAGTTGGAAGTTCTCTTATCCGGACAAGGAGGCACTACCGATCTGGAGTCTGGAAGTAGCTGTATGGCACGCGAGGCAGGTGTTGTGTTGTGCATGGCCGTAATGTGGCTGCATGGTGGCCGTGCTGGATGTTCCGGCGGCCGAAGTGGCGGTGGCGATGTGCTCGGGTCTTGTGGAGGCAGCGACCATGCCGAATCAGCAGAAAGTCATGCCAGAGATGGCCCTTTGGTGGCGATATGGTCGACTTGCACGCTTTTGACCAAGAGCGCATGAAGTTGTGGTGTGCAGCCCACTTTTGCCAGCCAAGTCACGTGCGCGTGGCGAAAATGCCTGCCGCAGCCATTATGAGCCACGCTCGCTCAGAAGTCGCTGCGGGTGGCGGTGGCGGTGATGGCAGATTTAGAGAAGATGCCTTAGCCAGTGAGGGCCCTCTCGTCATCTCCGCACGTCATCTCCTCGCCGTGATGAGGCGTGGAAGGGAGTCTTGGCACGCAGCCCGAACTATTGCAATCAGGGCCGAAAGGCACGAGGAAGTGATGGTCGAGTGAGTTGGAGGTGACAGCCACATGCCACGAGGTGCACCATTTCTTCTGGGCGACTTCTGCATCGCTGCCGGGCGCTGTATGGTATTTTCGCCTTTTGCTCTTTCCTGCTCTCCCGCGGCGATTGGCTATTTTGAGGGCGATGAGCTCGGCGAGTGAGCTGTGAGACGGGCCAAAGCATTGTGTCGACGGCTGAGTGTGGTAGAGGGTGTTTGTGCAGCTCAAGGAGACCTCGTCGTCGCTTGAGATCAGTGTTTGGGTGCGGAGGTGGGTGGATCAACCTGTGGGCACAACCCCCATTAGCACATTCCCACGACGGCGAGCACATTGCGACTGCCTGTCCGGGCCTGCATGATATTGTCACGTGCCTTATGTTGCCTTCCCGACCTCGCCGTCGCCGCCGCTTGGGCGTGTGGGCTTGGAAGTGTGCTCGGAAGTGCCTACTGAGGGGAGACAATGGGCTCTTGAGCTCGCCACCGCCTTGTCAGTGTCCCAAGCCGTAGCCAAGGAGCTCGAGGAGTGTCCTCAACTGCTCAAGAGCGTGCTGGCATCGCTGTACAGCGGTATGTGGGAGTGGTGTTGACCAACATTGGTAAGGAGACACGGTCGGAAGTGGCTGCGGAAGTGAGACAGTGGGCTCTTGAGCTCGCCACTGCTGTGTCAGTACCTCAAGTCATAGCCAAGAAGCTTAGGGAGTGTCATCAGCAGCTTGTCAGCGTGCTGGCATCGCCGCCGGCGGAATGTGAAGGTGGTACTTGCGAAGGAAAGGAAAACAGCTTCATCGGCTTCCGCAGCGAGAGCGCAGGGCTTCTATCGCGCGCTCACCGGCTTGGCAGGACCTCATCACGCTTATGGCGGAGTATCAGAAGGAACATCTGCTGCAATTGGGGGAGTTATGAGGGTATTGGAAAGGTAGGGAAGGTGTTGTGTCGGTGGAGGGGAGGAAGTCATTCGCTGGCAAGCGGACCTGAGGGAAGGCTTGGCGCTGAGCACTGCTTCGATGAGTAAGTTTCGAGCTAGCGAGGCTATTTTGACGTCCCTCGTCCGCCTGTCATGGCTGTCGGCGAGGTACAGGTGCCTTGGGCCTGAGATGGTGCTGCCGAGCTGGCTGAGAGGGGTTTGCACAAGACCCACTACTGGAACGATATGTATGTAGGCACAGCAAACACATCTACAATGCATACAGGATCGACAGTTCGCCACGGGCAAGCATAAGATGCTTGCGCTACACGTTTGATGCACCTCCCTCGCCATCTTCTTCGCAAAGATGTGAAGCAACGAGTGGAATTTCCATGGCAGTAGTGCAGATGGCGAGAGTGAGCAGGCGAATAGCCATAACAACGGGCTTTACAGCAAGCTATGACATTGATCTCGTGGCGAAGCCTCGCTGAATCTCTCTACCATAGCGTCGTATACAGGGAATGTGTGGCAAGCCATGCCAAGAGGCGTGCCCGCCGATGAAAAGCCATGCCCCTAACCCAGACGAGCAACAGTCTTCCCATGCGGGGCCAGCCACAAGATGCCAGAGGCCTGAAGGACTGGAATAATTCGCCTCTTGTAGTTGGAGTTGGAGATGTAGCCACCAAATGATACCGACAAACAGCTTGTCAGTACTGCGACAGCCGCCTTAGTAGCCACGAAGTGATACTCCGGTTCTTCCGCTGCGACCACGGCTGCGAACGAATGATATTGTGCTGTGGAAGAAAGACTTTGTACGAGATGCTGAAGGTACCACATCACGCGTAAAGATCAGAGATGGAGAGAACATTCTGCTTGGGATCTAAGAGCAAAGGTGGATAACGTTTCGCTGACAATCGCCGCGACCTAGGCTCATCGATGAAGACTAGCTGTTGAGACTGAGACACTGTTCTGCGGAAGAGCGTTGGAAAGCCGAGCAGTACGACCAAGTCATACTGGTACAAATTGCAAGAGCGGAATACCCGAGCAGGTTTACCTGGAATGTACGGAAGTATACTGAGGGATGCTGGCAATTCTAGTTGACATTGTGTACCGATATGAATTCAGCAGTACGCTGAGCTATTTATGCGCTCGAACTGTAGAAAACAACCTTCTGCAATCTTTCTTGCGTCAGGCAATGGATCAGCGTTTTCACCGGGGTGTGAGACTACATGCCTCGAAAGTTGGCATACGTCCTCTTACCGCATGGACAAGAAGTGGAGACCATTATGCCCAAGATATTGGCTGACACTTGTGCCTCCTTGACCTGCGAGACCTCCGCGATACTGACCTTTCAGCTCCCCTTGATACTCTGGAGCATTCGATCGTCCTCTCCCAAGCATTGTCTTTCCGGGTGGTCGAACAGCAACACGACGAGCAAGCAACTTCACTTCACTCATATCGAGGAGGCTTGCGTCTGACTTTCCAGTGAAAAAGGCAGCTGAGGCTTGAATCGGCTATGCATAGAATTGCTGTTCAAGGATTACATAGAAGGCCTGCGGAAGGCGAGAACATGGCTGCTCCCGAAAGCCTTTCGGATCACAGCATTGAGCTCGCTGAGTGGTGCCAAGATCCACATTTGTCCCAGTCCTCTGTGAGGTGATGGCATGATCTTGCGGTCGACCTCTCTTCTTCCATCTTGCTTGTATATTGATCTCGCAAATGTACCTATCCAACACGCTGCGGCGGTTGGCCCTCCTCATCTCCATTCCTTGCCCATGGCCGCCGTCGTCCTTCCTCTATCGTTTCCTCTAGGCAAAATCGGAGGCTTTGGTCACATCCACCTGCCATGATCTTGCCTATGTTCGGCTCTCGTTTTTGGATACGGATGTAGGAGCTGCTGACCTGGCGGACTCTGAATGGTCGCGTGGGTGGAGAAGTAGAGTAATGATGCTAATGTTTACACCTGTTGTTCCTGTGAGTGGTCGTTATGACGATATATCGTCGTCTTGGCCTGATTCACTCGTTACTGGCGTCTAGATTGCGTAGGATTCGAAGGTGATAGTGGTTTGCGGTTTCGCGCTAGACTTTACCGAGCTGGTGTGATCGTTTTCTCGCTAGCACTTGCACCTCATCAGGTAGATTTAATCGATCAATGGTAATGCGAGTTGTCGGAGTGTTCGGCTGGCTCTGTGGGCGTTCTAGTCGAGATCTCAGCTTCGCTGAACTTTGCTGGAAACGTTTGAACATGACGCTCGAACAGAAAAACGAATCGAATGCATTTATTTTGCAAGCAGTCACGGTGATTTAAGAGACAAATGTAGACTTGTGCTGCTGTACAGTGATAGAACGGGACCTCGAGTGGTCACTATCGTCGCCATATCGAACCAGGGCATCGTATATAACGCCCTGTACCTTCTCGCCGCTCGGCGGAAAGCCGGCTCCATCTGTTAGGTATATAGCAGATTACTAAGGTCGAAATCACAACAATCAGCGCTAAAGCGCTCCAAACCTCAGGGTCTGTGGTCAGATTGGCTCATGATGTCACTATTCCTGGAAGTCTAGCTTTCCTAGTGAAGATGCAGGTTCGATTCCTGCGAGACCTCTTCCCCTTTGGGGGTGGGGAGGGCATGTGTGTGGGGCGGGGGAGGAATGTGCTTTCGAGCATTGGGTATGTATAAATTTCTTTCCTATCTCTCTAGTCTCGTGACATGTGGCGGTGGCGGCACGGCATTCGACTTTCTGGACTTCTGGACTGGATCTGGATCAAAGGTAACTATGTGTGTGAATTTCCCGCCCAAAAACGGCTGACATCTCCCAGTTCGCCGCACAATGGTCAGTACCTTCTCGTGGTCTGCGGTGTCAGTAGTAGCCTTCGGGCTATGAAGCTGAAACTGAGCAAATCTTCTTTTTGTCTTTTTTGCTTTGTCTGAGATAGAATCGCTATCTACTTCCCTGACAACGCATTGTATCTATATTGCCAACGAGACTACAGATTGTCATCGCTATGTCAATGATCTATCGACATATCAGCCGCATCCTATCTCCTTTTGTGAGAAACAGCCTTTACATGTCGACGAGCGATCGACTCTTCGAACATATCGCCAATTCGTAAACACACCTTACGGCACGATGAATACACCAAAGAAACGCGACCTGACCGCGAAGACAATTCCAGATCCTTCAGCGACATTTCCATGCCTTGACAGGGCCAACAACACGAGGAAAATCAGACTCATATTCACCGAGGATGCCGCTGGCAAAGCTCATAACGTCAGGTAGAAGAGCATTGGATCATCATATGCGGTCTGTGGGAGAACCACTGACGGGTGAGACGACCATGGAAATCATCGGATCTGTGAATTGTGCTTGCCAAGAATTAAACGCCAAGGCCTCGAACGTCGTTGAAGTGCGGATAGAACGCCTCGAACACCTCTTGCTTCGATTATGATCGTTCCACTACGAGAAGCTCAAGATACTGCCCGAGATCGACACTGTATGGCAATCATTTTGTCAACCAGAGAAGGCAAGTCTCGTAGCTTGCGATCGACGGACAGCGTTGACCGATTGCGTGTCATATGCCCACCAGTATGCCGCCCACTGCCCGACCACATACACCATGCTACATCTCCGGCTACGTGGCTTGTTCTACTGCTGAGATTGAAGGCAAGCACGGCATGTTCCAACTAGTCACTACCTCGGCGGATCAGACACCTCAGCAGGATGAAATAATCATAGAGCGCGTTCGCTGGCTCCACAATCCTGGGTGCTTGAGCTACCGGTCCAGGCATTGTCCAGGATGCGCCGGCTTTTGGGCGTGACTCGCCAAGAAAAAATCTTGCTTCAGACGGCTGGTGCACAGAGTGGGCAGAAAGCCGTGGCTTGTCCCGCGAGGCACGAATGCTTCGCTCATGATCCTTCCAGGTCAACTTTATCAGTACGGTGGCACATTCATCGCCACCTCGATACCAACGCGGCGACCGAGCACTGTTTACCTCAAGCTGTATACGGAGCGCCTACCACCAAAACACACGTCCTTGGTCTTCGGCGACCTCGAGTCAGAAACCGAAGCCGCCGTCGCGATCCTTCAGCAAAGTAAGAGATGGTGCGGATACAAAAGATGGGCGTGAACGAAGAGGCTGGAGGTCATGTTCGGCCCCTGTTCAACAGTCGTGTATCGTTCACGGGCCAAGAAGATGCCTCATCGGTACTGTATCTTCGACTGGATCTGCAGGCGGTCAGGACTTACATCTGCCTCGAGCTGAACATATGGGTCCACCCAGCATCGAGCGAGATGCTGGCCGCTTATAGTGTGACTCTGACGGAATGGTGGGCAGATATGAAATGGTTGGCAGATACCGAATGGCAATTAGACAACTCTCGCTCAAGGGATCGCTCTATGCTCAAGGACGGGCTACTACTCCTTGCGGACCTCAGTGGACGGTGGGAAAGGTCCGCATATCACAAAGCGCTGGACCTTCGAGGGGATCCTCCTGATCTCCAGCAGACTCTCTCGGCTCTTCTACGTCTAGCCGCACGCCTGTACACTCGATTCTTGGCACACACAGCAACGACTACTTGCACATTCGCCAAGACCACCGCACTTCTGCTTGCAGCCACATCGCCTTTGCTCGAGCCCGTCTTGGTACCCACAGCGAGAAGTCACTATGCATGGGAGGTGGTCGCAACACTTCATGACCAAGAGCTAGAGACCAAGACTTAGAGCTCTGGGTGAGTCGTTACCGGAGGCTGTGCAAAAGAACTAGACACTATGAGTGCATACACCGTCCACGTTGTTACGGCAAGATCAGTCCGGGTGGACGTGGTTTCGAACAAGAGCTGGAGAAAGGATGTACAACTCCGGAGCACAAGAAGCATTCACAGTACAGCATTCCCCCCACATCAGGATCTCGGCTGGAGTGGAGTCCTCATGCGCAGGAAAGCAGAAGCGCCGCATCTGACTCGCACCTGTCATATCTCTGCAGTATCTCTCAGCTCGCGGAGGAGTCAGCGAGATCGAATACAATTGTGCTTCGTACTGTTAGTACCAGAGACGAAGAAACTTGGGAAACTCTCGAACTCATGAGGGCACTCCACAACGAGGCCTGCGACTTATCTCGGCATCAGGTCATGGCGACAGTGGGAATGCTCAAACACGACCCAAGAGTTCTGGCAGCTTCTGATAGCCCGGCGCCAGGACTCATGTGCCGTCGAGCATCACGCATGTCTGGAACATGCGCACTTTGCCGAGCCGTGAACCACTGCACTATTCTCTCGAGGCAACAGTAGCTACAGTACCTCCACTCAGATGAACCACACGTGCTCTGGATTAAGCCGGCGATCAAGCGCATGCTTTCCATGACGATAGACGAAGAGCTGCAGCAGCAGGCATGAGCTGTGAAGATATTGTCAGAGCTGCACGCTTTGCTGGACTGGAGGCAACCAGCATGAGCATCGATCGTAAGGAGGAGGATGTCGGCAACAAGCTCAACAGTAAAAGAGATTGACGTACCACCAGGCGAACCTGATCTTGCCGATGAGGGCTCTCGAGACTGACAGGTCAGTTTGAAGCCGAGCATCAAGCAAGTGCGGTGATGCAGATTGGTAGGTATGGCAAATTTTCGAGCCTTGGTGGAAGGCGGCATGCAGGATACCTTGGCCGAATACATATTGTATATAAACATCATGTACGCGACTGGTGCGAATATGACTATTCTGTTATCAATTGTCAGACCACATGGCGGTCGTAATAGTAAGCCTCTAGGGCGATGACTGCCGCCCTCGATCTTGCTTGTGACTGCTTGCACACGAATCTGTAGACCAGAGGCAGAACCAGTAATTGACAAGTTCTGTCTGGTCTCGTAGCCCATTTCATGTGCATAAGGCTGTTGAGGAAGGTCAGTCGACACGATTGCATTCAGCAGGATCAACGAGCGGGCCGAACGTCCCAAGAGGGAAGGCACGTATGCGGCCATCCGTTAGTTTCTTTCCCAGTCGCTCCACAAAGTCGTCGCGTAATACTTCACCGTTACGCTAGCCCAATGTGAGCAGCTGGAGAATCCGTGGAACTGGTCCACCCGTGAGCTCCCGTTAGCGCCATCGACCCACGAGTCCATTGGGTTCACCGTGAGCAGTGATAGGGCCATGCGGACATATTTGAGGCGATCTTAATGTCTCTGGGGCCCATACAGAGTCCTCCTTGTCTCTTCCATCGATGCTTACTTCTATCAGACCAGTTTTCTGTGACAGATGCATATCTCCCCAGCATTTCTCACATCGTGACAGATACACACGGTCTTCGAAGGCAGGATCTCTGTCACATACAATGCCGCCAACGTCAAATCCCCTGCTGATGCCTGGCATGAGAACTATTGACGCAAGCAGGCAAGTATTGATGATCGAGAAGCATAAAGGGCAATTCTTTGCCAATTGAAACCGTGGGAATCGTCGTGAAAGCATCAACAGCCGACTCCCTCAGCACTACATCGATGCTACTCTCGTCCAGAGACCCAGCAGCTGGGGATTGTGGAGGACAGCCGTTAGTCTGCTCCACCATGGCAACCATTAGTAGCAGAATCCACGTCACCAGAGCTATTCTGGTCGCCCACCAATATATCCAGCTCTTTGGAACCTTTCGCATCCTCCCACTAGCTTCATGCACGCTGCGTGCCACTACTCGTACCTGCCCTCCTCGTTGACCGCTCTCCTTTTTACCATAGCTCCACGGGCATGCAGAGCTCTCGCCACATTGCACAGACAAGTCCCGCATGTATATAGCTTTTTTAGCTTGCTCCGACCTTCCTCTTTCCCTCCCTCCTCTCCATACAACCGTGCTTGCAGTCAGTGGGGTTTGAAGCCCGTATGCAACCATCGAGAGGGCATGGAGCGCGCCCTGTCCATCATTGCACTGCGATGGACTTGTACCTGGATTGACCGAGACCATGCTGATGGATTGATCGGGGCCGTGTCGGGCTGCGCAATTTTTGGAAACCGAGGGTTGCCCTCATGGTGTCGCCAGTATTGCACTACCTCTGGCTTTGACACCCAACACTTTTTCATCGTTGATCTTGCTTCTGCGAGGTTACGGAGAAGAAGAAGGATATTGTTGATTCACGTCGTTTTTGTGGTGCTTGCCTAGCTGTGAGAGCGATCTTCCTTACTCGAAACACATGTCAATGCTCTTTGGTTACTTCACCGACGCGTGGAAAGAGCGAGATCAGGTATTTGCATAACCATCACAGAATCCACCGCAATCTATCTGGTATACCTTCGATCTCCGCTCGTTGTTCGACAATGGCTTCATCTAGCCCAGCTCCTCCTGCCTGTGTGGCGAACGTTCTCGATGCCAAATGCTTCTTCATCACCAAACTCACGCCCGATATCCGCCAGAAAATCTACAGACACCTCTTCCCCATCTTGCGAACGTTGTCAGCGGCAACACGCCCACCTCTCATCGCCCAAATCTGCCAGCTGCTACGTGACGAGGCTCTGGGGATCTGGCGCGCGCAGAATAAATTCGTGGTTCGATACAGCGACAACGGTGATAGACCTAGCTTCGGCGCACTTGCTAGGCTATTGAGGAAGAGTCGCTTGAAGGACATTACCAACTTGATCTTGTTCGACGACCTTATGGTCCGTTGCGGCAATGGCTGCACCATCCGCACGACTTTATCTCTGAGCGGCAATTCCTACACCATCGACATCGATGGTACGTGCGTATGCGATAAGGCCTAAGCGCAGGAAGTGGCGAGAAGACTGGCAAAGAGACATGGAAGAGCAATGGCGGCAGCTTCAGAACTATGGATGGCACTCAAGGAGCTTGGGTGGCGCAAGTTGGAGCAACTTGGTGAGAAGGAAGATTGGGAGGTGCCTAAGGATCACCAGTCTGCGATTGAGGAGTCCGAAGATGAAGATGATAGCATGTGGGTGTGAGAAACACAGGTACACTGGGGATACAGGAGGATGGATACAGCACGGACTGGGACATGCGAGTACTGGCTGTTGTTGGCGTCGTGGGTGCTGGTGATATTCACTCCAGAAGCGGATCAATAAACGGCCTGATTCGTGTTACTATGACTTGTCTGAGCACACGTCTGACTCACAGCGGATAGCGCAGAAAGTTCCAGACACGATGTCGCTTCTAGATCCAGCTTACAAACTCCTCTTGAGTAGGCATTAAGGCAGTTTGGTCCAAGTAGATCGTACATCGCATATCTCTGATGGAGCCAGAACACACTACAAGTATGATGATGACCCCGCCGGCGAAAAGACATCATCAAGATACCTCCTCGTCCACGATAAGCTCAGATGTATTAGATTCCTTCACTCTCGACATAATCAGCCTGGAGGATCTGGAAGCCATCTCGAGGGAACAGCGCATCGAAGGATGGGTGGAGGAGCAAGAAGAGATGACGGAGCAGCCTGACTGTTGGCGTCCATTGCTGTACTCAGCACGTATACGTGGTCGTCATCTCTCTTTCGATGGCTGCGGCTCACCAGCCCATGCTCTTTGAATGCCATTTGCCCGCTGACACTGTACTGGGAGACGCTGCATATGACATCCATTCGATGACCTAAAGGTATATGTGCAATATGTCATCAGGATATGAGTGTCTCAAGGTGACGTTGACATGTTGCTGTCCCCTTTGTAGCTCCTGTTGATGTATCTTGCTCATGCTCACTCTGATAACGTGCGTTGCTCGCAAAATGATATAAGCTCTACGAGGTCCATCGCGTTGACGACCTCCTATCATTGAAACGCTGTCTCGGCTGGTCAAGTGCTTGTCTTTCAATAATGAAAGGGCCTTGAGACCACAGAGGCAGTACCTACCGCAATATTTGCCTCTCGAGCACGGCTATTCTACATATCTGTCATTCGAGAACGTCTACACCTTATATGACGCTGCAAGGATATTAGTATATACTCAGTTGAACGTCTTCTCGTTTTCTTCAAGCTGGATGCCCATCAGCAAATCCGTGCTTCACGATCGGAACGTCGAGGTGCAGGCCCGTGCGATACTAGGCTCTTTGGCTTCATCTCCTACGACGCTTGCTACCTCTTTACTTTCATCAGCATACATTTTCGCAACCTACATACACTCTCGTCGACGGTAGCCACCAATCTAAAGCGACTAGAGCCTACTACACTACATCTTCACCACGCCCACACCGCACACATGTCTCAAAACCCCGAGTCCGTCAACATTATCGCCAAGCACCTCCACCTCGAGGCTACCGAGCTGAACGGGCTCACAACTTCGCTGATCGCGCTCCAACTTGATCACAAGGAGCGCCTTAGCAAGCTCGCTAAACTTGAGGAGAGCGCTGTCGCCAGAGAAAAGGAGCTCGCCGACGGAAAAGTCAGCATGCTGATCGACCAAGACACAATCACCACTAACTGGATCGAGATCGCTGGGGCTGAGAAGAAGCTCGAGGAGCGCGAAGCCGTCGTGTGGACGAAATGCTCAGCCCGACTGCGAATACTGCAAGCCCTAACGACGACGCCGATGCGACCCCGGCAATCAATACAGAGACTTACAAGGACAAAGTCAAGAAGAAGCACCGGGAGCTAGAGAAGAAGATCGCAAAGACGACGGAGGAGAACGCTGATATGGCCGAACGTGTGGTGAAGAAGAACCTACCTTCGATCGCTGTAGGCACGGCGACTATGCAAGAGACACATCTTCTAGTAGTCAGCAATTCATTCAGGGTCACTACAATTTATGTTTGTGTGTAAGATTATTTATTGTTGACGATTATACCATCCTTAACTATTTTCCAGTCATACAGATTTGTTGGTAGAGGTTTTGGAGAAGGGCGAGAAAGTGGACGCATTTGATCGGGATCGCTCGATTGAGGTCGCTTGTCTGGCTTTGCTTGCGGTACAAGGATTGCGTCCGGAGGATCAGGAGGCTTAGGGCAAGTAAGGGGGAGAGGAAAGATCAGTAGTGTTGCAAGACTGCTGCCCCTGAGGAGGCGATCGGGGCTTGTCTAATCAGAAACTGTGGCCTTCGGCTTACGTAGAGTGGCCTAGCAGTGTCCCGTCGCCGAGTACAAGCACAAGATTATATCGCCAGACGAACTATACTTACTAGCAGATCTCATTCGAGACATCATTCACTTTGCAGCACCCTCCAGTGTGACTTGGGTTACCGTAACGAGATGGCTCGTGCACCAGAATTACGCCAGCATCACGACGTGAATGTTCACCCAACCAGTAAGGCATTACTTTCCAATCTATAGACAGCAATCGGCACAGCTTTCTCGATGTTGTTCTCACTTTGAAAGATTGAAAGGATCATACTTCTGCTGCACTGATCATCTTCAATCACAATGTCAAAGCTACTCACCAGTATCAACGACTCGAACATGGTCAAGCCGAAGAAGTCGAATAAGAAGAAGAAGTCCAACAAGTCCAATAACTCGAACTTACCAGACAGTATCGACACGCTTAACCATCAGCAAGTCCCGCTCACGCCCAATCCTCATACTCCACCAGTCATTTCCAACAACACCAAGCCCGTAGAAGCCACGAACGACGGGTGCACCCTCGCAGCTCGCGCTAAAAACTTCGTAGAAACGATGGAGGCGTGCATCGGTGACAAAGTCGAAATCGCCAACCGCGTCTTGGACAACACCCACCTAATTAACGGCAGCATCTCTCTACTCAAAGAGTGCCTCGAGCGTGAAACCCAAGTCGAGATCTGGATGCTCGAGTCGACCATGCGGTTGGCGCTCAAGGCTTTTTGTGCGGTTCAAGATCGGGAGTTGGAGGTTGAGCTAGGGGCGGCGAAGTCCAAGATCGTTGACGGAGAGGAGGGGAGGGTAGATCATCAAGAAGAAGGGGACGTCCACGAGGAGGAGGAAGAGGCGGATGTTGAAGGCGGCAATGCTGGAGGGGTCGCTGAAACGAAAGTCCACCTTCGATCTGCCGGCTTGCGCGGTCTAGATATCGACGACAATACCTTTGATACTATGAGAAAGCATTGTGGCACTAGTGGACCCGGGACAATGCTCATCTACATGCCGGGCAGCGAACCAGGTGATGGTGGTGGAGGTGAGGCCGACCAGGACGACAAGGACTGGACTGGAGAGGTCTTAGAGGTGGTCGAGTAGACGATGTCCGACGACCGAAGAGAGGCCATAAGCTGTATAGAGTCGTGTGTGCTGTAGCACAATGAATATCCGCATCCTAGTGTAGGCCCGGGTTTTGCTACGTATTCCCACCGGCATGATAATATCACATCCGCCTTTCCATCCTGATGTCGACCGAAAAGGCGCACGTGGCAGGTGTCATACGGATAATTTCCGTTTACGAAGAGCCAAGATCCAGTCTAAGATCATAAGAAGCCGGCCATGACGGATGTAGTGGTCTGCATCAATACTCCAAGATTGCTTGACAAGGTCTTGCTTGACCGGTGCCATATCACAGGCCATGGCTCGAGGAAGCTACGACTACACAGCCATCTTCTCTCCATCATAAATACATTGTCTTATCTCGTTGCCCGAGTATGTCGAAGGCGGTTCATACATAGCGCATCACAAGAAGCGCTGCGTTGCTTCAGCCTCACGTGAGCCCCAGGAGGCGCATCAACCAGCCCATCCTACCCAGAGTATCCAATCGATCGTCCACGGCCATCTCAGCACAAACACATTACTCACCGCCGAACTCATGCCCAAGTCCAGCGTGGCCTCAACAACAGAGCGGGTCAGCCGAATCCTTGGAAGTGATCCTGGAGCGGTGGGCGTGGCTCTGTTGGGAAACGGAGGTATGAGAATGAGGATGGTGGGATTCGGCTAGGGGGTTAGAGAGAGTGAAAGGTGAATAGATTTGCTCCGGCGGGCAGAAGCCGAGAATTTTCTGATGCTTGCGGGATGCAGGTGTGGACGGGGTCGTGTGTTGGAGTCAAGACGAGGGAGGCCGATGGAGCTTGGCGCTTAAAATTGGTCGTGGTGGGTTTATCGTTGTACGGCAAGACCGAGAGTCAGAGGATGTGCGCCTCCTGGATTCAATCCTGCGCTGGGTTCCATGCCCGCCATTGGTGATACGCAGCACGTCTACACTGTTGAAGAGGGAACGTGACTGCGATCATGCGTGAGTCGGCCGAGGTCGTCGAGAATTAGCTGAGTATCGAGGGCCTTCAGGGCTTATGACAAGAGTTGGTATCTGACATTGATGCCAGGACTTCCATTCATGTCTTCTCGCCACCAAAAGCAGCACTCCTCTCCATCGTCCCGCCAATGAATCGTCTGAGCGCTGCCCATTTCTCCGCTTGCTGACTGCCCTCTCCAGCCTTCTCAGCACCAGCGCCGCCTCCGACAGCCGCACTCCTCGGCGCCACCCTCCCAACCATGCCCGCCAAATTGCGCCCAAACCTCTCCCTCTCCTTCTCCTCCATCACACCCTTCCGCTTCATAGCACCAGGCCGATGACGAAGGGACTTCATGACCATCTTCCCACCCCCCACTGCTCCACCATCCGCCCGCATTGGCTTCTTCTTCCGCACCTTTCTCAATCCGGCAGGCACATCACCATTCATCTCAGCATCCTCGTCATCGCTAAGGCCGACCCATTCGTCCGTCTCCCCATCTCCGCCACCGCCACCACCACCGCCACCTTCACCAGCCTCCGGCAGCGCATCCCCCAACCCACCCAAGTCAACTTTCAGCTTCCTCCCCGCTCGTCTCCTCTTCACCACCCTTCCCGCCGCCCCACCTTTCCGTGAGCTCTCACGTGCCTTTGCCAAAAGAGTCTCATGTCGTATCCCACGCTTATCCTTTTTTGTGGTTTTGAAGGAGGTGAAGTCGTCGTCGGCGTCCCGGTGTTGTGTGAGGGTGTTGGATGTGGAAGTGGAAGGCGCGGCGAGCGTGTCGTCTGCAGGTGCGAAGGAGGTAGCAGGTGGGGCGTAGATGCCTCGGGGATCTTTGGCTGACCGGACGCCACGCGAGTGCTTTGTCTGTCGTATCGGCGCCATGGTGTGGTCGCGCAAGGCACGATGCGATTCGCGCTTTGGTGAGTGGGATGCAGTTTTGGAACTTTTGGTGGTGGAGAAGCCGGGGCAGGTGTGCCGAGATATCACGTGATGTTTGAGCGCCAAGCACGTGACAAGGATCGCGAAGAGCCGAAGAAGGACGATGAAGTAGTGGAATGGGAGTGGCGAGTGGCGAGTGCTCTTGCAGTGCTGCCATAACAGTGGTCAGGCCACACACACCGATCAGGCTGCCGAACCAGACGAGAGCTCGAGGTAAGCGCGACCATGAGTCAGGGCAGTAGTGACTCGATGCATATTCTGCAAGTAAGGTACAAAGTGGTATGGTAAGGTATCCAAAGAATTCAGCATCATCATTGTCCTCTCCACCAACAATTCTCAGTCTCTCCCATTCATACACCCCAGCAGCCACCCTCCCCACCATCGCAGCAACACAAAATACATCATGCCACCACCCTCAATCTTCGGCGACGGCTTGCCAACCGCCTCACCAGCCGAACTACATCCACCGGATCAAGCATGCCCCAATCCCACAACCAACCCCGAAGACGACGACCTCGGCCTCCAGACTCCTGCCGAGATCCTCTCCGCCAAGCAATCAATGACCCTCTACCCCAAAATCACCAACAAATTAGAAGAACTCCAGCACCATCTCTCCCTACTCCTGCCTCCTCCACCGCCCGGGCCCTTACCCTTCACAGGAACAGTAAAACTCCACGGTACACACGCCGATATCCTCATCCCTCCATCCACCATCTTGGGGTCTCAGAATCTAGTCTACCAGTCCCGGAATCGAGCCTCCCTTACTCGGGAGAGCGATAATCTGGGATTTGCGGCCTTCTGCTCCAAGCGTGAGACTGCAATCCGTTTGCTAGGAGAGAGGGTGAGGAAGCGTTGGCGAAGTCTGCATCCTTCTGCTCCTGTCGGGAAGGAGAACGAAGGTGTGTTGGTGTTAGCTGGGGAGTGGATCGGAAAGGGTGTCCAGCGGGATATAGCGATTTCTCAGCTGGAGCGGTGTTTCGTCATCTGTTCTCTTCGCCTCTTACCCGCCAAGGACAAGGTTGCCGGGAGTGGTGATACTGGTGAAGGCGATACTGGAGATGCGAGCGCGGCGGTCTGGGAGCATATTCAGCAGTACCACGACCTCGAACTCCCCACCCAAAGAATCTACAATATCAGCCGCAGCGGCTTCCACCACCTTACTTACTCCCCTACTGACCAAGGCGAGACCTTCCTAGCAAGAGCCAAAGCCCTGACACTCGATGTAGGTACCTGCTGTCCCTTCGCCAAAGCCCTCGGCGTGACCGGTGCCGGCGAAGGACTCGTCTGGATTCCAGCTCCTGACTCACCACTTCCCAATCGTGCAAACTTCTGGCTCAAAACCAAAGCCGAACAATTCCTCTCCGCCGCCAGCCTCCCGAAACCAGCCCAAATACCAGCTACAGACCAACTCGCCCGCGCCCAGGCTTTCGCAGCCAAACACTGCACCAAAGAACGCCTCCAACAAGCATGGGACTATCTTGGAAGAATGGAAGAGGATCTGAATAAAAAGGGTCTTCCGTTGTTCTTGAGTTGGTTGCAGTATGATATTGGGCAGGAGGAAAAGATGGAGTTTAGGGAGTTGGGGCTCAAGGAGAGGATGTGGGGGAGGGAGGTGGTGAGAATTGGGAAGGCGGAGTGGGAGAGGATGTTTGGGTGGTGGAAGATGAGGATTGGGGAGATGCCGGTGTGGTTGGCTGGGCGGGAGGGGGAGGGGATGTGAGGGCGTGGACGTGAGAGTTGGGAGGGAGGGGCCTGGTCGTGAGATGACTTGAGGTTTCCGGGTGGATAAGTGGAGGGGATGTCTGGAGTTGGAAGATCCTGCTCGTTGACGTGGCATTTGGAACCGTTCGGAGCTTACATTCCCATCTGCAGGGAGAGATGTGGCAGCCGGCCTGGCACCATCTGGCGGCGTCTCAGGATAGCACAGCAGGATTCAGACCCAGGCATCATCGGTGTTGCGGTCCAGTCCAGGCAGCTCAGCCTTGCAGCGCGAAGCAGGCCAACAGTAGGAAGTCAGCACGAAGGAGCGAGGTGTACGTATACATACAGCCACGCAGCCATGCAGTCCAGCCTTACCGTAAGCAACACATCCTCCCCGCAAACGTTGGCGTTGGAGTGCATACACGTCCAGAGGTGAGGTGAGACGGCATTGTCTACTTCTGGAAGCTATTTGCTACATCGTGGAGCTTGCGTGGCTGGGGCTTGGCAGGTTTGAAGCATGATGCTGAGACACAGTCAGTTGTGCCTGTCTCCTCCATCTGATCGGCAGTCGGGTCTCGGTAGTTGGTGCATGACAGCAGCCCCAGACTGAAAGATGGTGCAGCTGCTCAACGTGGCAAGCACACGGCGTGGTTGTTCGAAGGAAATCCATAGTGGAGCGCATACGAAATCGTCTCCAGTAAATCGTAATCATCGTATGTGTAGATCTCGGACAATAGCCTCGGAAGCATGGGGAGTGCATGATGCAGCCAAGCCTTGTTTTCACCAGCCATGCTCAGAAGTACAGCTACCATACTGCTATCCACGCATGGGGCCAACCCGCCGCAGCACCTCTGCTTCTATTCTTGTCATGAAACAGGCTTTCCGCTTCAGCCTCACCCGGCAATGTTACCAGGATACCGGACGGTTATTGGATGTTCCCGCCAACGCATTGTTGCCCATGACGCTGCGCCCGGTTTTGTTGCACAACGGTCGTCGGCGTGTCGGAGAATACGCGTCAGCCTTTGCTTGCTGTGCTTCCGGTATTTTGGGTCCTGTCAGCATGGTTATGATGGCGCAGTTGTTCTAGTGGGTAGAGCATTTCTTAATTCTCCACTATATCACTTCTTGGACCACATGTTTTTGACTTGACCATCATATCATTCCCATCATATCATTCACACACATCGACCATTCCAATCACCAGAGGCACTATCATCATAACAATCTTCCACACACACCACTTCGAAGTATCACCACGATGAAGCCCTCAACCACCTTCGCAACAACCACCCTCCTCGCCCTCGCAGCCGCCGCACCGCAAGGCCCGCCCGCCTCAGTAACATCTCAATGGGCTTCCTACGCGAGCGGCGCCGGCTGGCCAACCGCGACTTCCGACTGGCAGAGTCTGGGCTCCGCATTCAGCAGCTGGGCTTCCTCCGCCTCGGTCTCTAGCTGGCCTACCGCAAGCAGCGAGTGGGCATCTATCACCTCTCTTCACCCCGTCCCGAGCGCGCTGAGCAGTGTCGCTTCGTCGTGGGCAACCGTCACTGCTGCACCGGCTGGTTTCGGCCCCGGCGCGTGGGGTCCAAATGGCAACAACTCTGGTCACCCAGGTGGCCCAGGCGGATACCACGGCGGTGCTCCCTTCGGAACTTCTGGATGGGGACCATGGGCTGGCGAGAGCACGGGGTCGTGGACTGATGGGCCATGGACAAGCTGGTGGGGTGGTGCTTCGGGATGCCCAGACAGCACATGGTCGGGTTGGACTTCTGGATCTTGGAGCTCCGGCGCACCGTGGACTACGTGGTCCGGGTGCTCGGCTTCCACCACTTCTACCAGCGTTGTCACCACGACTGTGACGACTGGCGGGTCGACTTCCGTTGAGACAACTACCCGATTCGGCATTCAGGTCGCTGCTGCTAGCAACCCTACTTCCTCTGGCTCTGCTTCTGCCACTGGCTCGTCCTCCGGCGCGATGGCGACCAACATGAAGCTTGCTGGCTCTGCAGCTGGCGTGATTGGCGTGGTTGCCGGTGCTCTCCTCTTGTAGATGCCGGTATCGCATCAGAGGGATTCACGTGCTGCATGCGTTGGGCGTTTGTCTCCATTCAGGCAGACTGGTTGGATAATACCCAGAGATCATGACCGTAGTTGAGCGAGATCTGTTACGGAGACAAGAAAGATGGGAAGGTGTTCATGATTCAATGACTAGATTGTATTGTAAATGTTGATTAATATGCCATGCTGTGCCAATGCCTCTGCACTCTACCCTCCTTCTGACCGACATGTCAGCATATTTGATCCAGCAAGCACAGCCTGTCGATGTTGCCCTTCTCGATGCTGCTGCCATACTCGATGGCTGAATGGTTGATGCCTGACTGATGCCTCAGCTTGCCCGTCTGCCAGGCGAATATGCCGGGAAATTCCCGAAGCGTTTCCACTTCACTTCACCTCACCTTGCCTTCGCCTTCAGTCTGCCTTCTGGGCAGACCTGTCTGAGAAGTCGACCCAGACCCCGTAGAACATCTCATCTAGCTTTTGACGGCTCTCTTCATCTCTTCAAGTGGAGGATCGGGCCTTGCGGCCCACTTTCGCCCCTCCATCTTCCAAAATGGTGCCGGCATGGAGTATACTACTAGCCTGTAGCTAGGCACAGCCATGGTCTGCGGAACGATGCTGTACGTGCTGAGCTGAACCTTCTGGTCGAAGTGAACTACAGTGCAGCGTCGACTAGCATCGCAAGGCCATCTCGTACACACCGTGTCGGCTGGTGTTGAACGTGACAATGCCCACTCTTTGGTAAGTTCTGGTGTTGCAGAGGACAATGGAAATTTTGTGCCTCGGACTCGGGTCGCGGACCAAGGACTCTCGCATTGTAGATGCAAGACCATTGTTTTATTGATTGCCCTCTCGATCTCGCAGCTATGGTTCGTGGTGATGACGAGCTCTCATGATAGCTTTCATTGTCACCATTGCGGCGGGGTCATCGAGCTCACTGTTCCCAGTCCCACTCAGCTCTCCGTCCATACTTCTGCCCAAGCCTCTCGACCTCGACACAAATCTTTGAACGAACATTTCTGATGTGGGCGCGCATAGTATCGCTGCTCTCAGTATTGTCCGTTGCTTTTACCAACACTTCCTCCTGCCGGCGCAACACATGCAGTTCCCAGATCTCCCTTCTCCGGTCATTCAGTCCTTTCAGACAGTCCTGCATTCGAGCCCGCAGCTCACTACGACTCTCCGGAAGCGGTTTGATTGCTTCCTCGACCGGCTCGACGACCCTTGAATCGACGCTTTCGGGCCATGCAGCTGCGCCAAAGCGTTCTTCACTGTTCGCATACTGTATTCGGACGAGCCGTGCCTCAAAATTGGCGAAGATCTCAAGTATGCGAGACATTTCCTGGTTTGTTTCACTCTCTGGGTAACGCAGATCTACCGCACCGCGTCCAGGCCTCTCAATTTCGTAGCCGAATCGTGGTGAATGCTCGTCGAGAGCGACGGCGTATGTATCCTCCCAACACCACTCGGGCATTCCCACCGCTGCATCGAACGTCATCATTGCGTCTGCGCCATCGTCGCCTTGCAGCTCGGTCAAGTCCCGTCGCACGGCATACGAGACAGTGCATCGGAGCTTTTCGACTCTGAGCGTCAACCTAGCCTCCTTGTGGTAGTAATCTTGCAATCTTGAGACCGTGTCGAGAGCCGCTCTGTCGGCGGCTTTATACCAGGAGATGATGTCGAATCGTCGAACTTCGGCATCACAGATGAAGTAGGCGCACTTCATGAAGTCGTAGTACGGGATGAAGCCCTGTGGATCGGTGGACTTCATGTGGTTGAGAGCTAGGGAGAAAGCGTCGAGTAGCTCTGTCTGTTGGTTGTGATGATCGGAGAGCTCTTGTCGAGCAACTGCAATGCGTTCTTCTCGCATGTGTGCAGCCATGGTGTGGTGATAGCTTGCTATATGGTAGCAAGTGGGTATGTTGGTGGCAGCGAGGCATGTATATACGCCTTTAATGTTGTGCGAGAGATCTCGTTGAAAGATGTACTTTCTGAGAATGAACATACCGATCAGATTGACGCGGACTTGCCCGCATCTTGCGGCAGTCTCAACAGTGTCGAAGATTTTGGAATGGTAAAGTACAACAGCGACGAGGTAGTAGCCCATAAACGGTACCTTACAGCTAGTTGAGGCTATCGAATCTTTGAGAAGACGACCTGGGGTCACAATAAATACCAGTAAACCTAAAACTCGATCCATGACGCCTGCAGCTGCGCAGCTAGATACCTTTGTCCACGTATACAGCGCTGAAAGCTGATTGCTCGACTCGAGCCAAGCATAGCGCTTTTCTAGAGGCAGTAAAAGGTTGAACGGCTCAAGACAATTCGCCTTTGAATGATACCGCAATCGTGTGTCAGTAGAAAACTGCAGGACTCAGTAGCTTTGACGACGGCAGGAGACCGACGAAAGCCGCCTACATGGAGCACAGGATGAGACCACTGATCTCGGGATCAGTCAGAAAAAGCAAGGGAGATTTACATGGAGCTCTAGTATAGCATGCTGCAGCAAGAAGGAAGACGCTTAATGCAGGAGCATTTCAGTGTCTGTCTTAGTAAAGGAGAGCCGACAGTACTTCTCTTGAGAGGAATGTTTCTTGCTGATATTGTTGGCAAACAGGAAGTAGGTACAAGTAGTATTCGAGATCAGGCGTAATTGGTGTCGACTTTCTCATAGCGGGTGATAGGAGATGACATCCGACTGAGCGAGATTAGATTACAAAGAACGAGAACTCTGTCTTCCAGAATAGAATGACTATCGTCAAAGACTCATTGTATTCACCCGTGCCATTGTCCTTGAACAATTCCTCCATATAGATGCAGCTTTGAAAAGCGGTGCAGATATCCTCTCGTCCTTCAATTAAACATCCTGTCCTCGACACTCGTGAAGTGCCACTATCAGATTTCGGTTTGAGGTCTACCGCATGCACGAAATGGAGGCGACTGATGAGCTCCTGCAGAATGAGACCGAGGACGCCATGAGCCGTGCTTCGGACGACTCCAATGCGTTTATCGATCCACTGCCGCAAGATCAGCCTTGGGAGAGCAGCATTGTTGCGAACGCCAGAATCTCAGATGAGGGATATCGTAGCCCTTGTTGAAAGGCTTGAGCGGCTGGATACCGAGCTGAACCCTCATATCAATGTCGTAGTGGATATGCTGGGAGACCTTATAGGTCGTTACATGACAGATGGGCAGGAAGGGCTGGATGCTGGAGATGTGGACGACTTTGAGGGTCAAATTTTCAGTTCCGCTGCTCTTGGGCGGGAGCTTGGTCCGGGTGACTCGTTTTAAGGGTTCGTATTGATCGTAGCCCGGTGGCTGGTCCACCGAGCCGACTGTTGTACTAACCTCAGATGTCACATTCTTCCTCGCTTTTTACTAGACAGACTCGTATATCTTCTCTTGCCGAGTATCTGTACTAATCGTCGCTTTGGTCCACTTTAGATCCCGACTGTCACTCTTGATGTTTCCTGCGCCTAGCCTATGATCGTGACAACATCGGCATATGGTATGGGTCCGGATGATCTTTTCGGGTCGCTTTGTCTGCCGTAGTAGCTGTAGTCCTCGGTCGATTGAGTGATGTAGCGCCATTCTTCATCGCGATTGTCGGTCTCACAATGCGCTCTCTTGATCAGTGACCAGCGGATCTACTGACAGGCGAGCCTACTGACAGGCCGGGTTTTCATACAAACGACGGCACTGTATTGTATCAAGACATCAGTAACGCACGATGTTGGGGTCGACTTGAATGGAGTCATACAGGTTGGGAGTGGTACGAGCTACATGAGATGTATGCAAAGGTTGCGCCTCCGTTCATAAGCTCCTGAACGCAGGTATTTGACTTCGCAATATTGAAAGGGGAAGGGGAAAGATCTTGATCTAGGAGCCATATAAATGCCGATCTTGATACAGACGAGAGGTAGGACTCAACTCTGCCTGTCATCAAGTTGGTCCTTGAAAGGTACAAACCGTTGATGAAAGGAAGCGAGCGGTTGAGCGATGCAGAAAGTGATTAAGTAGAGGCGATCCGCGCTAGTGTGCCTAGCGGTAGGTGTCACGACAGCTATCGACGGCGCGACCGGATTGGCTGATCGATCAAAAGACTCGCAGGAAGGCACAAGCGGGCACCTTCTTCTAGGCCTAGTCAATAGATGGTAGAGAAGAGGTGCGATAGCAAAAACAGGCTGGAGCATCCTCGTCAGCGAAAGAAAGGCGTATACACGAAACTATGTAAAAAGAAGTACGAGAGGTGTGTTTCATTTGTCTTCTTTGGTTGTGAGAGACAGGCTTGTTGCACTGTCGCCATGAGTATTTATCCAAGACGGCGTTTACGCCTTCGTCACAATCAAATCCACAACATGAATATCGGATATGGATTCCACGATCTGCTTTTCACTCGGGCGTTCGGACTTGCGATTGGAAGGAGACCTCGAAGGGAAGCATGTGGCATCTCGGAAAGTGTTATACCGGCGTTGCCTATACGTTTCACCTTTCTGTGATAATATGGTAATAAGGCAGTATCATCTCTCATGACCGTACTCAGTGGTAGTTTCGCCTTCATCCTTACACGAGCTGGTCACAGCATGACATCTCATATCACCCATAGACTATAGTAATATTGCTGGTTGCTTTCACATCACTCGAAGTGGGTGTGAACGATGCTTCCGCTCCCTGCCTGCTATGCTCGATCTCGGACTCTTAACCTCCCAAAGGCGCTGCTCTTACGACGTAGGATGGAGATATTGGCAATCGTCGTCCTGTCCGTTCTATCGGTCCTTTGGTGGAAGGTTCCATGTGACCATCACACCGATTAGCGCTACACTATTTTCTCATTGATCAGGCGAGCTTGTAGGAAGAGGTGCAAAAGTTGCAGCTGTAGCACAGGATTTGTGCAGACCACTGCTTAGTCAGACCATCAGTATGCGTCTGCCGTTCAGACAGCTGCAGATACTTGAGTGTCGCAACGGGTCAGCGCTATCTCCATTACCCTCCTCACCACAGTCTACGGCAATGGAGTCACAAACATTCACGCTCTTCACTATACCGCCTGAGATGCGGCTCAACATTTACAAACTCCTGCTAGACGAGGCACAATGTCTTCGCTACTTCGTCCACCAAATCGTCGGTAGCCAGTTCTTCGTCTCAGAGATCGATGATGCTCAAGCTGCATCCAACCAGCAGATCAAGCGGACTTATATCGCCCTGCTACAGACCTCACGAGCAATCAACCAGGAGTCGACAGCATTGCGGGGGCGCTTGATGCTCAGCTTCACAGGACGGCTGGACGTCTGGAGACACAGTGTCAATGGCGAAGAAGTAGTCTTCGAAGACGATCGAATGGTCACGAGCAGTAGACACCCTGCTTTCTTGCTGGACAACTCTGTTGTGAGGGCCGCGAGGATAATCGCGCTGAGGATATCTACCAAGGGTACAGTTTACGGGACGACGGTGTTCCGCCACGTCATTGTCAGACGAGATGAAGAGGTTGTGGCAGAAACGGCTGGCGAGGATGGCATCGTCTTAGCCAATACTTTCGGTCAGAGCTGGACGATTAAAGACGAGTGCTGTTTGGACACGGCTAGCAACCGTTGCTTGAAATTGTTGAGGCGAGAAGGATGGCAGATCTGAGGTGAGACTGAATGACAAGAAAGGAAAGCTGCAGTAGCATATCGCAGAATGATTGTTATGGTAATTAGCTGGCATATCAACCTAGAGTACCATATTATCACCATGACTCTCTAGGATTGATGTGAAAATATGTTCGCTGGAGGCTGTAGTAAACAGCACGATCGTTCCTCTTTCAAGATGAACCACACTAGTAAGACGTCACTTATCGTCTATACTTACTATTTTCCCGCCTCAACGAAGATACAATGACGGCTATCCTCCAAGGGGTACAAAGAAGTGATGCGAAGTCTACGTCGTCTCCCATTGGCTCCTTACTTCTTCTTGCTTCCTTTCATCGCCTTCGCCTGTGCAGCTGCTTCTACCTTTGACTTCATTGCAGCCTTCTTGGTGATCTTCTTCACCTCCACCTCTGCGTTCACGCTAGCCACATAATCCCTCCTCATTTGATCATACTTCAACCTTTCGGCCTGGTCCTTCTCATACTCCTCGCCACCCGGCTGCCAGCTACGTAACAAACTATCCATCTCTGTGTCCGGATTGCAGACTTTGCAGGTGTTGTTAATACACTGCATGGCGGCTACATTGGACACAACACTCGTACCGCGGGTGAAGGTGATGTCGGTTCTCATCATGGCTGGATAATCGAGACGCCAATTGCGCGCGGTGCCGAGGAATTTGCTTGAAGGACGCGAGCCACTGCTGTCGATGTGAACTTCGCCGGAGTGCACAAACGGAAGACCTTGTGTGGGAGACTTGGCTGCTTGACTTGAGAGTTCCTCCAATTTCGGTATCGGAGCGTCTGTCTGCTCCTTGCCATTCTGGCAGTAGTAGCATCCACCGCAGATCATAACGTCCTCCCACTGGCCATTAATGGACACTCTGAAGACTGGACCACCACGATGGAAAGCTGTTTGATCTTGAGACACGTAACTCGCTCGGTGAGCAATAGGCGTACCTTCGTGCCAGCTCAGGTCTCGTTGATGGACCATGTTGAGCTTACATATCGTCAACGGTGGAAGAGACATTGTTGAAGATAGATTGTCGGAGTTATTTGACCCGGCTGAAGACGTTTTTGCGCCTTCGGAGGTGGCTTGCGAGTGTCTGGTGGGTGTGTTCTGATGACCGTGAACCGCAAATGTGAAATCTGAAGAGGTGTCGATTGTATGTAGTGGAGGAAGTTGAGAGCTTTCGGAAAAGCTGGAGACATAACTGAACGGATGGTTTGCGGTCCTGGTGTCTTGGTTGATACCAATATGACGAGACATGCCGCTTGACATGGGGGGCTGTTTGCTGTACGTGCCTTTGTCGACATGCTTGGGCTGAAGGGAGGTAGATCCTCCGCTTTCTTTGTTCGTAAGGATAAGATTTTGATTGTGCTCGGCTTCGATACCGCCATGGTCTCTAGGTCCGCTCGTAACGGCGTCTTGCGGATCTGTAGTAGTAACGGAACGCTCTTCCTCCATGCTAGAGACCCGTCTTCGATCTCTCGCTCATCCTCCCAAGCCAGGTCCATGTCAGCGTTCCAGATTCCCATTTCTTCCAGCCCTTGGCGTAGCTTCTCGTGTACGGCCACTCGAGCCTCAAGCCTCTGTTTGTGTTCATCCTCACCAGGATTGTCCAGATCTGCTGCGCGATTCCAAGATAGTCGATTTGGCTCAGCACGCCCAGAGTAAAGCTCGAAAAAGTTGCGCTTGCTAATGTCACATCCTTCCCGAATCTTTCGCCTTCAGGTAGGGCGACCCGGCGAAAGACCTCGTAGCGTTGATCATCGCTGAGATGAAAGAAGTCGAAGAGGGTGATTAAGACGTCGTACGAGCCGCTCACTTTGGCCCAGGAGAAAGCGGTTGTGTTGGCAGCGGGCGCCGCCATAGCGGTTGTGTGTATCAGGTTAGCAGTATCTTTTGTGCCTGGAACTCGAGCATCTTGACGACTAGATACGAATTCAATCCTGCGGCGATTGTATAACAAGAGCGCCAGTGGTTATCGGTTGCGTATGGAAGGGTGTGCATGTGTTATAACGAAGCTCGCGAAGTGATTCAATACGTGCCGTGCTTGAACAAGGGCTCGTCGACGGCCTGCGCCAGCTTGATGTGCCTTCCATATGCGGCTGCAATACTTTCATTCACAAATTGGCGAAGCCGAACGTGGTGATCGTAACGAGCATTTGAAGTAGGCAACGAATACGAGATATATGTTTGGCATCAGGAATGAACGGGACATTGAGAACACTATTGACGATAGAGACTTTTCTCCACAGCATTGATTATCACATGAGACGGGCGATCTTACACCCCATCACTATGATACTCCAACCGGAGTACGAACCTAGTGATCTTGCCCTATATGGGCTCTATGATCACTCTCTTCGCTACCCGTGTCCTAACCTTCCAGAGCTTCCTCGAGTTTCTCCATCATCCTCTCCCACGACTCAGCAAGGTACCCGAGATCCCAGTCTTCGAACTCCATGTTCTCCAGAGTCTCGTTTGAGTGAGACTCACCGTGCGACCATGGCAATGAGACAAGAGTCTTCTCTTTCACAGCCTGCATCAGATGGTCGCAAACAATGTCGAGGCTGTCTTCAACTTCGGCAGCGCGATGCATGGCTGCTTGAGGACTGCTTCAAGCATCGGCTTCCGAAGCTGGTCTTCGAATATCTCATCCAGCACATCGCAGTACTTATCTTCGATGTTGTATGGGACGATCTCGATGGTAGCATCGCGAAGCACACAACCAGGTCCATAAACTCCGCTTGCCAATGTACTGAGTACCAGGAGCAACACCGAATGGTAGTCCTCCAGGAGCTTGAGTACTTTTTTGATCTCTATCGAAGTGATTCGATCACTCTAAATCCCTGCATCCCCTTCTCCAGTCTCCATGCTCGCCTCATCGAGCTCGTTCAAGAGCGTACCATCGTGAAAAGGTCCTGTATGATCCGTCGTCTCGGTCGCTGTGTCCTGAGCTATCACAAATGGAGTGACAAAGTGTGGAAGCTCTTCGTCTGGCGTAGAGGTCGCTTTATCACTGATCGCTGCCTCGAAATCCGACTCATCACCATCGGTACTGACGTGCGGCGCAGTATACGCATCCCAGCCCTGTCCACCACGGTGCGCTTTTGTCTTCAGAAGATCATCAACTTCTTCTTTGCGTCTCTTGGCACTCGCAGCACTGCTGTGCAGCTCAACATCGCCGATCACGCGCTCGCGAACAGACTCTCTCTTGCCCGAATCCGGTACTTCTTGCAAGCCAGAGCCGTTGTGAGAACGCAGCTCCTTTGGGATATTTTCCTCCCCAGGCTGCCACTTCGGCTTTGCCATGGCCGCCTTAAATCTTAAACTCCTGGGTCGTCGATGCCTTGCGACTTCTGTGTCGTGAAGCAGCCGCAGCCGACTTGTTGGCTGTCATGGAGCCCACGGACTTGGTACCGTATCGTGAATACTGGTCTGCCAGCGAAACTTGACCGGTCGGTGCCGCTAATCCCGTCTCCTCAGGAAAGGTACGTGAGGTCGACGACTGCTTGATTGGTTTCTTAACATATTGGAGCCGCTGATATCAACAAGAGCCGGGCTTGCGAGATGCTGTGGTCAGTTGTTGTGACGCTGAACTGGTCTTGGTGGATACTGATTGTTACCATTAGGGCTGTACAGTCTCTCGTATCAAGAAAGAAGCTCCTGTTAGGCCAATTAGCGCTTCATGGAGTCGGATAGGACGTATGCTGAATGCTATGACAACGTAGCTTCTTCAGGTCGTGCTGAATTCACTTCATCGCATGGATTCGACTCTGGCCAACGCTGATTGATTGATAGAAGAGAACATGTCGCACAGCAACAGCAAGGTCATGCTTCGAGTCAGAGATGCAGGGTAATGTCGTGGTGTACGTGACTGTACTTGATCGTCTGTCTGTGCTATAGTGGCTTTGATCTCACAATCAAGCTACAGTACAGGGATCAATGTCTTCAACAGCTTCCTCGACACTTCGATCTGTACGTGGAGATATGTGCCAGCGTGCTTTCCGCTTTGAGAAAGAAAGTCATAATTCAACCGTCCGTGATTGTGAATATGCGTGTTACGTACTTTGTATTAGTAAGAAGGAAGCTGCAGATCGGGTATTGGACGATAGTGATGTTGAAGACGTTATACAACGAGGCAACAAGACATAGTACGTTGTAGCTAGCCTCTGCCTTCAATCCGTGCACAGCACAATGCCAAATAGGTCATGTCACCTCTCACCAACGGTCGTTCAGAGTTGCCGCGCAGCTTCTTCGATCTCTGCTCTCAGCCCGTCGTACACACCGTTATCGATGTCCTGTTTGATTCGCTGCCAATGAGCCACCCTCGGTGGGCCCCCATGGGTACTCTGCTGGTACGTGGACTCGAGTGCAGTGTATGAGAAGGACTCGCGACCCAAGTTACGAATTTCGGCCCTGCAGACGACGTTGAAGACCTTTGCTGCTGCTTCGGCTCTATCCCTGCTGCCAACGATAGCGGCATAGTGCAACTTTGCTAGGTGATATGCCGCTTTCATACGGTCGCTGTGCACTTTCTTGCGACCTTTTCTGCCAGATGGCTGTTGATCGTCTCCGTCGCCTGGCTCTTCGCCGTCTTCCTGCATCAGTTATTAGTAGAATCCATGGATAGAAGAACTAGCATGACCTACGACTCCCTCTTCTTCTCGGTCATCGTCAACGGGTTCAGTAGTCGATGGTGGCCGCTGCATTGGGACGATGTTGCCGTCCCCGTCGATGGTGTAGGCTGGTCCCTGAACACCGTGCTTGTGCGGAGTGATACAGTAGTAGAGTCCAGGGTATGCGGTCGCGGGGAGAAATTCAAGGTGCGGGAATTGCTCGGTCTCCTCCTTGGTGATGAGGCCCTGCTTTGGCCATGGGAGATGGGTGTTTGGTGCCATTGTTGATGTTGTTGATATGTGGTGATATGTGTATATATCATGTGTGTTTATGATGCTGTTGTAGAGAGAGTCTGAAAAGCGGCAGTGGCAGGTATATATACAGTCTTTTTCAACACTGGCAGTCCCGGCAAGCCAGAGCATTCACTTCACATGTCAATAGCAGATTGCCACGAACAATAGCAAAGTCGTTGCTGATCTAAGACCACCGTAAGCTACTGAATTGCAACGATCAATAACGGACAGGCAATCAATGCATGTTTTGCAATCAATCAAAGAATTCGGGATAGACGCCGAGAGTACATCCACGATCAATAGTACCATTATCCGACTCAGATAACCAAGGATTAGCTAGCAGACTCTCGATTATCCGCGGACAAAGTAAGAATAACCAGGCCAAGACATATCTTAGCAAAAGAGGTGGTGAGCATGTGGTTACCAGGACGCAGCTCGAAAGGACAGGTCGACACGAGTCGAAGAAGACCACCACTTACCTGGGGGTTTATTCAGCATTCATCCGACTAGCTACTGATGCAGTACAGTCTGATCTCTTGTTATGACATCAAATCAAGATCTCGATAGTCCATATGCATTCTCTTCAATCAGACGAGTGCGTATGGAGAGCTTTCCCTATCTGTGACCGATTCTGAAGTGTATGATATAGTCTACTGTCGTAGTATGTTGGGCCAAGCGGCAAGGTATTACTCACGGATGATATTTAGACAATACAGTAACGATCAGACCATATCCCAGCAATCTTCAGCTCTTACATATACTGGTCATGGAGGTTTGCAAATATCTGCCGCACCGCTGTGATTCATCGGCGGATAAACTCCATGGTGGACGACGATGGGTCTGGAATATGGACCTGACAGGAGTACAACCCTGCTGCGATGAGATCATTCTGGACCGACACAGAGCGAGATCCCGCTTGGTTCAGTACAAAGAAAGCCCAAACATGGGTCATGATCTTGACTCCCGTCCCCGCAACGAATCCTTATCACCCACGTGCTAGTACTTACGCACCGTCACTCTGCCATAACCACCTCGTCGCCTCTAATGCCGGCTACTATGCATACTCCTTGTGTCCGGCCTCGAATTATTGCCTCGCGAAGGTCACCAGATATCTCATCGAAAACGGTCAGTCCGAACCATACGTTGCGCTGGCACCTTGCTTAGTTGACTCTGTTCCTCGCTTCGCCGTGACCAATACGTCTTACAAGTAGTTCCTAAACTTCTTGAACTTCTTTGAAGAGTTCCGCTGCTATCAATGGGTGGTCGATCAGCCAATCCTGAAACTCCTCCACGATTGGATCGTCCGGCTCCTTTTCTCTCACAGTCAGCAGATAGCGCGTGAACAGGTCTGGGCACTGGGCGCCCTCCCCGGTGATCTTACTTTACCGGAGCTCAAGCGAGCGCGGTTGTTACGACGGCGCATGATACGATCACTGACATATTATTGTCAAGCCTCGAGTTCCTATGCGAAGGTCTTTGGGTCGAGAATGGAAGCTTTCCAATGACGTGTTGGGGGCATTTAGATCAAGATTCTGGAGACCTTGAACCTACCGATGAGCTTTCAGTACTTTTTGAGCAGTCTCAAGGACGTCTTTCTGCACGTCGATGGATTAACCAGCACGATGCTTTGTTGCCACTTTCACCCTAACTCCGATAGTCGCATTGGCAGGGAGAAGTAGTGACCAGGATCGCTTCGTCGATCGTAGCTTCGTCGTTTGAGGAGAGGCATATTAGGCAACTTGGACAGTCAGTAGCACGAGCTTCGTCGACAGTGAGGTGCGTAAGGAGGACATCGCGCTTGACGTGGACCCAGCAGTCGGCCATGTTCGAGTCGGTCTGTATTGATGACGCCTGCGAGAGGTTAGTTGTAAGCAAATCTGCGGTTGTCTGGAGAGTGGTCGATTACTTTATACCTTCAGCCGCCTTTTGGAAGCACTTTAGTGCACATTCACGTCTCGACATTAGGCAGACTCGCACATGACTAGAGAGGCGAAGTGAACAGCCAAAGACAGACAGCTAAAGATGGTTCGAGGCATTCGATCCGCCGAGTCGATCATCTAGAAACATTCTGTGGTAGCGTGAGTACCAACGGCGAGTGCCATTGTTTCTCTAATTCTTTGGACTATGAAAAGTAGGACTGGCCGATGCGTCCAGTGTCGGAACTCTCAGTCTATCGCTCACAACATCATTTCACTCGCTCGACTTGAACACTACCTTACCATCCCATCACACAAGCAATACGCACTAAGTATCGTAGACACTATCCTGTCTAAGCATCCCTGTATCACAAATAAGCACCTCCTCCCATTTTGCCGACCATCCGTCCGAGCTGCTACCTCACACAACTGACAGTGGAATATTGCAATGTCCGTATGCCAAATTGCGGTCGATTTTCGCATTCCGTCTTCCATCAATCAGATTTATTCGAGTTCTCGGCGCCATGATCTAGGCTTGGTCTTGCCAAACCGACTAGCTGGAGGCTTCAGGGCATGATCCCGGTACTCTTCAAAGCTCGGCATGTTAAGACTCTCGTTTCCATTGCTGTCCTCCGATGAATTGGACTCCCCATCTCCGAGATCGTCGTCCACGAGGTAGTGGTCTGGCATATCCAGATTATACGAGTAGTTCATATAGAATGCTGTACCACTTGGCAAACCTGTGTTACCCGCAGTAAGTGATGAATCTAGGCCTGTAGGTGGCTTCTCCACCATACTGGCTGGAGCTGGAGCTGTTGGGTGATGGGTATATGACCCGGTGGGAGGTGAATTCCCGCCAACGCCCATTGTACTTTTGGGTCCATCCTCGTGACCTTGAGGAGACGATGAAGCTCGCTTTGTGGAATCGAGGGAGGTTCCGATAACGTTGGTGATTTTCGGTGAAGCTGTCTGCAGCGCCTCGTTTGGAATCGGCGAGGCCAATGATCGGCGGGATGTAGTGCGTTGGTGCTGTCGTGGGCGAGGTTGATTGACGCCAGTATCTTGATCCTGTGGAGTCGTGCAAATACTCGAATTGCTTCTACTGGATGGTCTGGAAGCATCATTGCCGCTATCGAGCGCTGGTCTGCCGTAGTCGTATCTAAGTCGCGCCGCGGCACTAGGAGTGGAGGATGATTGAGCGGTCGCGGTGAGATTGGTGTCGCTACTGGACGATGTGTTGACTGTTATATTCTACGACCTGGCCCACTGATCGATCACTACCGAGCGGTGCAGATTGTCAAGTACTCGATTGGTCTTGCGCTGTTGCGAATAAGTGAAGCTTGAGTAGCTGTTTGGAAGATTGTCGGATTAAGGTGGAGGCTTTGCGCGAGGTGGTGGGCTGTCTTGATTCTCGTGCAGCGCTGTCACATGAAAGGACGATGAGACACCGCAATACATCTTCACTGGACCGTACGACTCATCTTGAACCCGGGTGTTACACGCCGTATCTATCTTGCTTACCCATACTGGCCTTGCTGCCGGCTGTCCCGTCGCCTGATTGGAGCACGCTCGAGCCCAACCAAGGAAGCGCACGACGACCTGCAAGGCTGATCGCAAGCCGTTTGCTTGATCATACTTGCTCAACCAAAAACTCATCTCTTGTATCTTCCTGCGCCTGAATTAGTTGCCTTGTATCGTCACTCGACCACATTCATTTGCAGACCGCCAGCGCCACACTGCGGACTCCATTACTTGTTTATGCTCCCGCCTTCTCCTGTGCCGTCGCCAGGCTGCTCTTGAGTGACTGTATTTTATGTCAACCGCAATAATGCCCATGCGAAGAGAGAGTGTGGCTAAAACTGCCGTGACGATTTACAGATCTGTTCACATCGTCGGCAAGGAGTGTCGGAGCATGAAGCCAGCAGGTAAGCTCGAAATCTCAAAGCCAACGCTCCAGGCAGTTCTTTGTCGTCGAACCGTCAATATCGAGTATTGTTCTGATGCGTGTACAGCCGAGCTCCAGTACAAAGGCAGCTGCTATTGCGAGACAATGAGCTACGCGCCATTGAAGTTGGACTGGTCAATGGCGTCTTGTCAATCTGTGGTCTATCAGGCTGGCTTCCTCGATCTCAGGCTTCCATTGTAAGCATTATCGATCCCGCGCCAGCGGCGTATCATCACAGTCTTTCCTGGGCTTCGGAAAATCGCCCAGGTGTACCAAGCCGCGGTATACCACACATCCTACGTGTCGTCGCAGAAGCCCGGCCAATTCGTAGATCACCGTCCGGAGACTCTTGATGGTTCGTGACGGAGGATGGCGTTGTCGGATACGGATATCGTGATGCTGGCGGAGAGGTAAAGGAATCAGTACTGTTCGATCTGAGTGAAATGAGAGTCTGCGCTCACACTTCCAAGAGCTCACTGTTTAGGGACGACGCCAGAGATGATCATACTTAAGTGGAACTTGACATGGCGGTTATTTGCGCTTGACTGATCTTCATTGATGTGCCGGCTGTTTGACAAATTCAAGCTCTCTCAAGGCTACGAGGGTCGCCCAAACGATCGAGGCTGTAGTTACGAAGGATCTCAGGTAATTCATACATGTTACCATTACAGATGGAGCCGTATCACGTAGTCATGGTTCAATCTCGAACATCATGTTGCTGCGGATGCAAGTCAGTCGTGAAGCACCGCATCTTACCAATTATTTGTGGCTATTCGTGCATGCACATACTGCAACAACAACACATGGCTCAGCAATACGCGTCAAAGTCCATCGAGGGATACATCAATATGCTCATTACAAGCGGTCACTCTTCTCCAGCGTCAAGTACAAGACTTGGGCTCTGATGAAAAGATGTTGCTGCTAGCGAGCAACCATTCGTACAAGTTTGAGGTTGCTACGCCATTGAGTAACGAGAAGATCAATCAAAAATTGCGCCGCTCAACTCCCCGGGCAGAGTTGACCAAGAGTCATCAATCTGCAGTGCAATAGACTGACAACTCTGGGGACAGAAGGATTCTTGCGCTCTCCTGTCCGCGACTGGGCCGCGGTTGCCGGCGAGGCAAAGAGAGAAAGGAAGCAAGCCGTGAAGGACGAGTCGAAAAGTACAAGTATCTCACGAAAGATGGCCCGTGCTGGCGTCCTGCTAACGAGCGCACAGGATCCGAGTCAGTAATGGTCTACCCGATCCCGTAGTCGCTGTTCTATTGGTCAAGACGACCTGTGGTGACGTTCCGAACAGCCAGTAGGTCTGCTCCGAAGTATTGTTTGCGGCAAGAACGATGGAGGCGATGGTGGCAGGGGTACTGGGAGTAGTACGAGCAGCTATGGGGTCTCTGACGACACTTATATTGGTTGAGTTTGATACAGCAGGATACTCCAGCGGCTCCAGAAGCGAGAGAGCAAGCTGAATCACCGGCAAGCTATATGTCGTAAAGCAATCCGAGGTCGTAGACTGGTAGGATATAAGTCAAAAGAGTCCTGTAGTTGTCTATGCGTATCTCAGCTTCAGTAAAGCGATCGCCAGGGTATCGGACTCCTGTGTAATTTTGCAACTCCGTCGGTCTTGACGCAAAGTCCACTGCTAAATCGTTGTTGACCTTGTTGAACGACTGCACTTCCTGTACTGATTGATATACTCTTGACACTCTAACGTCCACCACAAGCATTTAGCGACTCCCAATCGCGTGCACAAGCCACGAGCGTGTCAGAAGTGCACATGTCGAAGATCCGCCAGAAGACTTCCGCACTGCGATATTGTATTCACTAACAACTGCAAATGTCTGCATCAATGATCCGCTACCACCACCACCTCGATCACTCAAACGTCTTGCGACGGCTCCTGCAAGCAGCACATGTGGCTGAATGGTGCGCCAGAAATCTCCGACCGTCCATCCAGCAGCCTCGACTTCAAGACTACTACGTCCTCCCTCCGAGAATTTCTGTAATAACCACGATGAAATGAGACGAAAGACGTCGTTATCAGTGCACAATGAGGCTCCGGGTGTGAAAGTGCATAATCTCGAAAGCTTTTCCCGCACCTCGCATTGAGCTCACACTGCAGCACAACCCAGTACAGGAATGCTGCCGACCGAAGTCCGCACAAGCTCAATCTCTCGTCATACAATAGCCGTCAACCAGGCGTGAAGGTCAGGAGTCCGCAGATACGTGTCAAGAAGCGGTGCCTATCGTTCTGTCGGCTAGTAGAAAGCTGCACGCATTACCACAAAGTGGCGCAAGAGGGAAGCTGCCAGATGGGCAGACATTGCGGCACGATTACCATTTCTCCTTGGCCGGACCGGGGACAGGATCGTGCAAGAGAGGGACATTACTTATCCACGGCCGTTCGAATCTTCTGTGATGGCAGTTCCAAGACTGCCCACTGTTTTTTGCACGAGTACAGCTCCGTTCAGCTGCTTCATTTTTCATACACAGCCCGACTCCCACCAGCCACTGACTCGAGATGGACTGCCACATTCATGCGATGCTCCTACGATAATTCCTGGTTCGCCAAAGCCACTGGCCAGCAGGGAAACCCTATGCCTAGGCGAAGAACGACCATGACAGACTGTCCAGACCACCACGATGTGAGTATGAGATTGGGCTATGTCTCGTGGCTTGAGTTGGAAGCATCTGTTGATGCTACGGAGGCCTGTGAGGATGTCGATGCCGAATCTCACTCCCTTTTCCTACGGGCCTGCATGAATTTGAATGGTCTGGAAACATTGATGCAGCACGATCCCTCCTCGCGTACAGAACTACATCCTCGCCACCAACCCCATCACGAAGAACGTGGGTCTGATCTCAGAGCACATCCCGCTCATTCGACCATTCAAGCATTCCGCCCGCCTGACACACATCTCAAAGCGTATCTTTGGGGAGCAGAATACGGTGGTTGTGAGGAGCTTAGGTGAGACGAGCAAGATCCTGGGCTGCTATAAGTCAGAGATTCGCCGTCTGTACCTGGTTTGGCAGCATGTGGAGGATGGTCTGATTCCGCTTCCTCTCATGATAAAGGAGTATCTCAAGGACTGCAGGAGGTTGGAGTGGCCGGCTGTGGCGTTTGAGCTGCCGGAGAAGCAGAAGAAGATGAAGGCGAAGCAGTCAGCGGAGGTTAGAGATGTGATTGAGGCGCTGGATAAGTTGAACGTGAAGAGGAAGTTCGGGATGATCAAGCAGAGCGGAGAAAGCCGGGGATAGATGAAGTGGTGAGATCAGACGGTGGTGAGGTTGAGGAGGTTGTTGAGGAACTGTTGGGTGTTAACATTGGCGTTGGCTTGCATCTGTACTAGAGGAATAGTATGAGATGCCATAGAGCTTCGTATGAGATTCGGCGATGGCAGGATGTATGCCGCCCGGATAGTCATGTTGTCTAGCTGAGATGCCACTGCTCCCTCCCATCGTGATTCTCTCGTCCAGCGTGATACCCCGCAGAGAGTCACTTTCATTCCTAGCATTGATAGTCTACTTGTCACCTCCAAGCTGATGGAATTTATCAGGGATATCAGTGCTTAAACAAACATACTTCCATTTTCATCTCGACGTAGCACGGCGCACCATACTGTTGACAGGCCTTATACCAGCTGCAGTACCATCACATCTTGCTGAGATAAAATTCGAGTATTGCTTGGTTCGATCGTGATATATATGACTTTTGGGGAGAGGAGAAGAAAGTAGAGGTGAAGTGGTGAAGTCTCCAGCTGGGTTACCTAATCATAGATCTCCGCTCGCCACCCGAGACCAAGACCAGACGAACATTCTCAGGATTGTGATTCGAAGGCAAAGGTTGGTGGGCTGTAAACGGCACTTAAAACCACAAGGATACCGTCGTATACTAACAGGCAAAAGCAGATCAGCTACATTCACGATCGTACTTCGCTACAGCCTGACGCCATGGCACACCAACTTACCGCAGACAAAGACTGTGGCGTGAAGATATGATGTGCGTGAAAGAAGCCGTAGCATCATACATTTCCTATACTGTATCACAGCGCCAACCTCAAGCGCTGCGAAGGGGTATCATGATCCTCTCCTTCCCGTGCGTTTTCTCGTCCGGCTCTCGCCAAAGTTATATCCTCTTCTCTGCCTCACCACATTCCCCCCACCCACCACATCTCAACTCCACTCCTGACATAAACACCTCGCGGCCTAAAAGCCAGCTTATGTACTGCAAAGCCACAGACACATCTAAGAGCTTCTGCGGCCCAATGGCTCGAACGGGAAGCATGCTGCCACTATCGCCATAACGATGTAGAGTGCAGCGCATAGGTAGATTGGAACAGGTGTCGAAGTGTTGGCGTAAGTGGCGACGATAGCTGACATGATACCCATGAGACGCTAGATGTTGCAAAATCAGTCAGTACGGTCCCACATTTCGCAGCCGAGAGACAGAGGTGACTTGCATTGAACGCGATACCTAAGAGCAAAAGTCAGAACCAGGCAAAAGAGCAAAGATTAGAGTCAATCAAGCTTACTGATGCCATTACCAGTTCCGCGGTGGGCAGAAGGTAGAACTTCCGGGCTGTATGCGTAGAGTGTACCTGCAACAGATGAGCCAATCGACACATCGCGTACGAGCATAAGCCAGTGTTTCACCTACCGTAGTAGATGTTCTATTCATGGTATAGGTGGTTAGCGAGATAGTCGGAGGGCGGGTAGTGAAGTGCTAAGGTGTTTTGGGAGAATGGGAAGGAAACCCAGCAGGTCGAAGTCGTGCATGGTCGCGGAAGTCGCGACGGGAGGTGGTGCCCAGGGTATCGTATTGTGATTGCCAGCCACAGAAGTAAGCAAAGTCGTGGCACTGCAATGCGTCACGGGAGCGCTTTGGGTGTTGTCCGCAATACAGACCCTCGGTAATGGTCCTGGTCGACTGCGATTGCGGAACAGTGGTGGGCTAGAATAGCATAGAGTGGAGAGGCGACAGCGCAGCACTTCTACTGCTCTCGATGTGGAGTGGCTCGGGATGATTAGGTTGAGGTTACTTCTGCACTGTGGTATGCATTTGTCCGGGTTTGGTGCTCGTAGACGCTGCTCGCCAGGTAGTCAACAGCATGTGGTGGTATATCGCTTGTAGTCGCCGCCAGATGGCACGGAGGTGCATCAGCATACCACACTAGGATAAGCAAAGTGATCGATCGGTCTGGCAGTAGCTGGCGGCCGCTGGTAATCGGTCGCTTCTGGACGCCGTGCAAGTATGGCGCAGAGGAAGGCCCTCCAACCCAGACACTACGCCTACTCAAGAAGAATGCCTTGGATCAGAGCTCACGAGCTTGTTCGGAGAGGAAATCTTGGCATTCCGGACTATGGAAGAGGCAAAGCAACGCCAGAATGAAGTGGGGAAGAGAAAGGGGAGTGGACATACCAAACAGAAGCCTGTGAACATGGTCAGCCGAGGTTCTCATAAGGAGGAAATTAGAAGCTGTAAGTAGAAGCCGACATAGGCTTGCGCTTTTGGACAAGCGCGTATGCTCGCCTTCCGCCGTGAGCTGAACTTACTGATAGCGCAAGTGAAACCCAGATTCTGTGCATTGCTTGAGACCTGCGTGTATCTGATCGCTGTGGTTAGTACAGATCATCCTTCCACGTCCCATTTGCGATTTCACTTACGCAAAGAAGAAAATCATCCTGGGGAAGTAGGAAGATTATGTCAGCTGCATCCGTTTCCGAATGGTATCCACAACTCACGTGAGCATGGCACCAATAATCATGGTTCCCCTTCGTCCCCAGAAGAGCTTGCTGTTGCACATGAACCCAGCCAAGATCGGCGAGGGGATGGACGATAGGTTGCTCAAAGCATAGTTCCTCCATGTATCGCTTACACTTAGGCCGCCAAGAGCTGCGCCGCGGGTCATAAGGTACTGTGGTAGGAAGACATTGTAGAGAGGGTATGCCAGGCCGATGAGGAGCCCTAGTGATGGAGAAAGAACATGTCAGCTGGAAGTCACTGCAATGCAGAGGAGGGAGCCGTCTTAGGCACGGCAGCTCGACTGGGCCCAAAGGACAGCTCAAGCACGAAATGTGCAGTCGAGGGTGATGACTTGCATGAAAACCAGATCAGCGAAGTGGACAACCCCATCTTCTTGGTTTGGAAAAGGCCTCGCAAATGTACGGCGACCTCTCCCAACCCAAATCGCCGTTTGGCATGAGCTCCCACGGATCCACGGCGGTCGGTCACCCCCCCGACATTAGTCTGGCCACATTCTTGGAGGCGTTCCAGTGTCAAGGAACATGGGCGATTATACTTCTTGGCGATGAATTGGAGGGTATCAACAACCTCTTCGTCTTTGCCTTCGCCCTGTAAAGTGAGAGAGAGATCATGTCAGCTGAGTGCGTGGTACCAACAGCTACGACTTATGGTGTCCTCACGAGTAGGTATTTCTGTTTTAGATGGTCAGCAGATGTTCCAACTCTTACAACGAGGGGTGTGACCACGTGTTGCTTACAGGAGTCTCCTTCAGCCTGGAAGTCGTGATCAGCATAGTCCGGTCCCATGTCTGTGCTTCGTGAGTGATCATACCTAATCACCGTTATACGGAGAATCGACATGACAAACACAAGGGCTGCGGACGAATCGATTAGCATTTCTCTCTTCTTTTCTTCTTTTCTTTTCTTCTTCTCACCGCCTGAAGTAAACCATATATAACGCCGTCGAGGTAATTAGCAACTGTTGGGAGTGTTCGGCGCATCTACTCTCACCAGCCAGCGTTGTTCTTCCACGTGCATTTCTCGAAAGGTGGCTGGGTTTGGCGTCAGAACGTATAAGTTGCTTGTGGTGTGCTCGCTTACTTTGGTAGGATCCGTGCATGAGAAGTTCGGAATGAAGACCCTACAGAAGATTAAGTCAAGTCCATTGATATCTCAAAGTCGTGAATTACCATGCGAGCAAGCCAGCTACCAGCTGTCCTCTTATCATCGAGGTAGACATGGTCAGTAGGGTCATTCAAAACTCCAGCGGAAGGAACCTGCTTACAAACCCCACCAACAAGCCTAAGCACCAATATTAGCAGACGATCAAGAGAATCACGAGACGGAATACGATGACTTGGAGCAAGCGCTTTCCACATCCACAGCATCCTATGCAGCCTAGCCGAGCGAGTTGATTGAACCATCTCCTGGCGTGGTGTACAGGATGCTGCGGATATAGGCAAGCTTGAACTGGTGGTGAGTCGTTCTAGAGCGAGCATACCATCAAGGTGAGCAACCTGTCCCAAGGTTAGCTTCTCCTTGGTCTTTATACGTGGGATCTCATGCACTTCTACACACCATTGGTTCTTGGAAGGTAGGTACTCCAGGAAGACAGTGGTGTCAAGGACGAGGTTTCCACCGGCACCTTTCTGGCTGTCAATACGGTTCTTCCTCCAGCATATTCATGGTGCAGAACTTACCGAAGGCCCTGGCAGTTAGGAAGTATATGTTAGCTGATTCTGCCGCAACGGTACATCTAGAAGTGTTTCGGACACAGACTCACTAGAACGATATCAGCATGGTCACTCGATAGGCGTGTCTTTCGAAAGAATCACTCACCGATAGACAGACAAAAAGGCCTCAAGATTCTGATTAGCGTCTTGAACTTTCCGAGGGGCTTGCCTGGAGCTCACCGAGGACGATCCAGTTTGGCGCTGCTCCGGCGACGATGCAGAAGACGCTAGATATGAGCAGGGAGAAGTTGAATGCGTATTTGCGACCGATTACGTCAGCCGACAATCCCCAGAACAACGCTGAGGAGGAGTTAGAAAGAGGGTAAAGAACCAAAATGAAGGCTTGAAACGTACCCCCGACAAGCATCCCGACATATACCCTACAAAATGAGGTAGACCGTGTCAGCTATTCTTGCGCAGGTGAAGACATCTCTGGCCTTTCCACATACGCTATAGTCAAGCCATTGCTTTTCAGACGACATGGTTAGCCACTACTCTGCATCAAGAGCATCCTGACGGCATTCATGCTTACTGAAACGAGGGATTGAACTCAAAGGCGGCTTGGCCAGCGATAATCGACTGGATGAGGAGAATCCTTGAAGAGTAAGACGACCATGTTAGCTAGATGTACTGCAACGGTCAAGTGGGTGATTTGGGAAGTGTCTCGGGCGCGATAGCTTAGCTGTAGCCTTGGCAACAACGGTTCGAACCCGCTCGAAGAACAGATGCCTGCGAGATTATGGGGATGACTTACTACTACCATATCAGTACGTTTACTTGATATTCGTATCTGTATTCTTGGATCGCTCACCAGGGAGTCAACTGCGTAGCCGAATCTGTGGTGTGATTAATTTCAAATCACCTTCCAATTTTCGGTTCTCCATTTACCCATTGAGCACAAAAAGCTTCCACTGGTACATCGTCATGCCTATGTAGAAAGCCTGTTATTCTCGCCTCCTTCTCGAAATGTTCAAGTGCCGGCTTATCTCGTTCAAAGCATTGTTAACCAGGTTCATCTTCGCCTGTTTCCTTTTAGCCAGTATCCAAATCCTTCGCACGCTCTACTGAAGCTCAAGCTTACGGTCAACACTGGGTCGACGTCCTGCCCTCCTAAGATATCGCCCTTGCCGATCGAGAGGTCATCGTCGCTGTAGCGTGGTGCGACCACCTCATTCTTGTACTTGGTATCGTCCATGGCAGCCGCAGTGGAGGAGGTAAGACGAGGAGGTGATGGACGTGGAGTTCGAGAAGGTAAGGTTCGAGGTGGTGAAGTCGTTGAAAGGTGAAGTCAGGATCGATCGCGTTTCGTGTACGGAAAGCCGCAATCGGCAGGCACGTTCAGGTTCAGAAAAATAAGAGACGGGGCACGCGACACTCAGATAGATGTCTCAGCTGAAGTACTGTAACACCAGACGGGAAGAAAAGAAAACCATGGCAGCGACGAGGTGAGGGGTCCTATCGCTACAGTACCTTAGCGTGCACGTGGAGGGCTAGTGATGCAGACGGTCGATCTTGATGGCTTGGCCTTGGCTCGTGGTCGCTTTGTGCATCTGGATGGAGAGCGTGGATCCTGTGATCGATCTGTTATCTCTCCCTCATGTAGCTTGTATCAAGAGCTGATAACGATCTAGGCATCGCGCTGTTGAATTGGTTACGATAACCGCCGAGCACGTGCGTGGAGGTGGTGAGCATTGCTGTGGAGTGGAGAGTGGGGCAGGTTCATGCGGCTGAGGTCGGCTCAGCCGAGTCCAGATTTGTGCCCATCGCTCGTCACGTGCGTCTTAAGCAGTGCGCCGGATACTACTGTCGCATCCCGCATAGTTCGCAGCAAGCACTGCCGACGTCATCTCCAGTTCCGAACGGACGGGATGCCGAGAGATTGATCTTCAAAATTCGTGCCTTCCTCGTCTGGACGAATATCCCCTGGGGTAAATACACGGACAAGCTGGCGTAGTGTCTCCATGCCTTTCGTTCGCATGTTCTTGGATCTCAATTCGGAGCCCGATCAGGAGATCGACACTGCAACGTCATGCCCGACCCTGTGAGGCTGCTCCAACCCGTCTCCGACCATGTGAATCGCACGTGGTGATGAGCAGCTTGTTGGAACAGTCAGAAATTTGAAGAAGCTCGGAAGGTAAGACTGAGATCATCCCTTCATAGTCCTTCCTCTACATTCATGCCGCAGCTGTCTGCTATTCATACCTGACCCTATCATACAACGGCCAAACCATCGACTTCCAAGCAAAAGCTTGCCACTAGCCATTCTGGACCATGCAACAATCTTCAAGACTCCTGGCCGTCACCATCTTCTATCTCCTCGCCACCACCATCATCAGCCAGACAACAGCCCTCTCCCCACCAACCTGCCAAGGACTCGCACCACCCCAAACAAACCTCACTTCCGTCCGCACAGCCTTCACCTCAGTCCCGGGTACACCCTGGGGTCTCTCCTTCGCCGGCCCCTCCCATCCAAATCGCGCCTTCGTCACGCTCACGGGCCTCAGCGTCAATGGCTCCGTGCAGTATGGTAACGGCACACTCGGCGTTCTTGATACGACTTCCTTCCCACCTAAGCTGCTCCATCAGATTCCGCTACCTGTGTCTTTTCAACCTCCTGGGGTGGCTGCAGCGGCTAGTGCGGGGATTGCGCAGTTGAGTGTTAGTCCGGATAGGAAGCGGGTGCTTATCGCTGCGGGACCTGGAGGGATTGTGGTCGATGCTAGGAGGGCTCTTACTGGGGCGGCTGATGCTGTTCTTGGGACGTTGAAAGGTACGACTGGAGATATGTCACCCGGTACGAACGCGATTGCTGTTGCTGTCTCGCTGGATGAGAAGTATGCGATGGTGAGCCAGGAACATGGGAATGGGTCTGCGCTGGATAATGCTATGTCTACTCCCGGGAACTTGGATGTCTTTAGACTGGACGCGGATCCGAGGAAGCATAACGGTACAGGCGGCTACCTCATCGGCCAACTGAATCTCGGCTACAACGTCGCAGGCGCCACGATAGCACCAGATGGCAAACACCTCTACGTCACAAGCGAACGCTATACCTCCGCTGGCGCTCGTCTGAATACCTCAGTTCCTTGCTCAGCTCTCCTTCCAGGCTTCTTCAGCGTAGTCGATCTACATCAGCTGGAACACCACCCAGCCAAGGCAAGGCATATCGATATCCCAGCGGGCTTCGCACCAAATCGTTTTCGCCCTTCACCCCATGGGAAGACGGTATGGCTCACTGCTCGCGAAAGCAATGCTCTCTTGGCATACAACGCTTCTGCACTCCACTCCAACGACACAACCGCAGATGCTCTACTAGCAGTGATACAAGTAGGCAATGCACCCGTCGACCTCATCTTCGTCAAAAACGGCACAAGGATCGTGACGGCAGATTCGAATCGCTTTGGCTACGCTGGAGCTCTGGCTGGTCTGACCGTCGTGGAGGTGGAAGCTGGACTTAGTGGTAGCGGTGGTAATACGACGGCTGTACTGGGTAGAGTGCCTACGGGATTCTTTCCGAGGGACTTGGCGGTTAGTGAGGATGGGAGGTGGGTGTTGGGTTCGGTTTATAATTCCGGGAAGGTGCAGTACACCGATGTTGAGACGTTGCCGTGAGGTGGAATTAGCAAGATAGATGAGGATGGTTATGCCTTTATATGAGAGATGGAGGTAGGTTTGCGCTTGGGACTATTGGTCTTTGGGCTCACGCTCGAATGTCTCGCCACGGGATGGAAGCGAGGATGTCAAGGCGTAGAGTTGGGGATTCATGCCCGACAAGGCACGAATAGAACAACTTTCAATGGCCTCTATGGTAGCGCATGAGGTCGTGTCTTCTGGGGACTCTCGTCGCATCACATGACTTGATGTGTAATGAAGAACTCATGTCTATTATGTAATATGTATTGCGGTGTTTTCACTCGGCATCTGATCGCATGTGAAGCCAAGCCGAATCGAGCTCGCGCGTGCTCTTTCCGCTTTCGTCGTCAATGGCATTCTTGCTAACAATTGATTTTTCGAGGACGAATCCCAACACATGCAAACTTCACCAAGAATTTCTGTTGTGACACCGCAAGCCCGGCTTCTTGAGGCACCACCACAGCCTCTTCCTCTCAATACCTTCACCTCCACCAGTTTAGTGCCATGACTGCCCTCACATGGAACGAAGCTCTCTCTGGGGTCACGGGATCGATAAGCCTGGCATCATGGATCTTCCTCTTAGTGCCACAACTCGTGGAGAACTACACGGCTGGCAGCGCGGACGGTATCAGTCTCACCTTCCTCTTCATTTGGTTCATCGGGGACATTACAAACCTCGCGGGGGCCATCTGGGCCAGACTTGTTCCCACCGTCACGGCTCTGGCTATCTACTTCTGCTTTGCGGACGCGATCCTAATTGGGCAGTGTCTCTATTACAACGCGCTGAATAGACGGAAGGAAGGCGCGAAGGAGGACTTACGGGCGGCGAACGAGCAGACGGCGTTACTGAACGAGAATGGGGATGGGAATGGGCACGTGACGGCTTCGAAGGTTGCGCCGAAGGAACAGCATAGTTTGAACGATATACGAGAGGACAATCTGGGCTTGCCGGGGAGTAGGAGACGAAGCAGTGCGACTTCCTCGCATAAACAGACACTTCAGCGCACGCGGACTACGAGCTCCGGCGCAGGCGATTTGGCCGCTATCATGGAAGCTCCTGCCTCTTCTGCCTCGCCTTCCCAAACAAGGGCTTATGCGAAGAACGCTCTTTCCGTGATTATGATCCTGGTTGTAGGAACAGCAGGATGGGCCATTGCGTGGCAGACGGGCGCATGGCAGCCGACTCCCATAGGACGCGAGGATGGTGATAGCGAACCTACACCACTCGGAGCAGAGATCCTCGGCTATATTAGCGCGGTATGCTATCTCGGTGCTCGTATACCTCAGATCGTCAAGAACCAGCGGGAGAGGAGCTGTGATGGGCTGAGTCTGCTATTCGTCATCTTGTCCCTCTTAGGTAATGCCACCTATGGGATGGGCATCTTGTTTCACAGCGTGGAGAGGGAGTACATTATTACTAATCTGCCGTGGTGAGTTGTTCTTGTTCAACTATGGGATACAGAAGGTCCGGGCTAACAGTGTGGACTAGGCTTATTGGCTCGATTGGGACGATGGGTGAGGATGCCCTAATTTTTGTCCAGTTCAGGATGTTTGGGGAGAAGAAGGTGGTGGAGGAGGGTGAGGGCAGTGCGGTGGAGTGAGTGTAGGCATGACCATGGCACGCGCTCTCTGGAGTATTGCCTGGACAGACGGCTCCTTGCCAATACAACCTGCTCGGCCGAAGTTTTGCCGCAGCCTCACACCGGCACTTTCACTTTTCAGCCCCAAGGCGGAGCGACTCATCTGCCGTACTCTTCTCCGCATCCACGCCAACTTTGGCTGAGCGAGAGCGGAAGACACTTCGGACATTGACATCATACCGCCGGTGACCACAGTACCACCTCACAAGCCGTCGATCTCCCCACCCACCATGCCCTCCCGCAACCCACCCCAACCACTACGACCACAACAACCCTCTCCACCCTCCACCAAACCCAACCTCGACCTCACAGCCACTCACCTCGAACACCTCACCCTCCGCCTCGCCCAAGCCTTCCACGCCAACACCCTCCCCTCCAGCCTCGACCTCATCCGCTCCCTCTCCGCCCGAAACATACAAACCCACTGTCCCGACGCCGGCGCCGACGAGTTCATCCCGAATTCCGATGCGATGCCTATAGAGGAGTATATCGGGTATTTACAGGCTTATAGTTTGAAGTTTCCGGGGTGGGATGTGGTTATTCATCCTCCGAAGGCGGAGGTTGAAGAGGGGTGTAAGAGCGCGGTGGTGTGGTTGACATTGATGGCGAATTCGAGTGTAGTGGAGCGTGGGGGAGTGAAGACTGAGGGGGTTTATAAGATGTTTTGGCGATGGAGGAAAGGGAGGGGGTGGGAGGAGGCGGAAGGGTGGGAGTGGTGGAGGTATGAGCATCTGGATGGAGTCGCCGGTTATATGTTTTGAGCTTGGTGTGGTGTGGTGGAGTCGTGGATGATGGATTTGGGCCGTCGAACTGTGGCCTGGTGGAGTGGCTTCGTGGTGGAGCTGGATACACACTTCTATGCGCCAGGATTGTGGATATTGCTCAGCGTGCGCTGCTCGAGTATTGCGCTGGTGGCTTGGACGGTACTTCCCCCCCCGCCAACGTTTCTACTTACCCCAGGCCCGAAGTTGGGACTTCTGCAACGTTCAGGCAAGCGATGGAGTACATGCAGCTTTTGGGCGTCTCGATCGACACGACTGCTTAACGCGAAGAGCAGTCATGATCTGGACGACTAGCTCAGCTGCTGTACCGGTTTGACTTCCTGGCGACTTCCTGGCGACTGCCTCTTGCTCTAGGCAGCTTTGGCATATTGTACTTGGCTGTCGGAGTGAAGCATGCGGGTCCGAAGCTCCGTTCCTTTTCTGCGGCTCACTGGTCAAGTGTCCCACTTCGCCTCCTGATCAACTCGCCAGCCTCTCGCTTTTCCATGGAAAACCTACATGATACACTCCGCTGGCTGGGTGAAGAGTGCAGGTCGAGCATAGCGTCTGGTTCGGGCCTGGCTGGCTGGCTGGCTTTATCAACTTGTCCTTCTGACAACCACTTGGCATCTCCCTTCTGGTCTGCTGCATCCTCTGCACGATAGGACATCTTCAGCCGGCCGAGTGAAGCATGAGGGATCGCGGATCGGGTGTGCCAACTTGCTGGTGCTTGTTGCTGCCAGCCGAGAAGTTCACCATTGGAAAGAAAGACCATGACCTGGTACTCTCTGCCTTGCTACATCATCGACTCGCAAAGCATGCAACGCGGTAGCCGAAGATTCGTGGTTTCTTGACCGATGTTGCCGGCTCGCATTGCCCTACCTATCCTGCACTAGTCTAGCTGCTTCCAGACAGCCGTTCTAGGGCTGCTTAGGGCTTGGTATCGCTTATCTGATTCCGCCTCAGTATCATCACATCTCTGTCCATCATGCACTTTTATACTCTTCTTCTTTCCTATGCCAATTTGACTTCCTTATGTTTTTCTTGCAATAGACTCGCAGCACCCATGCGCTACACAGTCTCGACATAATATAACTGGACGAACACTTAGCTGACTGGAGCCACTTCACTGATCACTACTAGCTAGTACTTCATATACCCACCAGCCGACTGCAGAAACTTTCTTGGACTGTAGGCTTTCGATGGCCATCAAGACGCCTCACGGCTTCATCCACCAGGACGACTTCATCACCCAGGACCCGGAAGCAATAGCCAAACATCTCGAACACCTTACCAGACGCCTCTCGGAAGCTCTTACCGACCCTTTCAAGCACTCGAATATCACACTCTTGCGCTCCCATCTTGCAAAGCAGCTGGTCATTGGTGCTTCCGACCAGGACGACACCCATGGACTGATCCCGGAAGCTTCGATCATCTCGCCAGAGGAGTATATTGCTTTTGCCCAAGCTCGCAAGATTACGTTCCCCGGCTGGAGGCTGGAGGTTGTGCCGAACTTGAGTACTGCTGTCTCTGAGGACGGCAGGAGTGCGGCGGTGTGGTTGCTTACTAGGTCGACTGTTGATGAGAGGTTGAAGCGGGAGGGTGGTGATGGTGTTGGAGAGGAGGGGTGTGGAGGTGGGAAGGATGGCGTGGGTGAAAGTGGTAGTGGGAAGTGGAGAGAGAATATCTGCAAGGCTTATTGGAAGTTTCGGCCGTTGGAGGGCAGGTGGATTTGGTGGAAGTATGAGATGATGGATGGGCCGGCTGGGTGGATGTGTGGGGATTTGTGAGGTATTTCAACGCGTCAATGACAGTCAATCGCCCCGACGAGTCCTGGATCGTGCAGCCGGTGGACGATATAATGCTCGCTACTTTCCTGTGCAAGTCGAGAGATCAGGCTCATAGGCATGAATCTACCGGGCTGGAGCCTTCTGCAAGATGATGCTACCTCTGCAACCTCGATGAGAGTTGTCTCACCAAAAGTCCTGGCGAGCACAGCGTCTTATTGTGGGCTGCCGCTGCTCTTTTCGTCATCTGGATATACATCACGATCTGAAAACTTCGCCAGGGCTGCCAGAGATCCCCCTAGGTCGAGCTGATCGCGCATACTGAGAAGCCTGGAACGCTTCTGAGGGACATACGATCCTCGCAGAGAAGCGCTGTAGTGCTTGGTATTCTGGACATATGGCGAGGAAGTGTTCATGCGGCGTGCAGGACGCTTACTTGGCAGCATGATTTTGGCAATGGTGTGGTCAGCTTCGTAGCACTGAACCCTAGTGCTGGGTCACCAGCCTTATCACAAAGTGGCCCAAGGCCTGGTCTGGCCGTTATATCGTTGCAATACGCTCTGCAAATTCATCGGTACGGCTGGTGTGGTTACACGACGTGGGCTGACACCTCGCTTGTTATACCAGAAACAAGGGTTGTCACTCGAGCGGACTTACACGTTGCTCAAGCTATTGGAGCTGCTCACTCCTGTGCAGCCCATGGCGCGACAATGATCACGCCAGCCATGTTTCTACGTGGCTGCCTCAGCTGAAGTAGATATACGAAGGACCAGGCGACTCTTCCTCCATCTCACGTCCAGTTTTCACACTACTAAAGGACACACTTCCTCCACTCCATCAGTCAACTCAAGTCAACAATGAAGTCCCTCACCATTACTGCAACTCTTGCGACACTTGCAGTAGCTCCGCTGACCTCAGCCTGGGGTGATCTCGGCCATCGTACCGTTGGCTATCTTGCACAGCACTACTTTACGGATGCCGCTAGCCAACTCGTCCAAGCCATCCTACAGCCGACTGACACCTTTGACATCTCCGATGGTGCTGTCTGGCCTGACAAGGTCCGGCGCCGGCGAGAGTATACGGCTGGTTGGCACTTTATCGGTGAGCACTACCCTACATCGCTGTCAACGTTCCTATGCTTACCTTGACCGTATCAGACGCTGAGGACACACCACCGCAATACTGCAGCGTAGACTACTCTCGCGACTGCCCCGGTCGAAAAGGCTGCGTCATCTCCGCCATCATCAACCAGACTGCTCTCCTTTCAGATACTTCTCAAGATACCACTACCCGCAACGAGGCACTGAAGTACCTCTTGCACTTCCTCGGCGATGTTCATCAGCCTTTGCACACCGAAGCCATCGACCGCGGCGGCAACCAGATCAAGGTCTGCTTCGATGGCTCGTGCCGGAAGAACCTGAATCTGCACGAAGTCTGGGATACTGAGATACCTAACAAAATCAACGGACTCAAGCGCGAACCCAAGGTGGACGAGGAGAAGGAGACTGCGAAGAACTGGGCTGATGAGATGTTCCAGTCCGGTGGGAAGATAAGTATCTGCGACTTCACGGCTAGTAGTACGCAAGATTGTGCGTTGCAGTATGCCAAGGAGACGAACGTGTACGTTTATTCGTATGTTTTGAAGGATGGAGTTGATGGCCTGGAGGGTCAGGATCTGGGTGGTGAGTACTACGATGGTGCGGCACCGATTGTCAAAGCTCAGATTTTGGCCGCGGGTCAGAGGTTGGGTGCTTGAATTAATGCTATCGCGGCTAGTCTTGGGAGTGGTGAGATCAAGATGGACTTGTAGGCTGTAGGATGTGCTGTGTCTGCGGTGCGTGCTATAGGTGTGTAGTATCAATGGATACGCCAGAGGAGCAACACCACAATTGCGTGTGACCTTGCTGATCTCTGGCGTGCGTAGTGCTCCAAAGATAAGACAAAGCTCCGGGCTGTTGACGCCCAGCGTCGAGATCTCACAGGCAGAAAGGCTCATCCTTCGGTCGCATCAATAAGCGTTTGGGAATGATCATCATGAAGCTGCGTGATATATTTGATATATTCAGTATTCATGTGAGCTGCGCCATACTACGGCTTGCCGTAATCCGTCCCGTCTCGCGGCTGTGCACAACGTGTGCGACGCCAAGCCAATGATCGTTCAACGAAGAAGTATCGGGTTGGATTGATACCTGAGACGGAAGCGCCTACAATCTTGTCTCGCAAAGAGCCAAGATCTTCATAAAAGACAGCATATATGTCTACGAGCTCGCCGCAAAACAAGGGACTAGATCGCGAAAGACAATCACCGACAACACTGCGATATCTGTACAGAGACCTTGTTTGATCAGCAGGATGTACAAGACACCAGATGGCAAGAAGCACTTTAGCATGTTCAACCTTATGAACAATGCTTTCCCGAACTTTGCCTACGATGCCAAGGACGATGTTGAGCTTACGGCCATGCAGCAAGACGAACTGTTCCTGTATCAGCTGCAAGAGCCGAACCCAAAAGCACTAGGACCTTTAGCATGCTATCGTGCAGGTATCTGTGGTAAGTACAGCTTCGGAATGGAAAGCAAGCAGGCATCGTTGACGACGATAGATAATGCCCACACCTCGAAGCAGGTCCACTCAAGTCTTCTGCGCAACCATTGTCTTGGCCGTGAGACTGGTCTCCTGGACACGAGAAAGATCACCAAGCACTTCGCGAATGAGGTACCCTACATTAGCGTCCATGCCCAACGAAAGCTCATCACGTTGCTTTTTCTCTGGGAGGCAGAGGATGACCGATGGGAGCAGATCAAACACCGGCAGTCTGAGTATGCGGAGAAGGAAGCTGATGCTAGGAAGGCTGGTGATGTGGACATGGCTGGGAAGTATGCAACAACTATCGCTGAGTTGGAGAAGGAGAAGACTGTTCGGCCAAGTCAGAGAAGTGGATCGAGCATCTAAGTCGCGGCTGCTTGAACTGTGTTTCGTTGTATTGTTGTTGCAGTTGCGCGTATGTTCAGACTCGACGATATTGCCAACCTGTCTTTCTGACAAGTCGTTGGCTCGTCTCGTCTTGCCTCAGATTGCTCGTCGACGACCCCGCATCGTCATCTCATCTCCTTCCAGATGTCCAAGAACGAGCCCCGCACCCCCTCCTCCATCCTCCTCCGGTCTACCGCGGTACCACAATCCATGCTCACGGGACGAGGTCAAGTAAACACTGCCTATGAGGATCGTAATGTCTCGTGTAGCTCGTAGTCCTAATCATCGCTGGAATCCAAAACCTCCTTGAACGACAACGTCAACAACTCATCCATAACGGCTGCAAGAAGACAGCTGACAGCATCAATCATGGCACCAAAGACAATGCGAGCAGTGATCCTAAAATCCGACTTTAAAGTACCCATCTCCCATTTACCTCAAGGTACCACATCATACTAACGCATCCTCACCATCAAGGTAGCAGTGGAAGATCGTCCTGTCCCCACCATCCAGAAACCCACCGATGCAATTCTCAAAGTCACCTCCACAGCACTCTGCGGCAGCGACCTGCACTTCTACCGCGGCCACCTCAAATGTCCTCCCGACTTCATCTGTGGACATGAGTTTGTGGGCGAGATCGTCGAGAAGGGCGACAGCGTGAAGAGCTTCAATATTGGAGACAAAGTCGTCGTGCCCTTCTTCACAGCATGCGGAGAGTGCTACTATTGCGTCCGTGGCCAAGCCTCGCGATGTGCGAAAGGAGAGCTCTTCGGCAACAGCGTCCCGGCCAATACTGTTGATGGCGGACAAGCTGAGTACGTCCGATGTCCTCTTGCGGAGACCACCTTTGTCAAGGCACCAAGTGGGATCCCCGAGGAAATGCTGGTCCTTATGGCGGATATCTTCCCGACCGGATACTTCGCCGCAGCTCGCTTTCTCAAAGGCCTGTCAGATCGTGACAGGAAGGAGTTCACCGTAGCCATCATAGGAGCTGGTCCTGTTGGAGTCTGCGCTGCGACCTGTGCCTTGACGATGGTGGATAATGTGTATGTGATCGATAGCATAAAAGAGCGGCTGGATGAGGCAGAGAAGCTTGGCGCTAAAGTGATTCATAACAACGACAACCCCATCCAGAAGATTAAGGATGCTAGTGGAGGGAGAGGCGCAGATGTGGTTGTCGAATGCGTTGGCCATGCGGACGCTTTCCAATTGGCCTTCGATATGATCAGGCCTTGGGGCCAAATTAGCAGTATTGGGGTGCAGTATGTCTCGACCACTCCTCCCAGGTCCTCTTCCAATCAGACCGCTGATACTATCTCCGCACTAGCACCGAACAACTCCCCATGAACGGCCTCCTCTGCTACGGCAAGAACGTCACCATGGCATTCGGCCGCTGTCCCGTACGTTCAATCTTCGAGGATGCACTAAAGTTGTTAGTGCAGGAGCAAAAGAAAGTGGCTTTCCTCTGTGGTAAGACAATGAGTCTAGAGGATGCGCCTAAGGCTTATGAGGACTTTGAGGCGAGGAAGTGCCATAAGATCGTCTTCAAGATGGGTGAGGCGGCGAAGAAGGCGGGTGGGGAGATCAAGGCAGCAGCATGAGATGAATGTCTGTATAGGTTGATTGCTATCTTGTAGTGTAAATGGTTCCGATGTTCAACGAAGCTTACCTCTCCGTTTCATGGAATCGTGTCGGATGTGGCCTACTGTCGTGCCGCATCCAAGCTTCGTCACGATCCGGAAAACAGGAGCTGAACTAACGTAGCCTTTGCTTGGTATCGTTGGCAAGCGAGCGTCAAGTATAGGAAGGCATTGACGCAATTATCTGATCGAGAGGTGCCGTCTTCCCTGTTCTATTTTGAGATACGTAAGCAATCCAGCCCTCAATCCCCCGACCGCACAAAGTTCTTCCGCTCCCCCAATCTCGTGCTGATCCTCTTATGCAACTGCTCGTTATATGCATAAGTCAACACATCAGCGAACCCCATGAACTGCGTGGTAGCCTGCAACCCTTGCAACCATAGCGGAGAGGTGCCGAAGGCTTCCCAGACCCTATTCATGATTCCGGGGATCCAGAGGAGGATGTAAAGGATTGGGTATCCGTTGAGAAGGAGCATGCGGCGAAGGTCGCTTGTTGGGCGGACATAGGCTGGTTTCGTGCTTGAGGTGGTGGCGGCGGACTTGTTTGGAGACAAGATCGGAGCGGTCTGACAGGTCGAATATGCTGTCTGTTCGTCGGTCTGGCTTTCGTGCTGGGAGGATGAGCTGCCTTGAGTGTGTGATCGCTCAGGCAGCTCAGAGACTTCTTGTGCCGCGGTGATGACGGCGAAGTGCTTGTAGGAGGCTGTTTGTGGCGTGGTCTCGTGAGAGACATAATGATCATCCTTGACATCTATCCTGGCCGTGTAGTGCCGAAGCGGCTGCTCATCATCCTGGGAGATATCGTGACGATGACTCGATGTCAGCTCCACCTCATCGACTACACGGACATCGTGCATCGTCGCCCGGCGCGCACTCGAGGTCAAAGCCGTGCTGCGCTCGTTCATGGCGAATCGACCATAGATGCGCTTGAGGTGGATGTACACCCAAGTATAAATCCCAGCCGTGGTGACGAATATTGCCAGTCGCCATGCATGCGTGAGTGCGTAACGATCGCCAAAGTGCTCGCGGGTGATCCAGCACCAATTTCCAGTAACAGGGCCGTAGATCCCCAGACCCAAGCCGATATTACCTAGTCGCGGAGTCAGTCAATCATGGATATCTCGAGTCATGGATGGCGTAAACATACTCGTAATGATAGGCATGATCCACGGCACCGCACAGACACCCGCCAAGGTAAGCCATGACTGTTCAGCCGCTATATTGTTCTTCCGCACGGTAATGAGTACCGCGATCGAGATGACGAGGATGTTGAAGTCGATGGCTTGTACTGAGAACTGTCCAATATATGCGTTGGCTGTGCAGCCCGGTCCAGGCAAGAGAGAGTTGCGATTTCTCCAGTCCGAAAGCACCACTATGCCAGACACTGTATTGTTGAACGAATTGATCCAGTCTTGGTTTAGCGTCAGTACCATGTCTGTGGACTAGATGGATGTATCCTTTCACTTACCAGCAAGCAGTAAATTGCAGATAAGGACCTGTCGGAAATGCCTCTTGGGTGGGAAAACGACGTAGATGATAGCGAAGATTGTGCTTGCAAGGAGTGAGACCATCGAACCAATGAAGGTCGGAATGGCGATGGCGAGATGTGTAGCAGGCATCGTGAGATTATTCTTGCAAGGACGGTTGGCTGATCAGAGGAGAGACGTCAGGCTCCTGGGCCGTGTGGTTCGACCTGGCTGCATATATGCTAGATGCAAGCATCTGCCTTCTCCCACAAGCCATCCCGCAGATCGGCTTTCCTTTCCACCGTGCTGTATGTCATAGCGCAGAGTTTAGACATCCCGTCAAGACGCTTCGACGCACAGAGAAATGGCTCCTTGTCCACCACGCTAGATTCAACCGTGCATGGGCAGTACCAAATGTAAATCGTTCCATGGGAGTGGTGGAAGAGCATTGGCTGGAGTGGCGTGCGAAGCTTGTGCCGCCTATAGGCGCTCTGGCCCGTGGTCTCAGAGATGGAGATGTCGTCGATCCAGGTACAGAGGGACAGCCATGGGTCCCAAGTGTTCTCTTGCGTTTGTGCCACTGTGTCGATTCGCTTCCTCGTTGATAGTAGTGCAGTCTTGTGAAACCGATGTGCCGTGCATGGGATGTATAAGATCCTGTTCACAGCTTGTCTGGCTCCGGCTACGAGCACAGTGGTATGAGCGCGGGACGGAGGTGTGGAGAAGCTTTCTACACATCAACTCTATCCGAGATAGGGTTTCAAAGAAGATTGGCATGAATCGCGTCCAATACATTATCTCGAACTCTGGTTATTATTTAGGCTGTAGATCGAAGGTCGCGATGGGTTCAATACGATCTTGTTGGCGGCTGGGTAGAAGATCTTGCTGTGGAAAGGGGAGTTTGTTTCTGATCGATCGACATTTCTCTTGATCGATGGGCGGGTGAATGCGTCTATCAGCGGCGGATGAGGTGGTGTGGGCAGCATATTCAGAAAATCACCCGCAAGGCCTGGAAGCGATACTGTGGGAGTGACTCAATATGCTTTTGCTCTGGACGGACTGGAATGCTTTTTGCTTTGATCCGTCGCGAAGTCCGTTGCGCCTCTTGTTTGCAGCGTCATTGCGACTTTGGATGTCCATTGGATGTAAGACGATGGTGGTGAAGATGCATACGAGCGCCTTGGCGGTGGAAGTTGGCAAGATCCCGTGGTGGATGTCAAGGCGGTATTGTGGGTTGAAAGTCTGCTTGATTGCACGGTCTCTTCTCTCGTTCGCAGTGTCTCCAGCTACTACCGCAGGGTGCCATGCCGGTCTGCAGGACCCCACCAGCTGTTTGGCGTGCAATGGACAAGCGAAGTAGGAGTTTGATGACGCTTCGAAAGAGTCCAAAGTGGCGCTGTTGCAGACATCCTATTTCGTGAGCTTGCTACTCATACATATCATATCATATTCCGTCATTCAAGAAAGCATAACGGACTGCCCTCCTGCCAAGCGTGGTCCTTTCACCTTAGTCAACGCTTCCACCTAGGCCAGCTTCCCTTCTCCATCGCGCCACGAAAGCAAGTGTACTCTCGCGAAAGTCCTCAGAACTTAGGTTCATGCATCTTCGACTCGACCATAGCTAGCAACTCCATCCTTGACGAGCCGTGACCGGTGCCCATGTTGTTCTGGAGTACATGTTAGCGCTCTATCCCTCACAACAGCACCACGATCATATGACAAGTACACGTACCGCCTTCAGGTAGGTCTTCATATCCTCGACACTCCACTCCTGCGGATCGCTGAAGTCGGTGTTGCCCGGCTCGTGGATCTTCGACTCCACCATGGCCAGCAGCTCGTTCTTGCTCGAATCCTTCAAGAACTTCTCACCGCCCATGTTGCGGGTGTTGAGGAACTTCTTCATGTCGTCTACGGACCAGCTCTGGGGATCACCTTGGGGAGTGTAGGCTGGCTTCTTGGGCGCGGCGACGGCTAGGGGGCTGCGCTTGCTGGAGCTGCTGGAGGAGGTGGTGGTGGGGCTGGAGCTGCTCGTGGCGGACATGGAGGTGTAGACTTGGTAGGCGGCGAAGCCCAGGGCGATGGCTACTGCGCCGTAGATGAGGGTCTGGCACGTGCGAGTTAGTGGTGGTCGCGTGATGATCACCGTATGAGTGTTTGCTTGCCTTTTGGGTTTGGGGATCCATGATGATGATGATGATGATGATGGTGGTGATGATGAGGCTGTGTAGTGGTATGGGGTGGTTTGGAAGTGGATGTGTGGGTGAGGATCAAGGTGAGGGCTGGGGTTGAAGAGTCTCTCACTTGCTCAATAGTTGGTTCACCTACGTAGTTTGTACGTCTGCATCGTGGCGGCGGTGGCTGGTGGAGGCCTGCGGGGTCGAGCCGCTCTCAAAGTCACGTGCCGGGGCGAGTGTTGTTGACCTCGACACAAGCATTGCAGTATTGCTTCTCGTACATCTTAAGACCATAGACACATCATCCCAAGCGAGAAAAGCAGATCTTCCCAGTCAATATTGGTCCAGGGCAAACAGTATACAAAGGAGCACTAATGCAGTTGACTTCCTCTGATTGTGAAAGCTGTGGGTCATCCTGCATGGCCTTCAAGCTCACAGCCCTACATCCTTCAACATCGTCCAATCGTATCGTGCTGGTTCCTACCTTAGTCATGTTCGTATTCCTGGATTGGCGCCATGGTCGACCTCGGTGATATGAGAGGCATTGTATCAGCTACGGCTGAAGTTCATTCATTCATTCAACCAAACCAGAGCTTCCTTCTACCTCGCATTCCCGTATCTACCGCTTTACACATGGTCGATATCGGCGGTAATCGTGGACACGACCTCGTTGCTTTCGCCAAGAAGCTCAAACAATCTGGCCGTGAGAAAGATGTGGGTAAACTTGTCAACCAGGATCTAGAGAAAGTACTTGACGAAGTCCCGGCTGAATGGGAGGATGCTTTCACGAAGCAGCCGCACGACTTCTTCACGCCCCGGTCTCCCTCCTGCCGTGGTGCAAGGTTATATAATATGAAGATCGTACTCCACGATTGGCCGGACTCGGATTGTGTCAGGATCCTCTCGCACGTGAAAGATGCGATGACGCCTGGGTACTCAACGCTCCTGATCAATGAAGTTGTGCTTCCGGATACGGAATGTGGATGGCTGGCGGCAGGTATAGACATCACGATGTTGGCGTGCTTGAGTGGAAAGGAGAGGAGTGAGACGGAAGGGCGAAGTCTGGTTGGGCAGGTCAAGGGGTTGCAGGTTGTGAAGGTGTGGAAGCTTGCGGAGAGCGGGGAGGCGATCATGGAGGTGTGGAGGGTGCAGTGAAAGCGTACGTTGTCGGAGGGATGAAGAGTTACGGGTCATTTGGAAGGATCAAGGGATCGCGTGGTTAATCTCATGCAGCAGATGTACGTACACTTTGCTCGACTTCTCACTTGGAATTATGCTGCGTTGATGCATTATAGATTGGGTTGCAAAACATCTACGTTGTTTTGAAACACGGGATGATCGTGCTGTATAATGAAGGTATTGCCACCGAGCTACACTGACAACCTGTCCAGGCCATTAATGCGGGATCATCATCCTAGGTACCAACGCCAGCACCTCTAGCATGGCAGCTGCGGCTGTCAATCGGTATCGACCTCAGTCGCAGCTCGACTTGCTCTGGATGTACACCCACGCCATAGTCGCCCATCCATCTGCCGTACGCCTTGCGATGTCTCACTCATGTCACCTCACACCTTCTCAACAGTCCCGATCCGTCGACTTGCACCACGAATACTCTTGCCCTTGGAGTACAAGACATACGGGACAGGCAGGAAAGCCGTGGCGATACCTGCCAGCACGGTCGGGGCATGATGTACTCCTAGGTTCTTGTACATCGGTATCGACACCAAGACCATGGACCCTGCTACGACGTAGCGGACAAGGGTTATGGCGACGAGAGCCGAGGCCGCATATGTTGTGAAGCTTTGAATGATGTAGAGGTATGTCGAAAGGAAGAGCGCAAGCAGCGTGAATCCGAAGAAAGCGCACCTGTCCATTGTCAGCTGATTTTGGTGCGATAGTAGTAGAAATTGAGGCGGAGACGACTCACGCAATTATCGGACTCCAGTACGAGAAATCCGGGTAATCTGACCAAGCCAGCCAAAAGAGACAGATTGGAAGGATTGGTGCGGCGACCATTGCCCACCAAAGCATGGCTTCCGGCTCTGCATGATCTTTTCCGTTGGCTGCTGCCTTCTTGTACTCCCGGCCGATCAAGATACCGAAGATTGGCGTGGCTAGACCGCAGATGCACACACCGACAGAGGTGGCGACGAACATCAGATAGGCGCTGCCCTGGTTGAAATCGTAGGAAGCCGTGAAGATGTACGGAGCTCCTGTGAAAAAGCTGAATGACACGATGTAGACAAAGGTCAGGTAAGTGGTCAGGACAGCGATGATGGGCTCGGTCAGCAGCATCTCAACAGGCCGGTACAATGCTTGTGCAAGCTTTCGGCCAAGATTGACTGGCGTTGTCGATTCCTGCGGGCTTTTCCAACGAGTCTCTCCAGTCTTCGCTCTAAGTGCTTTCGCCTTCCATGTGAGGATGGTAGGCGCATATGTTTCTGGCAAGAACAGTATCATGATGATGAGTAGACCCCCAGAAATGCACAGAGCAATCCACTCTACCCACCTCCAATCCATCCCAGACCAGCCTACGTACGCCCCAGCCACTGGAGCGATCATGGGTCCAAGCAGCGCAATCATGCCGAAGTACGGAAAGATCTTCCCGCGTTTCTGATGATCGAAGCAATCACCGAGTGTTCCTCCTGCAGTCGTGAAGGCAGTGGAGCCGCAAAACCCAGCCAGGAACTTGAGGACTAGCTGAGCACCAAAGTTCGGCGCGAGTGCAGTCCCCAAAATCCAACAACAGAACAGAATCATGAAGGTGATATAGACGGAATTTCGACCGAACGTCTCGGAGAGTGGTCCGGCCAAGGGTGCACCGGCTCCGAACCCAACCAAGAAGAGCACCGTTGCTAAAGACTCTGCCTCTTCACTAACGTGAAACTCCCTTGCTGCTTGTGGTATTACTGGGGACTCAATCGATGAAGCGAAGCCAGATATAAAAGCCACAGCAGCGGTCATGCTGTTGGTGGAAACCTTCTTCCATGTGGGCCAGTTCTGCGGGTTGAGGCTATCGTGCGGGCCCTCGAACTCGACGAGGAAGAAAGCGTCTGATGCATCCTTCTCCATAGGTTCATATTTGACGGGTTGCTCTGCAGCCTCGACCGGTGCTTTGTTAGACTGTCCTCGGCGCGCCAGATCCCTTCGCAGGCGCGACTGTTGGAAGAAGGACTGCATGTCGTAGTTGATGACACAGATGCTGGGCCGGCCAAACGGCTACAGGGAGGGATGTGAGTCCGTATGGGCTTACTGAGGGTGAAGATATGCGTTCAGCTACTTGACCGGCAGTCTCTAGAGTCCGGATCGGAAGTTCGGTCGGTCGCAGTCGTGTACATGTGTGTATGAGCCTGGTCGAGAGGAGGATGTATCTTCCGCGGTGTGCGAGCAATTATAAGACGTTTACTCAAATCCACTGTGAAGTCTTGGTCACAGACTTCATTACCAAGCGTGTCATGCATCTGCGTGTAAGGTACGCCCTGTAGTTGATGACAATGTCAACCTCAGTAGGTTCCACGTGACATGATTAGTGATTCTCGGTCGTGGCTAAACCACACCCGGGTCGTGGTCCAGGAACGTTACAAGTGTACGATAGTGTTTACTACACTATTCTATACGGCCGTTGGCAGCGCGTATTGAATTTGGAATGCTGATGCTAATTAAGTTAGAGGTTGTTGACTACGCCGTTCTTCGACGCGGTATAGGAGCGTTAGAAGCTTATATACTATCTACTATACCTAGGCCCTAATCGAGCCGGAATTCCTAATTATAAGCTCTTTTAAGAATCGTTTAAGCAAACATTAGAGTTTACTAATATATTAGGCCTAAAGAATACCTAATAGTAGCTATTATAGATACTATTATAATAATTAGTAGAGTAAGCGAGTAGATGTTACGGATATTAGGTCCGCAACAAACAGACTAACTAATTGAGTTTAGGGAGCCAATAAGCTAGGTCTGTAGGGGCGGCTATAAGAGGGTTACGTAATACCGCTTACCTAGACCCTTAAGTAAGTAGCCTACTTACCCTTACTCTCG